GCGAATTTTGAATTGGAGAGCTTTCTTCTCATAGAAGTGGATAACGATTTCTGATATTTAAAGAAATCTAACAAGCCATTAGAACTACGTGCACAAAGCTAAATTTATATTTCAAATGCCGCCTGCTTTCTCTATCACGTCGTTAATGCACAACTCTTTATTCTCATATTTTACAATATAACTGCTAATTATAATAATCTCGCTTGTGGTACGTCAGAATGATATGTAATTGAGTTTAATAATATTAATGTTTAAAATTGGAAGCAACTTGCTGTGCTTCCATAATAAGTATGATGACAAAAACAAATTTTCTACGTCTTTCAGGGAGATTATCAATAATTTATCAGAGTTTTTTTTATTATTTACATAATCAAAACATTACAGAGGTACATTGATTTGAAATGTCCCGTGAAGTCAGGTTTTCGAAAAATGTTTATTTAAAAATGTGGACGTCCCGATTTTCAGGGGGTCTGAGGAAGCGTCCCGATTTGTACCTGATCGGGAAGCTAAATGTCCCGATTAATAAAAAAAAATAGGTAATTAATAGAATACTATACTTGCACCAGTAGTTTAAAACGCAATAAATGAAACCCAGACTTAAATCCCCTTGTTTTTTTGTTTACTGTCCCGATCTGCAACCCTAAATCCCGATTTTTTGACCTCATGTACCGATTTAAAACAAATCGGACCTTTGTTATTTGTTGGTTGATTAACAAAATAAATAATTATAATGTTGTGTAGACGGACAACAAAGTGATACTATAAGGGTTCCGTCTATTGCCTTTCTAGGTACGGAACCCTAAAAAACATGTGTCCATTATTTTTTGATAATTTAACTGGACGGATCAAATAGAATTTAGTTTACTTCACCCCGTCACCATCCCTAAGATTCTGTGTTCGTTGTGTTTTTTTTATGAAAGTTCATCAATATTCTCGTTAAAAAATGGTTTTGCATATAGTAACAGATTATTTCAAAATAGTCCCATATTCATGAAGTTAGAATCTGACGAAGGGATGAAAACTTTACCCAAATTATATTAGGCGCTAAATATTATTATAAGATACTTATCCATTTACTCTCGGAAACCAAAATTTGACAAAGAAATTGGATGGTGAAGACCACAGAGGGCAAACAGAAGTACTCAATAATAAGTAATACATAAATATAAATAGCCTTTGGTTTTCCAAATTGGCAGCTAAAAGTTTAATTAGAATAATTAGCCAATGTTTCGTACTCTTAATTATACTGACACGTATAGTTCTACTGTAGTACATATTACGAAAGTCCCTTAGACTTAAGAAAGAAAATAAAAGCTTTTAAATCATTGGTTACTAAACAATTTGTGTTTGAACTTACTTACCTACTAAAGTAACGGCAGAAGCAATGTTTATGAAGTCCTTATTTTATCGCAAAATTAACAATCAGCAATTAACATAGACATTCTTTCTCTTCCCTAACTTTCATGCACCAGCTGCATTGCCTAAAAGTTGCCTTTAATACATCCAGCGGTTTTCAAATAACTTGAAGGAGGCTTCATAAATCACAGTGAAAATCTCACAAATAGTAAACAGTTTTAATTATACATTTACGCACGCGCTGCGATAATAATATACCGATGAGATAACATAACCGCCTCTAGAAAACGGCACGTATCTCGATTTCAGTAAATTATGAGATTGAAAAGTTGGTTACATTGCACTTTCTTCCGGTCATTGACATAAGTAAGACGGAATAACATTTCCATTAATAAAATAATTTATTGTTATATGATTGTGAATAAACATTTATTTATTATTATTTATCAATTTTATTAAAAGCAATGTAAATACTTACTTTTACTACGTTTTGTACCGAGTAACGTGATAGTATGTCTTTAAGCCACTTTTAAAATTTTTCATCTTTTTTGGAGTTGAGAATACTCATTTGTCGTCCGAAACCCGGAAGCTATCAAAGGTTCTTAAAATGATTTGTCCTTGTTACCTAGACTTCTGTAGAAATAGGTAAGTGGATTTTAAAAGACAGTAACTTCAGGATTTTTGGTAACTTGGATTAGTTATGAGAGAAATTTAGTTTTTTTTTTGCATTTTCGAGGCGACATAAAGTCATATCAAAGTATGGAAGGCGGAACATTGATATATTTTTAGAGTTTAGTTATTCTTTTCGACCCTACCTAAAGGTTTTGTGGATGCCCCAAACCACGAATTCCATAATTTTTGCTAATATTTATGTCGATCGTTGGATTACTCATCCAAACAATGTTTAAAGTTATTGTAAACAATAAAATTGTAGTAGATACTTCACGGATTACTCTGAGATACCATAACAGGTTCAAAGAATTCTTTTTTTGTTTGAATGAGCATATTCTATCAGTTATTTATGATACAAGCAAGTGTGGTAATTTGGTTATTACAAACGAGTAGACAGTCTCGGGCTTACCATAGTCACCGAGTTTGTAAATACCAATCCGCACGTACGCCATACAAAGTTTTTAACACATTTGCGAGAAAACAATACCTATATCTACCAATCCCATATTAACACCCATCAATCCCCACTTTCACCTACCAATCCCTTATCACTCCCCAATCCCCTTTTATCACCCATCAATCCCCTTATCACTTTCTTAATCCTTTTTCACCATCAAATCCCCTTTTCACTTTCCAATCCCTTTACACCCTCCAATCCCCTTTTCACACACCAATCCTGTATCTTTTATTATCACCATCAATCCCCACTATCAAAGTTGGTCCTTGGTCATCAGATGAGTTCATGGAGAAATCGAGGGAATTCTTCAAAAATGATTAGCATGTCTAAGTTATTTATGTAGATATTTTTTATACGAACTCGTCCATCTACTCTTGGAAAATGCCATCTGGTAAAGTGGAACTGATGATAAATACCATTGATGCTATACGATTACTTTAATTTAGTTCCTAAGCAGTTTGTGCCAGTCACATGTAATGTTTAAAGTGAAATAAAGCTAAGCTAGAAAGGTATCAGGAGTCCAGGAGAACTTCTCAACAAATAATTTCCACGTCTCTGATTGGGAAAAGCAAGATTTTGTATAAATACAGCTAACAAATTCTTTGAACATTAAGATCACCAGCTACATCATATCAGCAGTACGACGTGCACTGCTGAGCATAGGCTTACCGGTTGGTCCTGTCTGGCACCACTCGCATCCATCGGCTTCCGCGACCTTCACTTAAGCCTATTCTAGACGGATGTAATCCAGCATACCAACCAAGGTGACCTTGGTGGGAAGTTGGTTTCCATCCGCGTGATGATTTTCGGCTACACGGATGTAATCCACGCGCCAACACGCAATCGCGAGCCGTCTTCTGGCGTGAAAACACGTATGCACTTGTATCATGCGCGGACTGTATTAGTAACCGTATTGTAGAAATGGCTCCAAAATTTGTCTAAATTTCACAAAAAGGGGATTGCCTTAGGAGTTTTGTGTGCAAAAACAACACAAAAAGAGAAAGTGGATGAAGCGTTGGTTAAAAGAGCGAATGATTCTCAGCCATTCAAACTTATGTCCAACTTCCTATACTTTTCGAATAATATCTCCCACGGATTTTTTTTACGAGCATCTGCATGGGAGATCGTCCGAAGACCAGTCTTCATATTTTACACATTTTTTTACATGCATACGTGCGCACCCGCTGACAGCCACAGCGCAAGCGCAACTCTTCGTCTCGTCTTTGGCTGGATGTAATCCGCCGGCCAAACGGTTGTAATCCACGCGCTCCAACCGCGGATGTAAACACGCGCCCGTAATCCAAGGACGTTGAAGGTCAAATCAAAATTTGGATTACATCCTTCGTCTAGATGGATGGCAACGGGCAAGGTCACCTTGGTTGTTACGCTGGATTAGGACTCTATCGCGTAGGAGAACATTAAGATACAAAAGATTTATAAGGGGTTAGTGAGTTAGCTAAAAAAACATGCGTTATCTTATAGCTCAATCAACAATAATTCTGTTGAAAGCTACGAATACAAAAACTAGTATCGTGATTCAGTGATAATTCGTTCTGTAATAAAGCGGGCGTGTCGTGTGATATAAACTATTTTAGATGCTTATGGATTTGTTCTGTTACTTGTACGTAAGCACATGCCTCAGTAATTGTAATATGCATGAATGGATACATAAATAATATATACTTACCAACGTTTTATTCAGCCACTACACCGACTGGTCATAATAAATCAAATCATCAACAGTTAAATATATTCTTCGACTTTGTAATTGTATGAGTAGACTATACTACACGTAGTTTACCTGGGCAATAAAATAAAAATGTAGATAGATTTCCGAAGAGCAATCCGTAAGTCACCATCTTTCTTTTATACGAAAGTGAACAAGAGTAAGAGAAAACGTGTTGCAATTAATAAAGAAACAACGAAATCCCATAATCCGTTTAATATATGTGCCATAATATTAAAAAAAGATAGGAGAAAGATAAATGATTTATTCTGTAGGTAGGTATTTACCATGTCCATTTTCACAAAAAACAATGCCTATAGGTGGTTTGATTTATATGCATGGTGCGATCGCTGGATTTCTGCAGATGACCGGCTGGACCTGGTGTCATTGACTTCGTGATCTAGATTCCTCGCTGTCCTACAGTAGATATGAGAGTAATAGGACAGCAAATTAAATCAGGGGTTGTAAAATAAATTAAAGCTGTACAGGTTATAGAAAGTTTCGTCTGTTTAGTATTCTGGTTAACCATAAACGGTAACTTACTAGACAGTTTTCATTTGGCTCTGCATTTCTTTTCCGTGTCCAGCTCAGCTCTTAAACTTGTATTATGTCCTACCTTGCACTATCAGGGTATCGACTCGTGCAACCTTACTGCAGATTACTATACAAGGCTACAGTCTTCTGAATGGTCTAACATCTCGCCCCATCTCTTAGAATGTCTGAAAATTTTCCTTTTTATTGTTTGCTTCACTTCCAGGGAACAAAGTTAATTTTATTTCACTTGCGCAGGAATCAGGAACGGAGCTGCTACCAAGAAATCACTATGGCACCTTTTACGACGCAGAAGCATATTTAATATATTCCTCCTCATTGTCTGGCCAACCAGCTGGACCTGATGTCATAGTAAGTGCAGACAATAAAGCTTCAATATTTTACATTGAACTACCTACCTACAAAAATAAAAGCTAATAAGATGATTGTAACATGGAAATATTTTTTTCAATTTCATTTCATTACAAAGTACCCTTGATCGAATTTATTAGGAGCTTAAATATCATTACTGTTTCATAGAAAAAGAAATCACGCCACTATAAATTTTTGTACTGTATGCAAATACATTTTCATGGAACCATAAAATTTCTAAGGACAATAATTACACAAAAATCTCATCCTTGTCAGCGTCGAGAAATAAAAGAGAATGGCAATGGTGAATTTGCCGAGCGGCATATCCATTCGTGGGCAGGCGAGCGTAGTGGCACACTGGCTGCGCTGGCGTTGCGGCGCGGCATACAGCTCGCCGCGCACCTCGGCGCGCCCGCCGTCATACACCGCGAGACGGCCACCAAGGAGACTCCCAGGCTTCTCTCATACTTCAGAGATGGGATCAGGTGAGGTTCGAAAATATCCTGAAAGATCTAAGAAGAGTACATATTAGCAGCAAAGCACCTTATGGTTTTCTGGCACACGTCAAAGGCAGTGGCGGACTAAGCCCGTCAGAGGCCCGGGGCGGCAAAACTGAATGAGGCCCCCAGCTTTAAAAAAAATGTAGATTCGTATGTTTATTTCGTTAAAACCAGTCTTGTCAAATTCACCATAATTTTGTATCAGATTGTCAACTGCTACAGCCAAAGCGGCATCTGAAGCCTTTAGCATAAACTTTGTTTCAATAATTTGGAAAATATTTTTGATTTGTTTAATAGTTCAATTGGAAAATTCTTGTATAAAGCGGTCTATGCATTCATACATTGACCGACGTATTTCTTCTTGAATTGATAATCCAGCATCATGAGCTGATTCACCCGGCATCTTCTTTTTACCTTCACTTTTCCTGGTTTCTTGATTTGGTGATTCCTGTATCCAGAGTCATTTTTGGAGGCCGCAAATATTGTTAGACTTAAATAGAATGTAGTGAATGTAAATGTATGCGTACAAGAGTAAATTATTTGCACTTCATTCATTCAGGGATTCCTGAGGAAGTACCCGCTACTAAGACGGGAATTCCCCCAGCGATTTGGACGCGTTCAGCAAAGTTAAAAAAATATTAGTACCGCGTAAAAAGTCTACATTATTGTAGTATTTTGATCTTGATGAAATTATGTAGGTACTAAGCACATTTTTAAAGTCTTGTTTAGGATTTGATCAGGGTAACGCGGAGGCATTTGGGGGGGCGGACTAACAGGGGGGCGGGAAGGGGGGGGGGGGGGGTCCGCCACTGGTCAAAGGTCCAAGTATCAGAGAGAAAGTAGTGCTAAGTGTGAACGGTCGCAGCTAGTGCGTCGCTGTGCTCGCGCTGCGTCGTGGTACACGCCATCATACAACGCGAGACTGCTAGTAAGAAGACGCCCAGCCTTCTAAGATGGAATCATTTGAGGTTTGGGAATATGTTATGCTGAAAGATGTGGGTAGAGTAGCTATGAAGCAGCAGTGCCGCACCATAGGTCCGTCATCATCTGTCCGTCATCAAAGGAAGAAGTTGTTAAGTAGAGCCAGGTAATCAAGCGCAGTGGGGCACTGGTTGTGCTGTTTTAAGGTATACACCACGAGACTGCCTGCAATGAGAATCTCAGGTTCCTGTTCTACATTAAGTGACGGCGAGATGCAGTGAGCTTTAAACGTATTTGCCTCACGAACTCACATTACTCCTTACTGGGTCAGCAATAGATCATGTTGAGGTAACATCAAAATCAAACAGTTATGTAACATATCCACACAATATATCAGGGTGCTATTCCATTGTCCACAACAGTTTCGGGATTTGTCTCATCTTTTGCATAGACTTACTGTAGATTTAAGCGAAAGCCAGCAACTGAAACAAAGTGGAAGATAAGATACTGACTCGGTTATATGGCTTTATTAAATGATCAAACTTTTTGCTCTTCTCAGTCTGCGTTGAAAGAAATGATTCTTTATTGTTTGCGCAGAATCCTACGTAGCGGCTCCATAGCAGCGGCCGGAGCACGGCTATACCGTGTGCGCGGTCGACGGCCAGTTCTGGTGCAGCTAGAACCAGTGTCTTGGGCACAGCTGGCAGCGGACGGAGTATTCGTGCTCGACGCCGCGCCACTACTCGTGTTGTGGCTAGGCCGGGCTGCCAACCTCGTCGAGAAAATACTCGGAGCAAAGGTACTTGTATCGACAGATACTAAGTTAGAAGTTACTTACGTGTAGGTTGTTTTCATTGTAAATGCTATTTTAAGATCAAAACTTCATAAAGTTGTTCATATCCTCGCTCATTTATAGATCGCGTACCGCATGGCACGGGGCGCTGAGAAAGGAATTACGGCCCGCCGTATCGCCATCGCACACGACGGGTACGAGCAGACCCTGCCGGCGTCAGACCGCGCCGTGCTGGATACATACTTGGAGCTGCGGTCCCGCGCAATCCGCCCCAGTACGCCCGCCGCGCCTTCCACCCGTCCTGCCCGGATGTACCGCGTCACCACACCGCCGCGGACTACGCCACTTACCCTGCCTTCACAACGCCCGCCAGCCAGACTCGAGGAAACAAAGAGAGCTCCGCTGCGCAGGGAGGATATGGCTGATGACGTGAGTTTACTATTATTATGTTGAATATAATATAAAGCAAATGATCATTCAAATGATATTAACGAAGCGAACGTCACGTTAAGAGCAAGACGGATGTATATACGACAGCTATATTGTACGACGATATGACTCTTATTAACGTAATTTCAATGTTATGCTATCGATATTTTTTGGGTTGGATTTTGTCCCGGAGGAAGTATTGCCAATTAAACTATTACAGCTGATGCATTTCTATTTTTCTTTTTACTCACATACCAATCGCCGTGGGGTGTTTCTTAATTATTGCGTGATCATTTATTATAATAATGTTAAAGCTCCATGATCATAGATAGGTATTCAATGGAAATTGATACCAGATCCATTAACTTTTGTAACTCTATTGGAATCCAAACTAATTAAGTTACTTTCTTCCTAGGGTGTTTACATACTGGACAGCGGAGGACGTGGAGTTTGGGCATGGGTGGGCCCCACTGCAGGCGGATCGGCAGCTCGCAATGCGCTGGCAGCAGCACGGGGTCTGGCGCGAGCGCGACGATACTCCGGCCCCGTGGCACTAGTACCTGCGGGTCGCGAGCCACTGGAATTCGCCGCATTATTCCGCGACTGGCGCTGGGCGGACACACGGAGAGATTCGCGACTACGCGCTGCACGCTCCGCCACCACCAAGCTTGATGCCGTCAGCTTAGCTGCGAACTCTTGGCTTGCAGCTGAGGTGAGCCCTTTTTAACGATGTTCACTGCTGTATAAAATGACTCTAATGAACCGATCGATTTATCACCGGTGACCCTTTTTCTCTGCATTACGGCTGGTGAAGTAACCGTATAAAAAATATGTTTTTGCTTTGCGAAATTAGCAATGACGCGAACTTGAATTGGCAAAAGTATCGGCTTCTCTTCTCGAAGAGCAAGGAACTTTTCCTTACTTTCACAAGCAACTTTTACTTTCTTGATTACTGAATGCCTTGACGTTTCAGGCGCAACTCCCTGATGACGGTTCGGGTGCCTTGCGAATGTGGCGTGTCCACCGCAGCGACGAGTCGGAAGTGGCGCTGATGGAGGTGGAACGACCACAGGCGGCCGTGTTCTACTCGCGCGACTGCTACCTGGCGTTGTACACTTACCACGCGCCTACCGGCGAGCACTCCATACTGTACTACTGGATGGTAAGCGATCCCTACCAAGTCCCCAATGATTCCACCGTAGCGACGAATCAAGTAACGCTGACGGAGCTGGAACGAGGACTTCTTAACACGGCGACAGCTACCGCGCGCCCACCGACATGCACTTCCTAATTTACTAGTACCAGATAGTGAATGTCCCTTATCAACTCTCTGATGGCTCTGTATTTGCAGCGGGTCGATAAGAAGTACATTGCACCGACCCGGTATCCGGTTTAACAACGGTCTGTAAGAACTGACTTAATGCTACCAATAATATCCCCCTCAACCTCTGACCGCACATAAATGTAATATGGAGAGTGACTGATACCTGCTATCTCTGTCGCACCTGCTATCTTCTACACTAGACAGTCTGCTGTAAACAATAAATCAACGACGCTCTAAACAACCACAAAATATTCCAAACAACATTTCTTAAACAATCAGCTACTAAGTATAAAAAAAACTGAAACCAATCATCTTCTTCGTGCGTTCAAGTTTTTTTATTCAGTGAGCAATTCGATGCTTTGATAACGGAAGTGGTACTCAATCACTATTAAATAGACCACAAAGTTGTTTCCTAGTGACGTGGGATACTTTAATTAAGTAGAATAAGTACTACCTCAGTACAAAAACAGCTTTACGTAGTTTATAGAAACGTTCTGTCGTTGGTAGATTGCGATTCTGGGTACTTTACTTTTATACCCTTCAAATTTCCTTCCTTCCTGGATTAACACGCTCGAAAGGCCAGATTTTAATACGCGTGAGCGATACTTCTAGAATCAGTCCATATACTGCTTTCTTAGGCTGCTTTGTACCTAAAAATATTTACGATTACTATATAAGCAATAAAAAAAATACGATTTATTCTTCACAGGGTGGCTCTTCGCCAAATGATTTGAGGAATTTGGGCGCTATAGAAGCCAAAGACCTCCACATAAAACTAGGGCGTCTTCCCATTCAGGTCAGTGAATATTTTTAATCAGTTTAGTTAAACCTACAGTATCAACATCAATCAACATTTTTGTTATATTTTCCAGGCTTGGATACACCAAGGCAAAGAACCAGCTCACTTCCTTCAAATATTTAAAGGTCGTATGATTACATACTTGGGCAGCGCTACAGACTACGATCGTTAGTATTACAATATTTGTTTAATTAGAATATTTCACTTTTTATATTATTTCTCAAATTCCGACCAAAACTAGGCTGAAGATACAGCTGAATATACCTAAGTCTACTTTGAAGTAGGTACCTGATAAACGTATTTAAATCTTAATATATGTATAGAACTCTGTCTGTGACGTTTTTACGCCCAAACCGCTGAACATATTTAGATGAATTTTGTTATTGCGTAAAGGGGGACATTGGAGAAATACATAGGTTAGGTTTTGTCACTATTGGTTATAGGGTTTGCAAGTTTATACGAGAATCCTATTATATTACGCAGACGAAGTAGCCGATAATTCCTAGTATACTATATACCTACTTACTATTTTTTTTAAGTTATAATGCTACTACTCATCATGACTTGCCAAATGCCGATACGTCACACTTACAGTTTAAAATAATATTTTAACACTGCATCGCAATACATTTATGAACATATAATTTAATATAATATAATATGTATGAAAAACTATGCATTTGCAAAATAAGTCAAACTCATAACTTTAACTCGAGATTTAAGAACAAGCTTGCCGTTCCATGTTCTAGACTCCAAAAATCAAGAGTTCTCTAATTTCTGAGTTGTAGTATTGCACTGATTCATAAAGTTTCCTATGATCTGATTGAGCTTCCTCTGACCAAATTTATATCTCAAATCAAAAATACTGTTATGAGTAAGGGCTATTATTAAAGAAACAGCCCTTGCTGAGTTGCTTGCCGGTTCTTCTCAGTACAAGGTAATTCTGCGAACCGATGGCGTAGCTTCTCGATTTTCACAAGTACTTTTAACAGCCTAGACTGAATAAATGATTTTCGATTGATTGATTGATTTGAATTGATTATAATATAAATAGTTCGAATGCACAGAGGCCCAAGCACGAATTTTGACAGCTTCGTAATCGTATCGCATCGTAAAAGTTTATATGAAAACTAAGCAGCGCCCCTACCGGAAGTAAGAACAAACTGGCTCCTTCGATACAAAATTTGACGATGACGATACGGAGCTGATAAAATTCGTGCTTGGGCATCTGGCCGTAAGTTATTTCATAACAGACGGTTAGGGAAACGTGAATAACAATTCTGCCTTCGCAGATGGTTAAGAACATAGGAAGCTAATAAACCTAATTCCTGAATGTTATTGTTTCTTTAGCGAGCGGACGTCGAGTAGTAGCGCCGGCGCGTGCGCTGATCCGCGTGTCGGGGCAGTACGCGCGCGAGGCCCGCGGGGTGGAGGTGCGGGGCGGGGACGGGTCCGAGGGCGAGGCCGGGGGTGAGGGAGGGGCGGGCAGCTGCTACGTGGTGCGGGACGGGGGGAGGGTGTGGGTGTGGTGCGCCGCCAGCGCCACCGGCGACGAGCGCGAGGTGGCCAAGAACATGGCCGCCGCTGACCACGCGCTCGTCATGCAGGGTTAGTGCTCACCATACATATATACACAGTAGGGCGAGGGGGAGGCAGGCAGCTGCTACAAGTCGCGGCACGTAACGTCGCGTTACGCACTCGTCATGCAGGGTCAGTACTCGCCATACATACAGAGACATTAGGGCGGGGTGAGGCAGACAACTGCAACGTGGTGCGGGACGGGGGGACCACGCGCTCGTCATGCAGGGTCAGTGCTCGCCATACATACACAGACATTAGGGCGGGGTGAGGCAGACAACTGTTACGTGGTGCGGGACAGGGGGACCACGCGCTCGTCATGCAGGATCAGTGCTCGCCATACATACACAGACATTAGGTCGGGGTGAGGCAGACACAGTTGTCTACGTGGTGCGGAACTGGGGACCACGCGCTCGTCATGCAGGGTCAGTGCTCGCCATACATACACAGACATTAGGGCGGGGTGAGGCAGACAACTGCTACGTGGTGCGGGACGGGGGGACCACGCACTCGTCATGCAAAGTCCGTGTCGCCATACATACATAGACAGTAGCGTTCTGTATCGGTTGTAACGAGCACTAATGACACTCATTCATAAGAGACCGTAGACAAAATAAAACAGGGCAGATAAATGTAGCTCGTTATAAAATTTACTGTACCAACTCACTCCAGACCATTCTTTATTGACTATGGTAACTATCTAATACCGGGTTTACACGAAGCGATTTTTAATCAACTTTGCTTTTCTTCTATTTGATTACTTCAATTTGAATGAAAGTCTGTTGCAAACGCTTCAAATTGCATGCGAATTAGCAGAATTGATCAATCAACTAAAATCACCTTGTGTGAACTTGTGTTTGCCATTCTTCTTATTCTTCAAATATCATGTTTTAAAATCGAATCCCTACCTCGCCTTCAGGCGCGGTCTGAAGGGAGGGGGTCACAGGGGACATGACCACCCCCCCAAATTTAAGGTCAAATTGAAAAAGCTCAAAAATTTGCCAAACAATAAAAGGAAATTTCTAGCTATCCCCTAACAGCGATAAATTTATAGTTTGTTGACATTTAGTGGTGTTTTTATGAACTACGTACGATGGCCAAAATAACTTGGAAATGACATCTAGTACTACTTTAGAAACAAGGAACCGAACTACGTAGTCTTGGTATTCCTAGGAAAATCGATATGCGTCGTTATGATTAAGATTGTATAACAATATTTTATAAGTAATGTCTAAACTAAATTGTGTCTTGTGCAATAAAGTTTATTTTATTCCAGATACCTATTTTTTATTAGTGTAGTGAGTCACCCCCTCCAAAATTTGAGGCTGCGACCGCGCCTGCTCGCCTTAGACTGCATCTGTAGTCTTTGGCACCCACCAATCTCCACTGAGTTCCTTTGTAGGTGTTGGCCCCACAGAACACAGAAAGAGGTTAGAAAGGCCTTGTGGGCGGGCAGGCGCACCACAGTTATATGTGAGCAAATGCTCATAACTTGATCAAAACTTGGTTCTGATTGCGTCGTTGCTCTAGTAAGATAAGGTTATTTATATATTAGGTACCTACGACTTTTACCTTCTTAATGCTGTTATTTATAATGTATTTTTTCTTATTGGTTAATTGACTAAATGTCAAGCATAATGGTTAACATTTTGATCTCGGAAATACAGGTGCAAATAAAATATAACCTATTTCAGGCAAATTGATTATCACGCTCTTAATTAGTCTAGATTTTTAATCAATGTAATAGGAACTTATTTTTCATGAATAAAAATTTATTATTATAGAGACAGTGGTGTTGATTCTGGCATGATTCTCTAAACCTAAACTTGAATTTGGCAGCAGTGTATCCCTGTCATTCTCTAAATTTAGTTGGAAGTTTAGAGAACCCTGTCAGAATCAACACCAGTGAAGACATTAATCACAGAGCACTCCCACTAAAGACCGTATTTATCACATCATTGTTAGAAAACAAAATCGCCAAAGGTGGTGGCGTGCGGGGAGGCTGGGCTGCATATTGATAGGACACGTGCGGCGTCCCCTTTGGATCAGATTAGGTGCAAACTTGTATCGCGACGTGTGGAGGCGCGTCACAAGCTTATGTGGTGATAATACATACGCTTCACAAGCGGGTGATGCCCCGCAGTCTTTAGTGGGGATACTCTATGATATTCATCATAGTAATAATTAGCTTATTAATGCGAAGCGCGGAGAAACTCGAGATAACAAATTTTTGGTCACCCTTAGACCGGCAATTGCGAAAGTTGCTTAACTTCTACGATCGCAGCCGAAAACGCTAACCACTTGCGCCATTGAGCTCTCTCCTCCTGTCTACATGGATATTACTAGATAATAATGACCTCGTTGGTCCGCTGCCCAGGTAAAGAGTCGGCGGAGTTTTGGTCTATGCTGGGCGCGCGGCGACGCGTGCTGCAGGCGGCTGCACCGCGTGGCGTGGAGCGCCCCCTGCCCCCGCGACTGTTCTACGTGTCGCTCGCCGTGCCCGCACAGTACTCATGTAACTACACCATACCTTGTCTTAATTCTGGTCAAGCCCAGACACGGCGGAGTTCTGGTGTATTCTGGGCGCGCGGCGTGGATAGCCCCCTGCCGCAACGACTGTTCTACATGTCGCCAGCTGTGGTTGCGCAGTATTTGTGTAACTACACCATCACTTGACTTAATACTGGTCAGGCACAGAGATGGCAGAGTTCTGGTGTATACAGGGCGCGCGGCGTGGATAGCCCAATGCCGCAACGACTGTTCTACGTGTCGTTAGCCGTGCCCGCGCAGTATTTGTGTAACTACGCCATCATTTGTCTTAATACTGGTCAGGCACAGAGACGGCGGAGTTCTGATGAATACAGGGCGCGCGACGTGGAGCGCCCCCAGCCCTAGCCCCCTGCCGCAACGACTGTTCTACGTGTCGCTAGCCGTGCCCGCGCAGTATTTGTGTAACGACGCCATCACTTGTCTTAATACTGGTCAGGCACAGAAACGGCGGAGTTCTGGTGTATACAGGGCGCGTGACGTGAAGCAGCTTTTTCTTAAGGTTTTTCCGCCCGGGTTGGAACGAAAATTATAGCGGGATCTTAATCCACCGAAACTCGAAAAACCAACAAAGCATATAGCCTCCAAAAACCGCGACGACCACTTGGACTATTACTACAGCAAATAGCTAAAGTAAAGGATGACAAGTGCGCGAGATTCATTACTTTGGATTTACCTAATTACGTGATAATTCTGCTGCAGTTCACAAATTATTAGTCATATTTCTTTAACTGTAATCTAAATGTAGATGGAATAGCTAACAGACTCAGGTTACGTTTCCGTGGCGTATTCGAGGAGATAACCAAGTTTAGTCAATATGAGCTGGTGTAGCAACTAAAGATTTCGCGCACTTGTCCACCGGGACGCGAAGGACCAACAACACAAAACAATACAGCCTCCTAATGCGGTGTTACTTAGAAACGACGATGATGTCAAAGATTTTATTGCAGCAAGAGCCAAAGCAATAAACTCAAATGGAAGACTACAAGTGCGCCAGATTCTTTACTTATTAACGTGATAATTCTACTGCAGTTCAAAAATCATTGTAAATGTAGATGGAATAGCTAACAACTCGTTACTTTTCCGTGTCGCAGTCGAGGAGATAATCTCGTTCAGCCAGTACGAGCTGGCGCCGGAAATGGCAGCGGTGCTGGACGCTCACTGCGCTGTCTACGTGTGGCTTGGAGCGCACTGCTCCACGCGCGCTCGTGATGACGCTATTTCGCTCGCAAGAGCATACCTTGCTCAAGGTACGTCTTTTTATAACGTGTTAAATAGTCTGAACTTCTCCTAAACCTAGTTTTATACCCATAGCAGCAAAGGTATAACAAGGTAGGTATATATACACTATTGCCAGTACGAGCTGGCGCCGCAGATGACGACGATGCTGGACGCTTACTGCGCGGTGTACGTTTGACTCGGAGCGCACTTTTTTACACACGCTAGAGAAGGGGCTTGTGGGCGGGGCAGGCGCGCCATAGTTATGTGTGAGCAAACGCTCATAACTTGACTAAAACTTGGTTCTGATTACACCGTTGCTCTCGGGTGTGAGCGCTGATTGGTTCGATTGTTTGATGTCGCGTCCTTTGATTGTCTATTATCTATTAGGTGGAAGTGTATTGGGGACGAGCCGACGACATCGGTTCCCGTACAAAGATCTATGATCACCCTTCTAACCACTTTCTGTGTTCTGTGGAGACGACGCATTGTCGCTTGCTAGGGCATACCTCGCGCAAGGTAACTACGTCTTTATTTATTTTTTGTAATAATATGAAAACCGCAATGAAGGCATAAACGAGATACCTATCGCAGAGAAGCAGTTTTTATGAATGATTTTTAGACAATGTTGATACATAAGCTGTTTGAAAATGTTCCCAGATCCTGCAGCGAGGGATCCCGAGACGCCCATCCTCATTCTATCACAAGGTCGAGAGCCACCAAACTTCACTGGTTTCTTCCCGCACTGGAAACAAACTATGTGGAAGGTAAAAATCGCATTAAAAATAACTTCACTCTAAACTCTCACTTTGCGCTATAGTTAGAAGATAAAGCTGAAAGTGCAGCACACCACGAGACAGATAAAAATGTTGATCAGAGTCGTTAATACTGAGAAACCCAGTGCGGCATTAGTGGGCACATAATACGTAATATACAGACAAATCTATTTTCCTTTTCTTATGTTCCCAGTCCAGTACCTACTCAAATCATGACTAGTATATTCGTATGAAAATATATTTTCACTGTTTGTTCATTTCCAGGGGCACAAAACCTTCAGTGCCATCGTCAGCGCTCTAGAAGGGAAAGCGATAGTGCAGTGCGGAAACAGCGCAGTACAGAGCGGCAACAGCGCGAACAGATTCGACCAGTATGAGAAATACCCGCTTGCTGTGTTAAGGGGGCCGAGAGAGCACCTGCCTTCAGACGTTGATCCACTTAATAAAGAGGTAACTGAAATGAACTTTCTTACGACGTTATTTTTTTATGAGATAAGAAAACACGTGAATTTAAATGGATTTGGAACATTCAATTTCAGAACTAACAGTTATCTTATTACCAACATTAAAATATCCAGGCATAATTAAAAAAAAAATATTATAACACCCGTTTGGGTATTATTGTATAATGGTTTATTTTTAATAAATTTCATAATAACACTCATTCGCTTTTTAAATCCCCTCCGCGCCAAGGGCTTGCTCAGACGTCATGGTCGGTTCAGAATCTTTTATAGAGGATTCATATCATGGGTGTAGATTAGAGATGGGCCGACTAGTCGGGAAAGACGACTATTCGGCATCGTTTATGGTCAGCGATTAGTTGGCGACTATTCGGCAAAACATGCCGATTATAATCGGCACAAAACAATGAAATGAAACTCTTAAACTTATGCTTGTTTAGAATATTTAAACAGTACCTAGAGTATGTAATTAAACTTACCTACAGTCTTAAAATATAAAAAAACATAAGGTAACACAATGAGAATTAGGAACTTAAGAATCTGTCAGTAATTTTAATAACATAACACAATGATTATCGCACAAAACAAAATAGCAATGGGAAGTATGTATTAATGGAGTAAAATCTTAAGTGCTAGTGAGTCTTAAAGAAGTCCATAGGTAATTTTTTTTACTTAGAGGCAAATTGTGAAGTTGGAACGTGAATATTTCGGCTCGATTTGGGAGACTTGTGTCGTGCGTGAGCAAGCCGAGTAGTGACGAAGTATTTCGAACACTTTCCTAAGATATGTATTAGAATGATCGGCATTGCAGAATAGTCGGCCGACTAGTCGGCTAGTCGGTTAGTCGGCAAATACTATAGTCGGCCCATCTCTAGTGTTGATAGTCTTGTATGCAACTGTTATAATTAGGTATTAAAACACTCATGTGATACTATTATCATATGTATGACAGTAGTATCATATTCGTGATTCGCTCATTATACAACAATTGCATTAATAACGATGATATAACGTCAATGAAAACGGCCGTTAGATGAACTAATTTGCCTTTTACTGATACATAAAAGATTTCAATCACGCAAGATTATTTTTAGACTCAATAAAGAATTTGGAGATCAACAATACAAGAAAGATGGTCATAAAATACAGTTATACACAAAAATGAATTTAATAAATTATAAAAAAAAAGTTTTATTTCTTTTTAATGTTTACTTACCTTCTTTAATAACTTGACCAATGGCGTATTTGGCAAATTACAATTACATAATTTGACGAATTACCAATTTGTCTAATTTCTAATTTGTCGATTTTACGATTTGATCAATGTCGTAACACCGAGAAGAATGTAATATTTCAATTTATTATTTTCAGCTGTATTTAACTCATGATGATTTCGTCGCTACGTTTGGTGCATCGTACAATGAATTCCGTACGCTACCGGCTTGGAAACAGAAGGACATGAAGAAGGCAGCTGGTCTGTTTTGAGCAAAAATGTAAAATAAAAGTAAGCGGCAAATAATTTGAACATAAAAGTTCAACCTTTGCGCGTTACATTCTTTTCTACGTAAAAATGTTACTGAGCAAGTCATGTGGTTATTCAATTATGATCGAGTAATTTTCCAGTATTTGTTTGTGTAATATTAACAGATAGAGCGTTAGTAAAAATAGTATTACCTAAAATGTATCAATACGTATTAAGAATCTCGCGCACTTAGTGTACAGGGACTCGAAGGACCAACAAAGCGATATAGCCTCCTAAATGTGGTTTTATATACCGCGATGACGTCATATACCATTGCAATGAAGTGAAATGGATGACTACAAAGTGCGCGAGATTCTTCACTTAATTAAGGATTCATGCATCAACAATGAACATAATTATTATATTATAAAGAAATGCTTAAAGTTGTATTATAATAATATCATCTATCAGTTTCGGCATATTAATATAAAGGTACATGATTTACAATATTAATAAAAATATCAGTATTTATTAAAATATGAAACACCATATCATAGTGGTAATTGGAGTACGTGGCGATTGATACTTTTAAAAGTCGAAGATTTATTTATATGAGGCAGCATTCTCATTGTTAAAAAGTCTTTAAGTTCCAAGATATATTTTAGGACCATAGTTGGCTAAATATTATGAATATAATATTTAAATGAAAATATATAAAAAAATTAAATGTTAATTATCCTTAAACCTAAATTTTATTATATAAGCTAACGAATTCTTGAATTGTATTATGTAAATTATTACTAATATTGTTATAAATTTGGTTGAAATTTCTTATATATATACTTTGAACCGTACTAGTACGAAGTCTTTCCACAATGCAATTTGTAATTGCTGAAGAGAGACAAAGCTATGCGAAGTGTAAACGACATCCTGCTGACATTAGCGCGTTGCATCACGTTATTAGCTGTCGGTACGGCCACTATTATACATTTTATGAGCAAGTTATTTCTATTCATTTGAATATTTTAATATAATAAAATTTAATCACACTGAAATATGCGTGGTTTTTTGCACTGTGTTAAAAAGATATAAAAACAATGAGAAAGGTCAAAATGTTATTTATTTTTAATTAATTTTAAGTGAAATGATAAAATAAAACATTGAGATATTGTTTTAAATGTTATTTATTTTTCACAAATTTAGCACTTATACATTAGGCATTAATTTTATGATAAAATTAATAATCTTTACAATATACAAATTCCTTAAAAAATCCATAAAATATTAGTTATTTCGAAACATATGTACATTATAATAACTATTGATACATATCATATATGCCTAGGTGATATGGGAGTGGGCCGTAGTTAAGGCACATGGTATTAATATAACGTATTGCATGACACACAATAATCACGCACAGAACTAACATCAAAGATTCCAACCCAAACCATGTACGAAAAAAAATAGATTCAATGATAATAGCTAATAGAGTACACGCCCTATAGAATATATAGTCGTTAATTTCAAATGAATGAAACGAATTTTATTGAGAAATTTCGTCTTTGCTAATGAAAAGCTAGCTAGTTAGGAACTTACAATTTTAGCGTGATAAATAAAAACGATCATAATAAAAGATGAATTTTAATAATAAATAAATTTACATAATCATGATTTTACATTGTCCAATATTTATATTATAAGACAATTTGGGAGTATTTCTGTGGGCGTCTGTATGAGAGCGCCGTTATAAAAATACTCCGCGAAAATGTCGTATTGTAAAATCAGCTTTATAATCATTATGCATAGTATATAACAACATTATTACATTGAATATTATTAATGAAAAATAAATGACATTGTGTACTATAATAAATCGAAGTAAACTGCGGATATTTTGTTAAGTTTGATGTTCTTTTTTTTCTTTGGCAAACAACCATTTTTGAACAATATAATAAAAAGTCATAATATGATACAATATGGAATGAAATAACACGAACAATGCAATAGCTGCCCTAATAAAATATAATTTAAAAAATGCATCTCAAAAAATAAGCATAAAGCTACGATGAATCGCAAACACTTAAGTACGTACATTTGATATTCTTTTGTCAGTACACGAACAGAAATAAGAGATTGGCCGGTGCTTAAATCTAAAAAGGAAATAATTCAAGCGACAACTGCACAAGCTGAACCAGAGTCAACATAAAACTAACGTAAACAAAATCAACATAGCTTTTATTGTAGGAATGTAAAGTGTCGTGGAGCAATTATAAACAGCGTATGTATATGATATAACAAGAACCACTAATAACAAATCCTCGGAGGCCGGCTTCCCTCTAGCACCACGGGTGTAGAAACACGTCTATTATCACAGCTAACCTCATCCCGCACTCCCTCATATGAACGGTCGCGTACCTCACGCCCACAAACTCAATACTACCAGCGATCCTTACCCGCCAAGCATTTAACCTTTTTACTGACAACTAAACGCCATTGATAATACAAAAATAGATATTCGAATTCACCAAGTGTCAGAACTGCAATTCTTTAGATTATGTCTTCGTTTGAGCTACGAGTGCTCCTTCTATTCCTTTTATTATTACTATATGCCTCTTTCCAGCAACGTCAACGAATAAAAATAATTAACAGCCAAGTAAAATAATTTATAAGCGGCATACAATCATTGAAAAAATAGTGGTAATTTTATTTAACCTATAATCGAATAATAGGCATCAAAAGTGGGATGTTGTGAAACGGTACTAGCTTACAACACATTTTTTGTACTTTAAAATCACAACTAAAACGTCTTATTGTACATTACTAGAGGCTAGAGTGTATAGGCACTTTCTGGGTAAGCATAATAACGTTAGGCCGTATCTTGCTTACCTTCAAGCAACAAAACGTGCTAGTGAAAATTGGTATTTTCAATATCACATGTTCAGTATACATTTAACAATAACGAGACAATCGACATAATTACAAGTTAAGCTCTCCTAAAATGGTGACCAATTTCCACAACCGTGAAGCTTAAATGTCAAATGGCAATCATATATGATATTTAAGTATTAAAATCATAAGGTATTTTATTGATTACAAATCAATTTGAGTTTAAATCAACAAAAGCAGATTTGGCACCATAACATTAAACGGGGTTTCTACTACAATAACTTTATCACACAAGCTACCAGAGAGCACAAAACCTTTGTTTATTTATTGCTTTTCATATTTATCACATGCTTCGTGGCGAGTATCCTCGTCTTTTAATAGGCTATTTGACAGTATGAAAAATAAAGTACCAATTGTTGGCATTTGTATTTTATATGAATATTAGCAACGATTTTTCTATTCTGGGGGAACAAAGTATTAATAAATTTACTAAAAAAATCATTAAATAGGAACGTTTTTTTTTTGTTCTATGGTCACTGTTCTATGGAACGAAAACGCCTCAGATTGGCGAAGCCTAAAATGACGTCACATGCTAGTAAACTTCGGGTCAAAGTGACATTACATTGTATCGTTTGAAGTTTTAATGACAGTCGTGTTACGTCACATACTAGTGAGATGCCATACTGTCCAGAGAAACGTTTTCGCGGCAACTTGAAATAGGAATTTTTCATTTTGATTTTTTTACTGAATTTTATATATAACAAAAGAATGATGATTATCCACTTTTTATGGACTCCATAAAAATTAGTAATTAACGAGAGGTGGTTTTCTAAAACTTGTCAAATACCCTATTCAAAAGTGGTCAGTGATCTCAATTATCCAAAATCAACGACAAACAATGCATTACGATATTAATAGGTAACTGTATAAATTCTAAACTTCATAATTGAATGTTTTTCACTACTGAACATTAATTTTTAATTTGTATGCAAAATTCAGGGAAGCCCATTTGAGTCTATCATTTACATAAGACGCAGTTAATGATTTTAACGTTTGAGCAACTACAGGAGACGATTATCTATATAAACAATTATGGCACTGTTCTTCGTTAATTTGCAAAAGAGATAGCATAACTCACTTTACTTAAATCTAGGAAGATCTACATAATTGTAAATTTTACTACGATTTCATAAGTAGGACATTATAAAACAAAAATCTATTACGAACACTGTGTCAGTCAAAAAGTACAAATGGACTACAAATATCGAAAATGTCAACTAAAAAGTGTTATAATTTGTAAATTAGTAAACAAATATTTAAAGGAGATTGAATTAGTTTATTTAATCTTCCGTCCTTATTTATGTCTCTCTCATTATCTTGCGTTTAACAGAAAATAATGGCATATTTACATCGAATAAGTAATAGCTATTCGACTAATCATTAGGCAACACCAGCCAGGCGATTTTGTATATGGTTAGGCCAAAGGACAAAACCGACCAGCAAAGCGCCCGTGTAATACGCCATAAACTTGAGAAATTCTGTAAGTGTCATTTTATATTCTCGTCTGCGTGTATTTAACAAATAATTCATTATTATTTATAAGCTAAACCCAGTTTAACACAATACAAGTTGTTTATTCAATATCTTAAGTATGACAAAGAGGCAGTCATAATTCGTAAGTACTTGCATGTAAATAACTAAATTATGATCATCTATAGCGTTGTCACACAATGACGTTCATTTGTAGCGATCAAAACCTACATTGTGGAAATAAATGATGGATTATGATTGATGGTAAGGTTTGAGGCAACGTCTGGTGTTATGAATGAAGGTAATACAATTATTACAAAAGTCAAAAGTGAAGAAGCTCAATTCTACGTGGATTCTTAGGCCGAGTTCACACAGACTGAGGAGACACGATATGTAACATTATTAAACACAAAGCAGTTTCCTGTCGGACTAGGTGTCAGAAACATTGAAATCGTTTAAAATTCTTCACTTTAAAAATACGATTTAATTTTTGCACATGCATTTATTCTAAACCAGACACAAAACTAGAGGCACCCTGCTCGGTCTATGCGAACTTGCCTTATAAATGACTATTAATCATCGACTTTTTAATCAATGATGATATTATGTGAGCTTTCAACTTTTTAACATAAACCCAAACCTGTATCACAGCGTATACATTAAACGTGTGAACACATCGACAAACTAACAGTAGCGCATGAAAGAAGCTTGTTTTAGCACATCCTTAGCCGTTCGCACTCAACTCAACCCAAAAGCATTATAATCGCGAGTGACAAAACAAATTGCGTCTTCGACACGCGCGTATTATTCAATAAAATAACAATAGCGAATAAAAAACGTAATATCAACATAATTAATGTAACTAATATATACAAGATTCGATTCAATTTATTTTAAATCATGTCGCGCACACTGAGTTGCTTGACATGAAACGTATTACCCGACTGGCGCACGCGCAATGACAATGAACGGACACCTCTATAGGATATATTACGCCGCTCATGTCTAACTTTAATTAAATTCTTGTTACTCGAAATATTCCTTAATTGGTAACGGTTAAGAAAATGACAAAGTTAAGGTCATGTTTTCATTTTTCACGTTTCGATTTCATAATTCATTTACTGTATTATAATTTCATGTCAGTATGGGGTTTATTAATATCACATACAGCATTAATTCGTATTCGGCCGAAGTATAATTGTTTCTTATAATAATAAACCATTTTCATAAATTTGGAAAACGGTCATATCTTTTCAAATATATTTTCCTTTCGTTTTGAATAAGAATCCAATTTTATTCGTTCTCGGTATACCACTCGCCTGAGTTTCTATAGTAATAAGTACATAATAATAATCTATACACTCGCAATAACTATCACAGCAAACAAGCTGAAGTCATGTAAATTAAAAATTTAGATAAACACCTAACATTTAAAAAGAGACTAGCTAATTTAAATAGTAAATCAATCAGAATCAATTTTAACAAACAAACTCGATTAACATTATATAGGTCAAAATGCGCAAATACTTCCGAAACTTCTATTAGGGTAAAATCAAAGACGATAGTGTTAGTACGAAGTAGCTAGACTACCATTAGTGTTAATCAATTCCAGACTCATTTACCGGGGCGTAAGGGCCAGAGTCGCGTCACTGGCGCGGCAGAGAAGAGTTGGCGGGCAGAGTGGAGCTGCGCTGCGTCGCGTTCATATACGCTGCTTTCAGGTTCGATCGCATCGAGTCCCTATCAACAGAAAATTTAAAATCTTAAACTCTTTCTATTTATAATCCAATGGCCTGTGTGTATCTTCTGAAAGATTTTGGTATGATATAGTAGAACTTGATATGATATGACCAGGGAAGGTTTGGGTACGATGTGTATATTTGAAAGGAAGCTTGGTATGTTCGTTGTTATGTTCGTAGCTCGATAATAACTTGATGTAAGTAGTCTGCATATTTGGGGGTAAAGTAACTACTATGGATACAGCATGGCGTACTTCTTTGGGCGTATGAACCAGTTAGTATGGTCGTTATTGGTTTAATTTATGTACATTACTTACAACATTTTTACTGAATGTGCTGTCGTTTGTAATAGGCTAGTTGACTCATGTCGAATTGTATTAAATAAATGTTTATTTCATAAAGTATTTGGTCTAAGGAACCTAAATATATCAATTTCACTTCATAAAAGCAGAAGATTGCTGTAGAAATTTAATTTTAAAAAATATTTTTTAGTCTATATTTTTTAAACACTAAAAATGCTGTTCGCCACATCCGCCATGATTGTGACGTCTCATATGGTAAACAACTAAATGTCATTCGCGTGTTACTGTGGGTGGATTCTTTCGTCTGACTAAATTTATCATAAAAACACTTTTAACTTTAGAAAAGTTTCCGTTTACTGTTTTTTTTGAAAACACTAATTATGGATGCCGGCTTTGTGAAAACAGAAAGCACAAATCTGCCAAGAATTGACGCATTCATGGTTGGTGAATTTATTTCACTAAACCCCGATTAATGCTCTGCCGAGCAGAGAAACGACAAGGCATCTATGTGAGTACAGTGTATTTAGTATTACAATGTAGTAATAAACATAAAACTGATACAACATATGAATAAGTGTAATAAAGTTGCGTAGGTTAATTTCTTTCGGCACTTTTAATTCACAACTTTCCTGGAATCTTCAAGGATGTGTTTTTATATTCTCGTACAATACAATAATGATAATTACTTTATTTTTCGGGGTATTTATTAGAAATCATCTTTTGTTTATTATAAAGTCAGTTATTTTCTTACGAGTTTTTGTTTATTTACCTTTCTCTATGTGTTTACTGCAGTTAACGTCATAGCATAGATAATCTATAGACTAAAATGGCCGATAGCGTTTTTGTATGTCCATGAAAAATCTATTTTAAAATTAAAGATTTGTAGCTTTTTAGGTCTCAAAAAAATACAATACATTTTTTTTCGGTCTAATGGAACATTTATTAACCATTTAAAACCTTTTTCCAAAAAGGGTCAACTAGCCTATTGGGACTCGGGGCGGTATCTTAGTGTCATATTCATAGGTTTGTGTGCTATGAAGAATTTGAAAGGAGAATTAGATATGATCGTGATTATGTTCGTAGCTTGGTGTGATCTCTGTGTACGTACCTGGGCAAGGGCGTACCCAGGATTTCAGCTAGGAGGGGGCAGCTCATACCTGTTTCGAGAAAATGGATCTGTCGGGTATATTGAAACAAAAAATCATGAAAATCTCGGATTTGCCGCCGAAAATTTGTCTATGACAGTCTTTTGAATAAACTCACTGTTTTCTTTTAAATAATTGCGATGTACGCTCATCAGACATTAACCCGTAAGCCTTTCTTCACCCATGGTGCTTCCAAGCCACGTTTTAACTCTTCGAAGCGTACTGAAGGACCGTTCTACGGTCGCCGTGGTGCATGGGATAGTGCTTAAAATAATCAATGCCTTTCTGACAGCAGGGTAAAAAATATTGGCTTCGTTGAACAGATCAACTACTTCTATATCCCTTAATTGATCATCTGATAAAGCATTCTTCATCCATAAATTATGCCAAAGGTTCAGTTCTCCAGTGATATCCAGGTTATAAAATTCTTGGAATGATTCTGGGTTCTTGCGTAAGTCTGTAATGCTGGTTTTGGTCATATACAAGGGATGTAGCTTACTTAAAGCAAACGTCGGAGTATTTTCTTGGGAGAATCGAATATTCAACGATGAAATGAGTGAAACAATGTATGGTATTATCAGAGAACGCCGCTAATATTCGTTATCATTATCAGATGGCGGATTACTTCTATGTGTTTGCTTATGAGCAAGACGTGGAACTGAAATTTCTATGTTCAAATCCATTGCAACAGCTCGCGCTTTTTGAAGCATTGCATTACTTATTTCATTAGGAAACTCGCAGTCATTTCTGAGAGTGTCTTTGATATTTTTGATGTGTTCCCTCCCCCACCGAGATCATGTCGATCGATTTAGCTTGCAGTGCGTCAACTACTGGTTCTAAAACTGCTGAATATTTGGCTATTTTTTGTAGAGCAACAATAAACACTGGTTTGGTAAAGGCTGAATGCAACTGATATGTAGATTTTCTGGTGGCATAATTTCCCTCTACGGATACCGTTTCTAGAGATTTCACAAGCTCTGGAAAATGTTGAGAAAACTTTCGGATTGATTTATATTTTATGGACCATCTCGTCTCACACAATCTTGATATGTTTGGAGCGTAGTTTAGACGAGTAGTCGATTCTCTGAAAAACGTTATAACATCCTTAACAGTGGCGATAGTATTTCTAATTTCTGGCACTGCGTTCGCATCATTCACAACAAGGTTGAGTTTGTGACTTGAGGGATGTCTCATACTTGCTATCACTGTATTTCCTTTCCAGAATAGTCCATGCTAGAACGTTCTTCTTTACTGGAAAAAGTACTGTCGAGTGTCGTCGTCCGTAACTAGATAGCGCTAGACGTTGTATTCTCCAAATTATATTCGGCTTTAATCATCGATGGCTCTGATTATCTCGTCGGGAGCGGAAACTACGAGATACGACGGTTTCGCGGGAGATATAAATTATATTGCGTCGCTAATATATCAAATGTTGTAGAATATTTAATTATAGATAAAAAATATAAAATCAAAATATCTGACAGAAAAGATGTTATGTTTCCAACACTTCATTTTGCGCAGAGTAGGTAACACGTTTTTAATTCCCACTTGCCAGGAAAATTGACGTTTATTTTATCTTATTGTGGTCGCCTGGCTTAATGTATTGTTGTATGGTCTTGGTAATGTTTGCGTGTGATAATGTTAGTGTGTGAGATCGTGTTTATGTTTGTAGCTCAGTGTGATCATGGTTGTTTTTGTGGCTTGGTGTGACCGTGGTTATGTCTGTAGCTTGGTGTGATCGTGGTAATGTTCGTAGCCTTGTGTGATCGTGGTTATGACCACTGCTTGATGGGATCGTGGTTAATGTTCGTGGCTTGATTTGATCTTGGTAATATTCGTAGGTGGTTGGCATGATGGGCGGCGCGGTACCCGTTTCTCTGCACCCGTCTCGCTAGTCTCGCGACCCAGCGCCGTTGTTCTGGAGCGCTATGTTCCCAGCTTCATATGATCGTGGTTATGTCTGTTAGTGCGATAGTGTTTACGTTCGTGGCTTCGTATGATCTATGGCTACATAACGAAGAGCACGATGGCGCTAGTGATTAGCGCGTTGGGTTGCGATCATTGAAATTAAGCAACTTTCGCAGTGGTCGGTCATTGGATGGGTGACCAAAATATATATTTACTATCTCGAGCTCCTCCGTGCTTCGGAGGACATGTTAAGCCATTGGCCCCGACTGCATCTGCAGTCGTTAGCACCCACCAATCCGCACTGGGCCCGCGTGGTGGGTCATGGTCCAATCTCCCTATTCCATCCATAGGGAAGTCCTGTGCCCAAGCAGTGGGGATATTTATAGGCTGATGATGATGAAAGCTACATACCTGGGAGACAGCTTGGTGTGGTCATGGTTGGTATGATGGGCGGCGCGGTACCCGTATCTCTGCACCCGTCTGGCTAGCCTCGCGACCCAGCGCCGTTGTTCTGGAGCGCCGGGTGCTAAGAGTAACAGTTCCCGAGCTCTGTTCGCGTGAAGTTTGCAAGCGGCCACACCTTCGCCCTCGTTTATGTGTTCAACGTGGATTTTCATACGACAGCCTGTGTAAGGAATTATGTCATTTATTTAAATAAAGAGTCATTTTGTAATCTACATATATATATATCTATATACAAACAATAATTTTACTCACGTCTACACTCGTAGGCTTGCGGCGGACGGAACATATGCCACAGGGGGCGCGTGCAAACCTCGCACGCGGTCGGGATGTGGTACGTTATGTTCACTAAGTCGTGACCCTTGTGTTGGACTGTGTTGCCTGCGATAATAATAGAACCTTTGAGTTTTAAATTAAGACGAAGAGGAGACAAAATAAACCGACTCTGTTGTCGATTCTGACATAATTCTCTAAATTTAAAACTAAATTTTAGGGGGGGGGGGGCGGCCTGCATTGCACAAGCTCTCTTGATGCTGGTGCCCCTGATACTCCGGGGCACCTTCATCGGGGTGGGTCCGTTCGCGGACAATCACCTTGCGGGTGCGCAGACAGTCGGCAACGGTTGCCGCGACCACACCCGCACTCCCGGCGTGCATTGGGGGGACTGCGGTCCTCAGAATGTACGCCGGGTGACCGGTGCAGGAGTATTGTCTGGTTTTTAGTGGCCCTGTTCAGGGCGTTAGGTAGGGCCCTGCTCATTTCACCCGGCCTAAGGGCTGGCTGAAATGAGCAGGGAGGAGTCCCACATACCTTCTTCTCGCTCCCCCGGTGGTTGAAGGATGCGTAAAGCATTTCCCAGAAAAAAAAAAGAAAAATAGGACTGTGTTGCCTGCTCCAATAATAGAAGCTTCAAGTTTTTTATAATGACGGCGAAATAAATAGATACTGCAAACATTTAGAAATATGGGCAATAAAGATCGTTTTTTGTGTGGAAAAGTTGAGAAACAAAACAAAATGGCCTGCTAGATGGTAAGTGGCCCATATAGAATATATTACATATCGCAAAAACCCAACACACTGTACCCAATAGATGCGTATAGAAGTAGGAACTGGGAGGGATGATCTCCCTCTGTTCTAGTCATAAAGTAGGGCCAACGAGAAGCGATACAACAGTTCATTCACCTTAGATGAGACTAGGGCTGATAGTTTAAAAACTATCTCTTTCATCTCATTTATATGACATTAGGTCTTATTCGGTCATGTCACGCTCCGAGTTGGCTAACATTCGGGACCAATTTATAGAAAAATATAATGACATATTTTCATTTTGATCAGTGGTCCGCGTAAAGAAGCTGGACTTTATTGATGCTAGTACAATACTGATCGGCGTGGTCCTGCGCGTCGGGCGGTTGGTCAGCCGCGTCGCCGGGCCGTCTGACCTCGCCCTCGCCCGCGTATAGAAGCTGGAATATATTGATGCTAGTACAGTACTGACCGGCGTGGTCCTGCGCGTCGGGCGGTTGGTCAGCCGCGTCGCCGGGCTGTCTGGCCTCGCCCTCGCCCGCGTAAAGAAGCTGGACTATGTTGATGCTAGTACAGTACTGACCGGCGTGGTCCTGCGCGTCGGGCGGTTGGTCAGCCGCGTCGCCGGGCTGTCTGGCCTCGCCCTCGCCCGCGTAAAGAAGCTGGACTAAGTTGATGCTAGTACAGTACTGACCGGCGTGGTCCTGCGCGTCGGGCGGTTGGTCAGCCGCGTCGCCGGGCCGTCTGGCCTCGCCCTCGCCCGCGTAAAGAAGCTGGACTATGTTGATGCTAGTACAGTACTGACCGGCGTGGTCCTGCGCGTCGGGCGGTTGGTCAGCCGCGTCGCCGGGTCGTTTGGCTTCGCCCTCGCCCGCGTAAAGAAGCTGGACTATGTTGATGCTAGTACAGTACTGACCGGCGTGGTCCTGCGCGTCGGGCGGTTGGTCGGCCGCGTCGCCGGGCCGTCTGGCCTCGCCCTCGCCCGCGTATAGAAGCTGGAATATGCGGGGGATGTCCTTCGCGTCTGCGCGTATCACGTCGCCTTGCGTCACTGAGCGCACGTGAAACACTTTGCTGTAGGGAAGAAAAAGAACCAATCAGGCATTAAATCTCTAGACAAAATACTTCTACTCTATACAACAAATGTACCTAGTAACGAGGGCAGGGCGAAAAAACTGCGATCAACGCGCCAATCATATGATTGGTTGGGATTTCCGTTTAACATTATCTTATCCAATCAGTGGATAGTATAATTCATTTGAAAATATTTGATTTGTCAAAGTATTTTGTTTTGTCTGTGTGCATGTCGCGTTAGTATTGAAGTTTAGTTGTTGAATTTGGAACCATGTTTTAGCGGCCTTTGTTAAAAAGTAATGATTCCATATTATTTCTAATTCGTTGTCTCTACAGCAATAACAAGTCATAGGCAAATACACATTGTGCTAGCGAAAATCACGCTAAGATGCCAGCATTGACTCGGTATAAACATTTTGTTAATGCCAATCTATAGTCATGAGTAAAAATTTATATACTTTAACCACAGAGCACAAGTTATATGTGTATAGTTCACTTTGCTACAGGGAACAAGCAGAGACAATCAGCCTTTACAATTTTGGACAACAGTTATAACAGATATATATTGGTACAGAGCTGGCGACAATCTCATTAAGTTAAGTTAACCCGTAAAGATTTATATAGGTAATTAATATAGGAAATTTAATAGAAAAATTTGCATGTTATCTTTATATGACTAAATAGGTTAAGAGACAACTTAGATGAAATGTAACACAATTATTTGTACCCTATTTAATGCAAATAAATTGAATTGAATTGAGGCTTGTGTCAACTAACAATAAATCGAATGGGTTACAGTTTCTAAATATGAATTATGATATACAGATAACAAAAAATAAAGCTATTTATCATAATAATTAAAGATTATTATTATTTTTAGAAAATAAATTCGAATAAAATAGGCATTAGATCACGTGACGGCAAACACCAATCAGAAAGACTGACGTCACCACGTGCAAAACATTACTTGTGGTTGTCGTTTTCATACATTTCATTGATATCTCATTCATGTTATTGTTACTTTGATACAATTATCAGTTTGTTTTCAGATAAGTATTGAAAGGAAGCTAATAAATCCATGGAATTGGGATTTACCGAAGCAAATAATAATATTTTAACCAAAATTAAAAATTAATCGCATAACTACTCGACATAATTAAGCATATCATTTGGCAACTAAATATACTGAACTCTCAAATAGACTCTAAATCATACCATAAAATTACATCAGCTTACCTAACCTTAACCTATTGTCATTGTTTTATCAATATAATGCAATACAATTTATCCGGCTTGTATAACATTTTGATTTATTTGATTATGTTATGCAAAATACTTACATCAAAATGTTCATCACAAAATTATTCTTGTATTTGTTGATAAACAATGAATAGGTACCATCCCTCCTTGCAAGTTCTAACTATTTTTTCCGCATTTGTGGCATATAAATAATTTGTCTGGCGTTTTATGCTTCTCCTTTTATACTAGGACACTATACAGTACTTGTAATACGATGGATTCATTTTTAACCAAATAATTTTAATAGTCAGCGTACAGCGTATTGTTTGCTTTGCACGGCGTGACGTCATTCTAGACGCCATGACAGTCTAGAGCGTTTTCGAGGGAAATTTGAATAAGTTTTTTAAAATACAAAATACATATTGCTTATGTACTTTTTTATTTAAAATAATATTTTTTTGGGGTTAAATAAACATCAAGGTATATTATTAACCACTTTTTAAAATATAGGCAACTAGCCTATTGTTGCCAGTCCTGACTTCCTATAAAACACTGTTTTCGGGCCAGTCCAAACGCAAAAGTCAAATAAAACAACTAGCGTCCATGTTCCATTCATCTACTGTGTGGATGCAAATCTGCTATAATGCGATTCAAATAAGAATAGGAAAGCCAATGACCTCTATCTGTCAAATGTCGCTTGAAAAGTACGGTTTGCAAAAACTTGGAACCCTTTTTTAGCACTCTGCTTATTCAAGAATAAAAACAAAACATTTGTAAAAAAACAATAACAAATATTGATAATTAATATCGGTTAATATATTTTTTTCACTGATTGAGCTTGGCCATGAATGGTTGATAACCTAAATCGTCAACCAAATGTCACTTTGAGTTGCGATCAGAAACTTGATTTCAAACTTTCGTTTACATAAAGGATGCATGTTCGTATGTGACCTAGTAATAGTGCATGATTATTCATAACTACTCCGGCGGTAATGCAGAAATGAGCGGAATAGAAGAGCTAGATTCCGATTAATGTTTTTTCTCAGTCTTAATAAATATATATTATAAAAATCGGTGGGGTTTTTTTTTCTCAATATGATTTTCTCAATTAAATGTTATTGAAAACAATCTGATTCTTTTTCTCATTAAGTAAATTCTCACTAGTAAATAAGCTTTATTAAATAAAAACTTTTTTTGCTCACTCTACCTATTTGGTTTGAATTGACAGCTATGATATCAGAATATGGCGCCCAGTCGGTCCTATTCTTAGTTGAATCGCATTATACTAAACTTAATCCCCTGCCGGCGCTGCCTTGCAGCCATAAGGCTCAAATTATTCTATATAAAATATATTGAACTGAACTTGTTTCCTTTGCTGCTATAGACGGTGACGTCATACCAAGAGTTCCAAAATAGCAATTTTGGTTAGCATTTTTTTTCTAGTAATTTTTTCTTTCCATTTAAACTTAATGTTAAGTATTAGTGAAATCTTACATTAAAAAGATGCGCAATGACATTTGCCTTAAAAAAGCAACACAATTTACCTCAAACCTAGTATCATGATCCGATGGGGGTTCCATAGTGTTTTGTTTATCGTCCTCGGTGTTGTAGAAGATGAACTTCTTTAAAGACACTACCACAATATTGTTTCCTTCATACGTGGCGCCGTATATTCTGCTTGAAGGGCATGCATAGAAAGTCAGCTCTCCAGCGTATGTTTCGTCTTAATTACTGTTCGTCTTAGAACAAAAAACACAACTCACCTTAAATCGAGTATCATGATGGGTCCGTGGTGTTTTGTATATCGTGCTCGGTGTTGTAGAAGATGAACTTCTTTAAAGACACTACCAAATATTGTTTCCTCCTTCCGTGGCGTCGTATATTCTGCTTGAAGGGCATAGAAAGCCAGCCCTCCAGCGTTTATTCCGTCTTAATTACTGTTCGTCTTAGAACAAAAAACACAACTCACCTTAAATCGAGTATCATGATGGGTCCGTGGTGTTTTGTATATCGTGCTCGGTGTTGTAGAAGTTGATCTTCTTTAAAGACAATGGTGTCGATTCTGGCAGGATTCTCTAAACTTAAAACTAAATTTGACATCAGTCTGTCCTTTTCAGTCTGTATAGAGAATGACAGAGATACACTGTTGCCAAATTTAAGTTTAGCTTTAGAGAATCATGCCAGAATCGACACCACTACCATATATTGTTTCCTCCATACGTGGCGCCGTATATTCTGCTTGAAAGGCAAAGAGTATATAATTACCGTCATCTAGAAAATCAACACAACATACCTCAAATCGAGTATCATGATGGGGTCCGTGGTGTTTTGTTTATCGTTCTCTGTGTTGTAGAAGATGATCTTCTTTGAAGAAACCACCACATATTGTTTCCTCCATCCGTGGCGCCGTATATTCTGCTTGAAGGGCACAGACAGCCAGCCTTCGAGCGTTTGTTCCGTCTCCCCGTCTTCGGCATCGGCGGACGATTGCGATGCGGTCTCGCTCGTTAAAGCGGCTAGTTTTTCTTTTAGCTGCTCGATTTCCGCGTCCTTGCTGTCCACCTGAGGATAAAAGCAGAGGTTGATTATAATATAATAACTATATAGCCCTTTTGCATGTTATAAGGAAATTTCTTACGACTTATATTTTTTCAAGCATGTAACTGCTTGATGTTTAAATCTAAATAAAATATAACTAGAAAAAAATCCACGCGGACCAGGCAGCAGACGAACCCTTCGCTAACCGGGCGAATGCACTGACCAATTATGCTACCGCGGCCCTGACGGCCGCGTCGATTTTCCTCTAGCCATTCTTAAGCTGCAAGGCAGAGCCATCCCTTCGCAGTGTAGATAACCCACAATGTTAAATGAATACTTTTACAAGTATTAAATATTTGAAAGAAGAAATAGCAATAATAGTTATAATTTATATTTTTTTAAGCATATAACTGCTTGATGTTAAAATCTAAAGAAAATATAACTAGAAAAAAATCCACGCGGACTAAGCAGGGGACTCGATCCCGCACCCTTCGCTATCCGGGCGAATGCACTGACCAATTATGCTACCGCGGCCCTGACGGCCGTGGTAGCATAATATTTGTTCTTACGACTTTTTATTTTTTATGATAATCAAGCATGTTGTCCTTGTGATGGTAGGCAGCCACCATAGCCTATTTAAGCTTGCGATACCAAAAATATCACTTGCGCCATTGCCTACCCTGACCCAATCCCCTAGCCGGTGAAGACCTACAACCTTACTCACTCACAGAAAAATAACACCAACAAACGTAGTTTTTTATTTCTCTGTGGTCTTCTGTAAAGTGGGGGGTATTTCCATAGACGGGCGCTCCAATTCGAGCTAAAAATCCGCTAAAACCTACCTCTCTTAAAATAATAATAAATTTGTTCGCATTGTATGTAAAATTTCTGAAAAGAAATTCAACCGCACGGTTATATAAAACATTAATTATTTTACGACATGCAAAACCTACCTCCATAGCTAATCGCTGCCTGGTCTGCTGTTCTTCCACTAGTTGTTGCTGTGAATCTTGCAAATCGCGCTGCAGCTTCGATATGTGCTGGTCGAATTTTTCCTTTTCTCGAGTCAACTCTTGTTGAAGCTTTCGATAGTCCTTGTCTTTGCGTACGGACATCTTGCTCTTGTTCTTCGTAGTCGCGGGGTTCATGTCTTTCCTGGCAAAAGGAGAGAGAGAGGAGAGAGGGGAAATTAGAATTTGAATGTATTGGAACCAAAGTAGTGACCTTGCGAAACACCGGACAGCAGATAGTTTGTGAAATCGATCGTTGTTTTTGTAGGAAAAACAGTACAGCTTAACTTCTATGAGTATCTAAAGAGGAACGCACTCCCAAAGTTGTATGAAAAATAAACACACAGTAGTTTACAACACATTTGAAAGGTTTTTTTTTAGTAATAATAAAGTGTATTCCACGTTCAACAATACACATTTCTGTAAATACACTCAACCGAAAAGTAGCGCAAACGAAATGAAATTAATACTTTATTCAAATTGACTTATTTTAGAAAGTTCTTTTGAATCGCCCAGTATTTTTTTCTACCACCCATTAAGGACATCTTATAACTGATGAGAAGAATGTAAGCAAGAAACTCATCAGCATTTGTCTTTTGAAGGGTACCTATTCATAATCCCTGCCAGTTTGTTGACGGCCCGTCTGAGTTGAGCTTCTGCTTGAGCCGGTCCACTTCCTCCTGGAAATGCTGGAGAGTGGGAAATAAGTAGACTATAAACAATTGGTAAAAAATACCTATTCGAGACCTCAGCCAGTTTGTTGACGGCCTGCCTAGATGAGCTTCTTGTTGAGCCGGCCTGGAAATGCTGAAGATTTGGAAATTAAGTAGACTGGAACAATAGGTAAAATGTACCTATTCATGATCTCAGCCAGTTTGTTGACGGCCTGCTGTTTGAGCATGATCTCAGATTTGAGCTTCTTGTTGAGCCGGTCCACTTCTTCCTGGAAGTGCTGGAGAGTCGCCACGCGTTCTGCTAATGCAGTTCCGCTGCGTCTCAATTCGTCTACCTCCTGGAAAGATAAATTAAACTTTATCCATAATCATCAATGGAGCTCGATGGCGTAAGTGGTTAGCGCGTTCGGTTGAGATCGTTGTAGTTAAAGAACTTTCGAAGTGGTCGCTCATTGGATGGGTGACCAAAATTTACTTTCTCGAGCTCCTCCGTGCTTCGGAAAGCACGCTGAGCCGTTGGTCCCGGCTGCATCTGCAGTCGTTAGCACCCACCAAAGCGGACTGGGCCCGCGTCATGACCCAATCTCCCTATTCTATCCATAGGGAAGGCCTGGCCTGGCCTACTTCATCATCATCACCATCAGCCGACGGACGTGCACTGCTGGACATAATATGCCTCCTCAAGAGTTTCCCACTAACGGTCTTGCGCTTTCCGCATCCAGTGGGTCCCCCCCGACTAGCTTGATGTCGTCAGTCCACCAGCCGGCCTATTCGCTAACTTTTTTGATATTTATAGTGTGTAACTTAAGTGAAAATTACATATTCATCAGTACTTTTCTGAACAAGTATCTTAGTGGCGTTTCACTAGTATCCTGCTAGTATACGAACCTTTCTTTGCAAATCTATGGTGGCTCGGTTCTCGTGGTCGCGGTCCCTTAGACCCTGTACCAAGGAATCGCGTGCTGCCAGCTCACCGCGGTGTTGAGCGAGCGCGTCTCGCATTTCCAACTCCTTCATAGTCTTCTCTTTCTCTAGTTCGCCGACAGTTTCTTCCGCTATCGACCTGCGATCAAAAATTTACGATAAAAACTGATTTCAAGTAACACTGAGGATGGGTTGAGAATGCAGATTTATAAAGATAAGGATTCCATAAAATCCAGTGGTTAAAGTTTTGTTCTACCACAAATATTGAGGAAGTTATGACCAAATTACTAAACGAATTTTCGGCTGACTGAGTGGTGACTGTAACGTCACAGAGCTCTAGCGCTCGGGCGCGAACATACGTAGAGACGCTACGAAAGTTCGACCAGAGTGAACCACGATCGAGCTTTGAGACGGCACACGTTTCGGCCACCGGTGAATATTGGCTACCATAAAATTTTGATTTTGAGTTGTTTGCTGACCTAGTGATGATCCTCATGGAATCTTCTTCATTTATTTCGTATAACATCCCACTAATAAGGCATCTAAGGTTGATAAAATCCCTCCATCACACCATCAAAGGCCAAAAGGGATATAGATTAAGAGATGATAAAATATAAGCTACAGTAAAATCCATATTTTTTTTCACAGCTTTGTTAACTTTGTAATTTTTGAATCACAACTTTATTTGATTTCCTTCAAAAATCCAAAAACTTTTTGGTGAAGACTTGAAGGCCTGGTTCAAATCACATTAAACAAAGCTAATTTTGTCATTTTGGATCACAGCTTAATTTTATTTGCTTTAAAAATTCTAAAACTTTCGCATAAAACTTGACGCCATGATTCAATGTAAATTTATTAAATCCATAAAATGTATCACAAAAATCTTTTCAAGTCCCTATACACTGATAACTATTTGATATGATTTACCTAGCGATGGCCTCAGAGTCGGCGCGTGCGATGGCCAACTGCAGCTGGTGCATCAGACTGGCCCGTTCTTGCTCTAAGTCCCGCGCAGCGCGAGAGCTTTCATCTGCCTGCGCGCGCAACTCGCTCGCTTGTGTCCGGTACATCAAGCAGTAGTGCTGCTCGCTCTCCAATTGGGACCGAAGCTCTTCGCTCTGTATAAAAAGAATATTATGATTAAGACAGATATCTTTGCTATCATCACCAAAGCTACTAACTAAATTGATTACTGCGCAGAGGTAAGCATTATTCAGTTTGAAAAGTAACTAATAATGAGAAACTTTTCTATCCTAAGGAAAGAAAGCCTATGATTTAGAAAAACTTAATTAAACTCTAATCCCTTTATTAATAAACGAATTCGTTATTTAGAAATGGTAATATATACCATACAAATATCTAAACATGCCAACCTTACATAAAAATAGATTCTGGTTAAATTAGTTCTCGATAAATTTAAGTTTCCTAGGGGATTTTCAAAATACTTAATGCGCGCGGTTGACAAGTACAAGTGTGTGTGATAGTTTTCATGAACAAGCATTTGATATAAAATAAAAATTAAAAAATCTGTTGTAAGTCAATTAGATGAAGAAGGTAACCAGTTAAGGTAAATAGTTTTGAGTGGAATTGAAAACCTCTCTTGTAACACCTAAAGAAGTATAAGTCATGTATTCAGTCCTTATTACTGTACAGTACCATTGGCAAACCTCTTCCATACCGTGAAAGTGGTACGCTTTCAAATTTACTTACATTAAACAACTAAATACTGGAGTAGAGCTTTATACGTAGTTTTTATATTGATAAAAAAATTGCAATCTTATTAATATCGCCACTATGACACTGGAGGTGATTTTATTTATGTTAATTGTATTTGTACATATACCACTATTGTAAACCTTATTCAATAATGCAGTGAAGACTACCGTAACTATACATCTAAAGCCCGCATAACGTAAATTGTGGAGCGGCACATGCTGCTAATAAGAGACGCCATTAGACGTTATTGTAACTTAAAACCACTGTGGATTTGTATGGTTATTTTCATGGCTTTAACAATTACTTCTGTAAACTGCATAACAATTTACCACCGTAAAATAAGTAACATATAATAACACCACTGAGCACTTTTATCATAAAAGAAAATATAATAACCTAATATCCCAATATAATAGCAATAAATGCTATTTAATTGTTATTATTGTGCATATTTTGCGGGCGCGTGAAGAATTTCAATAAAACTTATACATATATTCACAGTTACCTGGCACTCGCACTAATATTTCCCTTCTTATTCGCCAAACTACTGTGAAAATATGTATAAGTTTTATTACCATAATATATATGTGTGATCAACACAGTAACTCTTTCACATTAAACTTCTATTCTTAACCAATTTTTGATTCATTAAAAAGGTACAAAGGTGTATAAATAAAGGCAAAGTTGTACAGTCGCGCTGTAATAGCTTCCTAAAGCTAAGTAAGTATATTCTTTCACTCTTTAAAGAGCTGTTATATCGCTACATTAAAACGTTTGGACGGCCACCATAGAACGATTATAGAATTATAAGCTGTATGATTTGTGCCCAATTTGAAGATACAAAAGCTCTGTAGCCGCTTATACACATACACACTGTAGAGCTTCCTTATACAGCTGAAACCGTCACCAGTTTCCATTAAACGGCTGTTATATCGCTGTTTTTTTCAGCTAGTGTGCTAGTTGGGAAATTAGATTATCTCCAAATATTGAACGAAAAAAAAAATTATACAGTATATTAAACCTAGAACGCTCACTCACCACTTATTACAATTGATTACTGTGTTTTTCAGTATATATCATTTCATCGATATTTTTATACATAGTTTTGTAAATTAATGAATGAGTGTAGAGCCATGACCTCCATTAATGCAATATTTGTTGACGTTCCAAATCAATATGTTGACTGGGCGATTAATCACGGACACAAATTTATGACAGTTTCGTTCTTGTGACCAAAGATTTTAATGATTGAAAAGACCGATACATAGTTTGAAAGTTTTAGACAGCGAGGTACGGGCGAGCTCATTCTATGGTTTAGACTTGGTTAAGAAACAGTTAATACTATCCCTCAATTTACGCAGGTGTCAAGGATACAATTCTTTTACGGTTATTTAGGTCACTAAAAAACTAAGGAAGAAACATTAGGAACAAAAAAAATGTCGCGATACCTTCTATTTTTATAACAGTGTAGTATACCTATGATTCTCGGAACAACAAATAAATTGTGTATTTACTGTCGTCAGCGCGATGATGTATTAAGTGTGACGTCATTCACAAACCTTCTGACCTAAACATAACTAATGTGAATTTGCATCATGAGCATAAATATCTACTCGTAACGGGTGTAGCAATGAAATAACAGGGCCATATTACGCCAATGATATTTTTTATAAGTTAAAAAAAGACAAGTGACGTAATTTTCAGCGGTTAGTCTGGCTGGACGTTATCGGACACAATGTGTATCGCAACTTTCATACACGTGTTTTCATAACATCACTATGATTCAATTTCCATTAGATACCGTGCAATGAAAATAGAATGCGCGAATAAAATGTCATATTCATAGGCGCGCAACAATATGTGGTGGATGAGCAGGAAACGAGGCGACAATAAGACACTGTTGTATATTAACAAGTGCCATAAGCTGTGTGTTTTATAGGCCGGCCCTCAATGCCAACTTATATGTTTGTTCAGCATTCGCATTAAATAAATTCATATCTCCTCTCAACGACTGCGCTAGCATTGTTGGTAATTTAGTTGGCATCGAGACACACCACAAATATATTTCTTATGGAAATGGTGTCTTCTTCTTATTACATTGCATAATGTTTGCTCAAAATTTTTGTTTTTAAACAATGCATTATTTTTCATTGTAATATTTCAAATGAATTTTAACATCTTCTAAAACGCATGTTTAACAAAATCTTAAGATTAGTACCTTATTACATAAAAAACATGTAGTTTATACCTATGTTATCGATGCTTACAATTTTAAATTTGACAATATGATTCTTTACCAATCTATCTTGAAATTATCATATTTACTTGCGAACGAAATTCTAGGAAAAAGACAAGTATGAGTTAGCAGCAGACAATTTCTAAGAATAACATTCCGATGCAAAAAATGCCTTGTATGCATCTTTATACAAGTTCAACTTACAAAATAAGAGATAGACCGAGTACCAATTGTAAATTGTTTTATCTTAAACAATCTAGTAATATAGGTCACTACATTTACTATCAGAAAAATAGAACGATGCTACACTTTCTACCAAGTTTTTTCATAGGCCAAGTATGGCAAACGGTCTCTTTAGATTGTCTTAAATCTAAAAGTACCAGACATATAAATATCAAGGTCAATAAACAATGAATTTCGACTTTGCTTCTTACTAAAAAAACAATCAGTTTTAATATTTTGAAGATGGTCTACTCTAATATAAATATGTATATTATGTATTGCAGTAGTATGGGCGACCGACTGAATAACACGTTACTAGTAAACAACCAAGGAATTCCTTTCTATAGTCTTGTTTTAAAACAAATTACGATGTATCATGCTTCATTATTCATTCTTACAACTCTTTTATATACTTAGTTTTTCGATCACATTTATTTAAAGGTTGGACATTTTATTGTTTTATTATATAAATTTTTAATACTAGTGGCTACTTAAAAGTTTAGAAGTACGTAACTACAAAAAAAAAACAAATGCTGTTTGAGAATAAAAATTAACATCTTTGGTTTGCTGATGCGAAGGTTACGTAACTTTGGCAAAAGCCTGTATTTGGATTTGTGAATAAAAATAATGTATCAAGATTTTTAGTGCTTCAGAAGGCACGACTGCATTCACACTCGTTAAGATCCACCAATCCAGACAAGACCCGCGTAATGGTCCATTATCCCTATGCATTTCATAAGCGTCCAAAATTTCTGTCTTCAGTTTGTATTTCAAATAGAGTCAAAAGCTATTATATTGTTTGTAATTAAATAAGACTCACAATAAATATTACAACACACAAATACTTTATCAATCTGTTGTTAACAGAATGTTTTATCATTCGTGCTAGTGCACCTCCTAATTGCCTTTATTGGCATGTTAACATAGTGGTAAGTAATTATTCCCATTTGGAGCCGATATCGCGGGCAGCAGCAGCGCAGCGTTCACAGTGCAGCTGATAAATTGAGCGTGATCTAATCAAACTCGGCCGGCCGGCGCATTGGGTCAACGATACATGAAATGTAGAATTTGCGAGTTACGATCGTGTACTTATAGATAATATTAAGGTCATGAATTAACTGCATAGAAATATGATAAAGATTATTTTTACATTATTATTAATTGATACCAAAGCTAGCTATAACTCAAAACATAACCCGTACCTATCATAAAAATCTACAATCAAGATAAAGAAATAGATTAGTTGGTTTATTTACGTAAGATTTCATCGATAATTTTATTGTTACTAGCGACTTTAGATTTTCTGAAGTCGCTTTAACAAGAAATGCAATTAAAATGTCATTATCAATTAGTAAATATCTTTAAAAATAAATAACGATAGTGCCGAACTAGAAACATTTAAGTAGTAAGTAAGCGTCATAATTTATAAATGAATATGCCGTTTATGTCGTACGACATTGTTCTGTGAAACCTAATGAATAAATATATAGTATTAAATTCGCAGGTCGCATCACTATCAATGACTAAGACAAGTGTAGAAAAACCGCTGTCTACGTAATTGTGTTTGTTTGTTTGGAGACTAGCGCGCGCGCAGGTACTCGTATAAGGCAAAAGCTCCGCGCATGTGTGCCTTAGCTATCCACAATGAGTCACTGTGCCGTAATGTCAGAGGACATTCTATTTCGGCACAGTGAGATTATGATTAATTCACAGTATAAAGTAAAAAGGCGTGTTTAGCCAACGAACAGTGTTTGTTTGTTATGTAAAAACCGCCATGTCTGTACGTAAATCTCTCCGACGTTTCCACGTCAGAGTTTAAGTATTTAATGATTTTGTATTATGAAAAGCTCAATGACAAATTTTCTTTTCGGATCATTTCTGTTCTGCGATCTACTTGATAGAAAACAACAAACAAATATAATCAGATATTTATTTTAAAGATGTTGTGTGCCCGTTTAAACAAGTATTACAGGAATCATAGTAATATAAGTTATTTACGGGTTTGTTACCATGTACCTTGTTTTTAGCGAGTTTCCGACTCCGGTTACTCCGTGATCATGGCGCTTGCAACAGTGCTGAAATATCGGAAACTCACTAAAAACAAGGTACATGGTAACAATTCCGTAAATAATTTATATTAATATAATGTTAGTGACCATGAAAGTTTAAAACAATATATTATTACAGGAATACCAATATTTTTTTGAATAAACGAAGAAATTCATGGTTTAATGCTATATAGTAGGTAATTTAACCTAGACTACTTATTCTCGAGCATAATATTATAATTATAATCCTATAATCATCCAACTGATTGTGAAAACCGCACAAAAATCAGTTCAATAGTTTTTCAAATCGTCGCGAACATACAAGCAGACCGACGCGTAGCGGGACTTCGTTTTACATTATGTAGACTATTGATAAATGTTTATGAAAGTTAAAAAGCTATGCCGACTATTCTGAAATCTACGACAGGACCTTGTACTGAGAGACCGGTCTGAAACGTGCCACAAACATAAAAATCTAACTTTGAATAACTTAGACTGAGTTACTTTGTTTCATTAACACAAATGTTTGGTCATTAAAGTGATAAATGTTGATAAAGCACATTTACAACTTTTCATTATCGTTCCAGGTATACCATATCTTCTTTATTAAAAGGCTTATTTGCATTTACCACGATTTAGCTGACAGCCAGTGTGACGCCGCCAATGACGTCACCACGGCAATATAGAACATTTCGTACGACACAATTTAGAAGACAGAAAATCAGTTCTTTCTTAAATTTGGTCTAGCAAATTATTTCGCTCCTCTCGATGTTTAATTTTATTAGACATTACGAAATGCCTTCACCCCGTCTGATGTTAAATTGTTAAGTATGAGTGGGGTTACGGGATACCCTGTTTGTAAATATGTTGTTACTATCTACGCTGGAAAGCTAGCAGCTGGCGCATTCTATGACAAATATATACATGCAACTGATATGGCAGATATTATGTACTTAATCATCAGCTATCTTGCTAGCTTGAATCCAATTACTCTACTTCCGTCAAACAATATCTATCTTCTGAAAGATGAAGAATAGTGCTCTAGGAGGGCACACCAATTTCTTATAAACGATTTGAGTGCGTTTGACCACAATCGCACCTGATGTTAAGCAACTATGTGGTCTGAGTACGTACACTCAATAATGCCTATTTAGTCTTGCCATGAAGATACCTGTGATATATGTATCGGGAAACAAACAATAACAAGGGAAGGGAATTACATTCCTTGTCGCAGGAATGGGCAAACTTTTTTCTTATCGTGCCAATATTTACTATCAGAATCTTTTTAAATAATATAAAAATATAGCTCAGTAACGAATGCCCTTCACGCAGCCTACAGCTACCCTACCCTACTGCTGAAGTAGGGTAAATACGCCCCTGATTGAGCTGCGAATTGAATAGATAGGTACCAGGTTCGGCGAGGTGGTCGTTGTCGGAACATATCTACTTTTTGGTGAGAACCTTTGATTTTTGTTTGATGGTCGAGGGCCAGAGATGACCCGCGAGCTGTAGTTTGCCCATCCCTACCCTAGAAGTTCGCATAATTAAGGAATGCGAATCGTGAGTGCGCAGTGGAGAAAAGTCAACCACATACAGATTGAGATTGTCCACGTCTCGTCTTCCGATGGTAGACCGTCCATCCATTGAGCACTACCCTTTTTACCAAATGCAAATAAAATGAAGCACTCACCCTCGCCACGTGCATGTCTCGCTCTGCGGAGGCGGCGGCCAGTTTCTCTGAGGCGTCGTGCAATGCGGAACGCACCGCATGCAAGTCTCTCGCACGGGCGTCTCTCTCCGCGGCGGCGGCTCGGGCAGATGCCTCAGCCGCCGCCACATCGCTGCTCGCCGCCAAGCGGGCGGATCGCTCCTGCTCTAAGGCCGCCGCGAGACCGACCACCTAACCAAAACAATAACATACTTAGTAAACGAATCAAATCTAACCTAACACAAAGATAATAATTGTAAACAACTTCCTGACAGAGCACAACTTAAACAAAACTAGGCAGATTATGTGATATGGTATGTACTCCTGACACGCACTGAGGGGACCTCGGTCCTCAGAATGCGTGCCGGGTGGCAGGTGCAGCGTACTCTCTGGTTTTTACTGGGTCCCTGCCCTGCTCATTTAATCAAGGAGTCCACAGATATCCTCGGTCCCAGTAGCAAAGGATGGTGTCTAGCCATTTCCAGAAATGAATAAAAAAAGGTGATATGGTAATAACTAAACAATGTATTTGATGCATATGTCAATTTGGAGCTAGTTAAGAGTATAATTGACTCTGGGAAAAATATTTGTGCTCATCCATGACTCCATGACAAAGGAACAACATTTTTGTGCTCATAACACTAATGCATTTACTGGGTTTGGGTTGCATTCAAATCCGTAAGTTTAAGGCAGAAGGCAGGACAACTAATGTCAAATCAACCTGTAAAGCAGAAAACACCACACAATAACAAAGTAAATAGTAAATTCTTAGACCCAAGTCTTTGAATAATTTATAATATAACACTATTATAACTTCTTGCATATCTGACTTCAGTTTGAATTTAGAAAATTTAGTATAAAACCTGCTAAGTATAAGGTCTCCTGTATTGCTAAGCTACATTCTCGATTTTTGTTAAATTGATGATTTTTCTGGTTATGTATTTAAGACAATATACATACAATGAAATGAAAACAAGTTTAATATAATGAATTCACCATGTATAACTGCAATATGCAAATATATTTACCTATTAAACAAGGCTTTATTGGGCTTTTATTCAACTTTGAAACAGTCAATATCATGTATTTATAACAAAATAGAGCTGAATTTGAGGAAATAATAATGACCAGTGATTTACCTTTTCACTTTCCTGGCGGTGTTCACCCTCCAACTTTTGCAGTCTCTGTTGCATCTGTCTATAGTCTACGCTGAGCATCGACATTTGACGGTCCTTCTCCTGGCATGCGGCCTCAGAGCGCTGGCGAGCTACCTTCTCTTCATTCAATTTACCTTGCAGAGCTGTTACAATATGACACATTGCAAATGTAAAACATCTATAGTTATAACATGTCATTGCTTTAAATACATATTATTTAAACTATAAACTTGGGAAATACATACTACAGCATGCAGGTACTAAGAAAAATATGGATATAAGTATATGATGTAAATAAACTAAATGGAAATGTAATAAATCATAGTGTTTATATTATAATTACATGTATACCCAATGGAATTATATTAGCAAACATAACAATACCTTTAAACATTTTTTCCAATGTTCCTGTAGCATGCAAAAAGTGAATTGTTCATACATAATTTGGTTTGGGGAAAAATACTCAATGTAGCTTATAATACGAGTTATTCCAGGAAAATAGCATGGAGTCTATTGATAGGTTATTTCAATTACAAAATGTACAAAAACTTACTCTTGACTAGCTCCAAATTGGCTTCTTGCTTAGATAGCAATTGCGACCTCTGTGTGTCCTGATGTGCTCGCAGTTCTTGTTGGTAAAGATGCTGTGCAGCTCGAAGCTCATGTGATAATGAGGCACATTCTTTTTCCAGTGAAGATACGCGTTCAGTTAACTGTCTGTTATCAGCAGCAACTTGAAGTAATCTCGATGAAGATCTTTCCAATTCCACATGTGACGAGTTAAGTCTGGCAGTTGTTTCAGTTAAAGCTGCTTCGGATCTTTGTTTTGCAGCTTTCACTGTTCCTAATTCCTCAGATAGCATACCGCATTCTCTCTCTAAGGCATCTCTCTGTGCCCGCAAGCTTGCCATTGTGCCATCACTAACGGCAGCAGCTGCTGCTTGGGCTGCACTCAATTCTGCTGCTTGTTTTCTTGACTTAGCTGCCGCCTCCGACTCTTGTTTCAATTTATCACGCATCTCATTTAGTTGCTTTTCCAAAATATTTATCTTATCATTATAAATTTGTAAGTTACTCATTTCTTTTGCTCTCCTATTTTGCTCTTCTTCAAAACGTCGCTTTGCATCATGATAGTTTATCTCAGCTTTCCTTCTTGATTCTGCCTCAACTTCAGCTTTTCGTTGTATTTCTTTTAGGTCATGTTTAAGTAATGCTAACTCTTTGTCAGTATCAGCAATAATTTTTTTACTTCTAGAATCTCTTTGTGATAAATCTTCCAGTTGGGTGCATAAAATTACTTGTCTATCTTCAAGTTTACGGCGACTGTCTCGTTCCCTTTCTAACAACTTTTCTAACTGGAGTATTGCCTCAGATCCAACATTGTTTATATGATTGTTAGAGATTGTGTCCACTACATCAACAGGCTTATTTCTTCCTCCACATATCTGATAATCACCATTATAAGTAAATCCTACAAATGGTAAATGATTACCAACAAAAGCTTTTGGCACTGGGAAAGATTCATCTAATGCATCTGACTTTTCAATGTCATCAAAATTTCTTGTATCATCGTCACTGGACAACTCTGGTACCACTGGAGGCACTGAATCTCGAAGATTTTCAAAACTCCATTGATCATTAATAAAAAATGGATGTTGTTTGATATCATCAACATTGTCTTTACCCAGTCTTCTAGTTCTATCAGTTAAAAGACCTCTTATGAGTGATTTTGCTTCTTTTGATATTTCTACATCATCCGGAAATTGCAAAGAGTTCCTATGATCCATAATTTTACCATAAGTTCCTACTAAGCTGTCAGCATAAAAAGGAGGATCACCTATTAACATTTCGTACAAAAATATTCCTACTGCCCACCAATCACATTCACGCCCATAAGCACCTTCACCATTTTGTGACTGCAATACTTCTGGTGAGATGTAGTCAGGTGTACCTACAGCATTACTAGCACGCACAAGGCCATCAGGGCCCATTCTCATGCATGTGCCAAAATCTGCCAACTTTAAATGACCATACTTATCAATCAACATATTGTCTGGTTTCACATCACGGTGCACAAAGCCCATTCCATGAATAACATCAAGAGCCAAGACTATTTCCATAGTGTAGAATTTTGCCCATTTTTCTGGTATATCAAAATTAGACATGAGACTTACAAGATCTCCCCCTGGCATATAATCCATTACCATGTAAAGATACTTGTGATCTTGAAATGCAAAGTGCAATTTCAATATCCATTCTGAATTTGCATGTGCCATTATATGTCTTTCTTCCCAAAAGAATGTAGAGTCTGATCTCTTGATCATCTCAACTTTACTGAGAAGTTTCATAGCATATACTTGACGAGTGGACTTATGCCTGACTAGTTGTACTTCACCAAACGCACCACGACCAATCACTTTGATTAAGTCAAAATCAGCTGCTTTCAATCGTAGATCAACAATTTCTGAAGCAAATGCTTCATCTACAACAAAAAATTGAAATCTTATATACTTCAAATTTAAAAATTCAACTTGTAGCACTTTTACAATATTGTATTAGTATTTCAAGAACATACTTAAAGATACTGAATGGCGTAGAAATTGTTTAGGTCATGACTATTACAATAATATTGTAATAATTTCTTAAATACTATCAAAAGAAATTTTTTTTGAATAAGAAAGACAATTAAACTTAAACTTTAAATAGATGCTATTAAAACAAATTATTGTTATGCCATTTCTGGTAAGAAACTGAATTGTACAAAGTTCAACTAGAAATAAGAAATGTTAAAACAAAGCAGTAATTAGAAATGTTTTCCTTTAAATTTTAGCAAATGTTTGATAGCAATCTTTGTACAGGAGCTAATGTAAAATGAAAAGTGAGTGAGAGGATTTTAACTAGTCCCACTCAGAATAATGACTGGTCTTCTAACTATCACAGAATACTTAATTACATGTGTAACTATGAAACTATTATCATTGCTAGCTACTTACATCTGCTGGTGTAAGCCTCGACATTTTTCATTCGCCGAATGGCCGGGTGATCGCAATCTGAGATGAGGGCAGTAACAGTGTCCAATAAGCAATCCACGTTGCCAGTAGAGCGCGGATCACACAGGCGGTCCTCCAGGGCGTGGAGCCGCCTCAATCGCTCCTCGTCCTTCACAGTCTCCATGCTCAACTGTTTCTGACGTCCTCTGCCACTAAGGCTAAACGCCACCGCACATTCTCCCGATTGCTGCTCCAAATATTATCACCAATTTCATCACGAAACATTAACAAACATTACAAGTCTCTTGCACTGCCGCACTGTCGTCCACTTGATGACCTAACATTCAACGGGTAACTTGTTTCATTATCAAAAATTTAGTTACTATAGCTCAGAATGACAGCAGATAAAGGTGGTTCTCACAACAAAGCATATGCGCGTTTGCAAACAATAATGTTTGTTTCACTACATTCATACCATCTAAGTGATTTTAAACCATTAGTTAACTCTTAATTACAACAATAATTGGCACAACATTGAAAATATAAAGTAAAACTACGAAATATATAACCGCTTGATAGATGAACGATGGATGATCGAACAATAATGTGAAGTTAGTTACTATTTGCTAAAGTTCGCAATGGCGACGAATGCAAAATATAAAAAGGCACCTTCATGGGATAAAGATCATGGGAAATGTGCTAATAAAATGTTTTTTATTTAATTTAGATTATACACAAATCAAATATCAAGCAAAAATAAATGCAAACGTCACGTCAGTCAGTGCGACCATGTGCGACAATAACGTTGGTATTGTCTATGTTTGCATGTCGTCTGCAGTTCATTATTTGTCGCAAACCGTGTATCAGCGCCAAATCCGAAGAGACCACAGACTACTTCTCAATTGCAAAAAAATGTTTCCGTCATCGCCACAGATTACTAACATTATGTCTAATGCCGCCTCTACACGTCGGCAGATGCATCTGCAGATGCCACCTGCGGATGCGTCCACCAAAGTGCAGAGGGGTAATTTGCGCGTTTGTGGTATGTAGGTATTTCACGTCCGCAGATGCGTCTGCCATCAATCCGTTTGTTACAAGTTTCTGTGGCACGCAACAAAGGTATTCAGGGGCGGACGTCCGGCGAGACTGTCCACGCGTCTCACGATGCATCAGTAGTACTGGCTTACAATCATGATTGTCCTGGCGTAAAATAGCCACACGGCTTCCATCCATCGTCCTTTTTCCTCACCATGTGCAGAGCAGAAGACCAACAACTCTCCGTGCGTCTGGCTGTACCACAGGTGAGCATATTCTCGAACTCCTTCTTCGTCGAGGCGTGCGGGCTACGGGAGGACCTGGAGTTGTGCGGATGTAGTGGACAGTATTGTGCTTGGGTAGAGAAAGGACACCTGCGGTCTCTTAATCTCTGGGTACTCACGCAGTATGCCATGAAATTCTGATTCACCGGAAACAGCTTTGATTGAAGCTGTGGCGACGACATCTACATGTCCCACATAAACAGATGGAAGAAATAATCACTCGACTCTTCAAGAGATGGCGCTACCAGCGCTGCGCTCAATTAGTATGGAAGCCATGCCAGATTTACATTGATACAGTAGCTGGCGCCAGTTTTAGGCGCATAGAAACGGTGCCAATAACTGGACTGGTTTGTATCATATACATTTTTGCCAGCAGTTGCATTTGAGGTTTAGTGGTGACTACAAGTTTGGGAAAAAATGAACACTGATTTTATTTTCGCTTTCATTTCTTCAATAGTTTAATTGAAGAGCAAATATTTTGTAGGGCGGTTATTCGCATCTATTTATTTCTTTAATTTTGCGAATGAATGCCCCTTAAACACTCCACATTTCTATATAAATGTATAAATTGTAATGTGTTATCATCACCCCACTTTCGAGACATTTTCGTGTCGAAAGTTTCAGCAAATCAATAATACGTGGTGACATTAAAGCCACATTTACATTGATACAGTAGCTGGCGCCAGTTTTAGGCTTTTTATATATATATATATGTGCTTGTAAGGAAATAGCAAAAAGGTAAGTCGACATCACAGGAGATTGAAGAGCTGGCAGCTACCTCGGACAAAGAATTAGTCTAGCTATTCAAAGGGGGAACGCTGCTAGTGTCTTTGGAACCTTGCCTAAAGGGATTCCTTTTAATAATGTATTTTAAATATTAACTGTTAAGTGCACATTTTAAAACTAATATTAATGTATCATATTATTAAATTGATAGTAAATCTTTGGCCAAATATGTATAAGTACATAGATGTATATATTGTACACACATATATATATACATAACATACAGATGGAGCTAAAGAAGTTTCACTTCAGTCGTGTGGTCATAAGCACACGCGTTTTTTTTTTGTCAGATTCATTATCACCGAATAACACTCATCAAAATTCCGATCAGTGTTGCCAACTCTACGTCTTTTTACGTAGATCTACGTATTTTAGGCCTTTTCTGGAAACCTACTAACTTCAGTCCCAGAATCGACGTATTTTCTTATTTTTTTTCAAATTTGTAAAATAACTTAATTCACTAGAATAAAGAAGAATATTTTCCGTCACTTTACATAAAAACTATACAAATGTTTATTTCTTATAAAGATGTATCTAAACACTCTTGTATCTTGTAGAAAAGGTTCCCGTTAGTGGTTTTGTGAAAGCAGAAACGACAAAACTCTTTGACTTAGTAGGTACATTCATAACCTTAAAAATTCACATCGAATTGATCTTTGCAAAAAGAAATTACTTTCAGTCCATAAAGTTACAGGATTTAGCAAGTTTTAAACATATTATGTTCATGTGTAAGTATGTTTATTTCTCTTGGCAATTTAAACCACAACTTTTCTAGAGTCTTTTACCAAGGGTATCATGATAACCACTATATTTTTCATGTGATCTATTCGAAATCATGGTTTTATAATATTAACTTAAAAAGTTTATTTCCTACGTGCTTGCAAGTGTTTGTTTACAAATGTTTGGACGTCATAGCATAGATAGGTCTATAGACTATATAGCGTTTTTGTATGTCTTCTAGGTAAAAAAAAATACATTTTTTTCGGTCTGATAGAACAATTATTAACAGTTTAAAACATAATTCCAAAAAGTGTCAACTAGCCCATTTAACAACAGTTTATCCTTGTCATTCGCTATACAGAATTAAAAGGAGAGATTGATGTTAAATTTAGTTTTAAATTTAGAGAACCATCCAGCATCGACACCCACCAGTGTCTGTGTCAGATGGTTAATGTCAACCACAGCATGGTAAATGCTTCCAATGCTGCGACTTCTCCAAGAACTCTTTGTTCTATCTCCCGTTCTTAAACAAATTGTATAACAAAATACTCGTTTTATTCGGTTTCACCTAACTTCTTCATTTCACTCAGAATAAAGTACGTAGATCTACGTACTTTTCATATGCAAAACTTACCAATTCTACGTAATTTTCTCATCGGGCCTACGCCTTTTTCAAAATCCGAGTTGGCAACACTGATTCCGATACACTCTTAAACCTAGCTGCTTCTCATGCCATGTTGCCAACTTATGTATTTCCCACCTTTTGTAACAGCTTTTTTTTTAAACCCAGCACGATTATACTGATCCCCGGATTGGAAGTCACCGCGCACCCGTTGTAACAGCTGCCTCGATGATGTGTTCCTTAAATCTAACAATTTAGCCGTTACCTTCTGTAGTACTAAATTCACAAATTACAGATCATGCGCCGATTATTCTTTGTTGTGGTTCTACTGGATACTGATGATGAGGAGATTGAAATATATAGCAGCGCTGATTAGGTTGATATTTTTTTTATGCAGTTAAAGTTATCTATCAGAAGTAGTATTAAGAAACATCTGGTCCCTTTGTTTGTAGTTTGGGCGCCTGCGAGTCTTCGAGACTAATGCGGGTATCAACGAACAAATAATAGCTTAAGAATTGAGGAGCGTCTGTTCAAAGGGGGCTATTTCCGTATTTACTGATTTATAGTTTGTTTTCGTAAATTCTATTTTTAGGTCCTATCACAGCCTGTTTTTAGTTTTGATCGAAAGTGATAATTTACCCCTGCGTAATACCCGCCACCTTTTTTGCCAAGAGGTGACATACCAAAACAGTGAAAACTCGGATATTGATTCTGGTGGAGGTGTCTAGGGACTCTGAAAGTGACGAGGATGATGAAAAACCATGGAACTCATCAGTATTACATAAGTTTCATATTTTTTTTAACAAATAATTAAATATCGAAGTTTTAATTTACTGAATATATTTTTAATATTTATTCCCAATATTTTGTTACAATTTATCAAAAATAAATTAAAATGACTTATAGTTGACCAGAGAAACTCGCAGGAATAAAAACACATAATAAATAATTTTGAAAGGCTGGATCAGCAAAATACCCCATAATATGGTAAAACTCCAAGTAAAATCTCGCCGGAGTCCCAAGTTGAGGTGCAAAAGCACAGGTCCGTAAAGTATTTATAACAGTATTGTTAGCCGCGAGGAGATCATACTTTGACTTGATACAGGGCGTCTTGACAACTGATCGCAGATAATCGCACAAGTCTGAGCAAATGTCCACCAGGAACTGCATTTTCAAGGCTCGATCGGTGCAGAAAATACGACCTGTTGCTGAAGGGCAGTCTTGGGACGCTACTTCCGACCGCCCTGGGATTTTTCCGAATTAAAACTGCATGGTTTCTTTATTTCCTTACATTGGCCCCGTGCGTGAAATGATAAAAACAGTGCGGATGATCGGTTGGTGGTTGTCGTGGTTGTAAATCTTCAAGACGCCACCTAAGGACAAGACCTTTCCGGGGTACGCAGTTTTGTATGGAGACTGCTAGTCCTTATATTATTGGTCCATGATGTAGGTAAAAGCGTGACCAAATGCCAATAGTAATTTAAATTGACAATTTAGATATGATTTAATAGGTCCCGAGTCCAACTTTACAAATTTATTATCCTGAACATTTGGGACAAGAGAGCATGCAACTGATCACAGGCTAGAGGGAGCGGCATTATGGGGAAATGCCCTACCTTCAAATACCATTGTTTTATTCCACCGAAATTAACTATATAATGATTGAATTAATTCTGGGGGGGGGGGGGGGGGGGTGTAGTGAAAATCCTGTTTTTGCCCTACCTGTAATATTCTCGCTGCTCTAACTTAAATACAACTCTGGCTACGGCCCTGACCCTGACTGATCATAAAAATTAAAAATAAAAAGTTTACTGTTTACTCCATTGTGGCTAAAATAAAAATACAAATAACAACAGGATAAAAATGGAAAAGCCTATAAGGAACAAATTGTAGGCGTTGAATATTTTAATCATTCAATCAATTATTATTCGTGATGTTCCTTATAAACATTGTTGTGCGCTCAGAATAGATTATGATGTACTTATCTATTCCGTGGTGTTCCGCTCCGTATATTTGCTACTTGACATCTCTCTCTTGTCACACATAAAATTTCATCGATATCAGTCTAGCTATTTAGGAGGACTTCAGTTACTTACACGCAAACCAACAGATGATTATCTTATGAGTAATAGGTATTTATTTTCGGCCGTATTCAAAGATGTCTTAAATGTAATCCCTCTCTAAGTGACACGTCTGTCACAATAACTTTAATAAAACTTAAAATATTAATTGACTCTGAGCGCGTCCGTATGAAACTACTAACTACTAAGAAAACTAATAATTAAAGCAGTTTTTTTGTTCTTTATTTATTTAGAGGCTTTCAGCCTAAGAATATGCCAGCCTCACCGTACCCTAACCAAAACATACACAACTAATTTAAATTAAAACATTGGAGAGGGCGAGCTATTCTTACTAGCGAAAAGCATATCAAACATCGACTTTGCTGCATCTGAGTTTGGTAGTGCTAATATTTCCACAAAAGAACCTATATTTTCAAAGTTAAGTTGATATTATTCAATGAATAGCTCAATCTCTCTCTTCTGTTCTTCACACATTCCATCAAAATGTGTTGGACATCGTCCACTGTGTTACATACTTCACAATTGGGAGAATTAGCTTTCTTCATCAAATGTGCAAACTTCCTAGATGGATAATGACCAGTAACCCTAGCACGAACCATTATCGAATTCGAATAGTTTGCAAACCGAAATATCAATGTCAAATTTTGTATGGAAACTTGAACAGCAGCGGCACAAAGTACGTAACGAGAACTAAAAATCAGTACACATTTGACAATGACATTTCGGACTCGCAAACGATACGAATTCGATATTGGTTCGTGCTAGGGGTACTGATCGTAATCGTGAGTGATATTAATGTTACCTAAGATAGGTAATATTAATATCACTTACATGCTTCAATTTATTTGTTAAGTAACATAAGGAGGTGATTGATGATAAGAATTCATTATCAATTGTTTATCAAGAGGAAAATGATACCAAATAATACACAATTACAACAGTACAGTAAATAAATGATGAAAGCAATTACAATCTTCCTTGCATTTGACGTAACAAACTGCTAGTATGTTAACCATGAGTTCAGTTCAGTATTTTTCTATCATCCAAATTGAAGTTCAATGCTATCGTAATAAGGTTGGAAATAACTTGTGATATAGCATAATGATAAAGTAATTGAGCCGAGCGCAAAACGTTGTCCGTTTGCTTCTTGACCGGTCCCGGAGCAGTCCAGTCGGCATCACTGAGCAACTCCGATTCAGTCGACATCAGACAATTGGGAAGGCGACACAGAAACTACGAACTAAAAAAAATACTGCATAATGTGAGTACTTATTGAATGATTTTGTTTAAGAATATTTTGCTATCCATCAACATAACTAAGTTAATTATTAAAATATTTCAAGAGTATAAAAACCTATAATTAGACAGGGAATCGTCATGTTTAGAACTTTAATAACAGGCTTTATTAGTAGATTTATCTATAATAAATGGTTAGATCTATTTCTAAATAATCCTGTCAGTTATAAAGAATTATAAACAGTTATAAGATGATCCATAAAATAGGTTGCTTCTAAAACTGGTTTCTCAATCGTGTTTAAGCTTTGGTCCCTTATTATGGGTATTTTATTGTATTATATATTACTTGTATTCCTAAATTAACATTACTGATATTGTTTGTAAAATTCAGTATTCGTCTTAGTTTTAATTATTTTCGATTGATCTCTTGTTTTTTTTTTATTGGTGGCGCACTTTGTGAAATACGCCAGTTTTTCCTAGATTTAATTATATAAAAAATTATATTAGTTCATCAAATATATCCATTTTGTATTATCATACAAATAATGTATGAAAAAACTTTATTAACTTTATTTATTAGTATAATTTTATAAAATTAAGTGTCACGGAATAAAAGAAATAATAAAATAATCATTCACAACACTTATATACTTAGTTATTTTTATTGATATCTGCAGAATGGTTCTGAATATCAAATCGGTTCTTGTGGTGGACGGAGTTGGAGCCAATTGCGCGGAGATCCTCAACTCGCATGGCATTAAAGTCACCACTAAAGCTAAAATCACCAAAGACGAACTACTTAAAGAAATACCAGTAAGTACAAATTCTTAATCATTATGTAGATTTTAATTTAATTTTATCGAAAAAAAACAGTGCTTTCATTGATACTCATCAGGAACTGTAAAATTCACAACAATTCAAAACTATGCGGCCGCCACCGGCACCGGTGACTGACTGATATCAGTGAACTATTTTAAAATAAATAACTGATAGCAAACATTTGACTCCAGAGATAACTATAATTTCATAATTTGTGAGTTTATTGTTATTATTGTTAGATAACAAATTGCTTGTGAGAGTAAAATGGTATTTTGTTGAAATAAAAGTACTTACATCGTGGATGTGGTTTCTTGCATTTTCATGCGTGCTTCGGTAAGTACTCACATTAAAAAACGCTTAACACATTAGATTATTGCTCAGAAGAATAGAAGACCGTCTTTAGTTATTGTACAACCAAAGCCTCAGTCTCCATTGTAAGTAACTTGACGAGGGGTGGCAGTGTGAGATGAAGGTATCTGGGACTTCTCCCTGCTCCTGTCAGCCAGCCCTTGGGCCGGCCGGTTGAAATAAGCAGGGCCCTACCTAATGCCCTGAACAGGGTCAGTAAAGACCAGACAATACTCCTGCACCGGTCACTCAACACTCATTGTGAGGAACGAGGTCCCCCGATGCGTGCTGGGAGTGCGGGTCTGGTCGCGGCAACCGTTTCAGACTGGCCGCGCACTCGCAAATCCCCCTGGAACCTAAACGATCTGTGAAAATTAAACGTATATTATTTATAAGATAGGATAGGCATAATTTTCCAAAATTCAGCCAAGATTTTTTTAAGACCATTATTGCTATTTTATTTAATAAAAGGAGGTATGCATTATTACTTCATCTGTATATTTTAGATAAGAGTTTGAGATGCGCCCTTTTACGAATGCTCGTTCGCCAAGTGTTCGTCTGGGTTATCTGATGCTCTCCTGCGTTCATCAACCTTCAGGCAGACTCGATAACAGTAATAAATTAATGACAAATAAAAATCCAGTCAAGCGCGAATCACTTACGCATGCGACGGGTTCAAGACACGGAAAATATCATGCCAGATGATGCTAGAGAATCGCCATTTATTTAAGAGGAGGATTTTATTTTAATTCTAGTTACTCTAAGCCAAAGAAATCACACACTTAGTGAAAATTTCAACTCTGTACCTACTGATTACAGTTCATCACACTTAATATTATAAAGGCGAAAATTTGTGTGTGAGTGTGAGTTCTTCACGTCTAAACGGCTTGAGCGATTTTAATAAAATTTGGTATGGAGTTAGCTGACACCCTGGATTAACACAAAGGCAACGTTTTATTGCGGGAAAATATCCCTAATAAACCGCGGGTAACACCGCGGGGCACAGCTAGTAAGACATACAAACAGGATAGCCCGCTGACAGACAAACGGGTGCACAAAAAGGATTCGGTGACATTGACACTCTTTACGATATGACTAAATCTTAACAAATGCAAGCTAATTTTGTAATTATCTCTACCTTAGAACCATGAAGGCCTCGTGGTGAGATCAGCGACACAGGTGACCAAGGAGGTGCTTGATGCTGGCAGCAAGCTCAAAGTGGTGGGCCGTGCTGGCGCTGGTGTTGATAATATCGACGTGGCGGCTGCTGGCAGCAAGGGAATTGGTGTTATCAAGTGAGAACTATATTTATTTTAATTAAATAAAAGGTATCATTCAACTAGGTTATATGTCTCGACCTGGGTTTGAAAAAATATATAAACAGCCAGGACAGTAATAGAAGAACAATTTTATTTTTTTTGATTCACAAAAACAAAGAAAAGATGCAAGGATTTTGTTTTCCTAGAAATCTTAGGTCAGTGCTAAATTAATAATTATGTAGTTAGTATCGGTCATACTATTTATTTGTTGCATTTGGAATACCAATAAAATTAAAAGGTAGAACGTGGAACACTGATATACCTAACTACATTAAACCAATAATTCATCGATAAAATTATGCACAATATAAATTAACCTGAGTCATGTAGGTTCTCTAATAAAATAAATTATTTTATTCATGGAAAAACAACAATAATTGTACATGAGATTATTATTGTGTATGACCGATAACCCTTTGGTGATCTTTGCTAATGACTATCATCATATTCTTGCCGATTCGTTTTTAATCCCATTATATGGGAATCGGGAGTTTACCAGTTTTTTCCTTAAAAATAAAATATAGTTTCGCTTTCGTGTAGCAACTGATATTGTCAGATAAAATATGAGATAACAAAATTTAGGTACCTAAGTACTTAAGTGTGTTCAACTTTCAATATCGTTGAAGTAATAAAATTCATATGGCATGTTTGTGGGAAATTAAGTTAAGTAAGTACTTGAAGAACTGCAAAACCCACCTAAAGTAACTACTTTCGTATTCCCTACTATTAACAAGCTAATAGCCTTGGTTACACAAACTGCTGTGGAATTGTATAGGTAGATATCATTTTTTGCATACATAAACTTCGATAATATAAGGCACTAATGAGTACCGAGAAGAAATAAAAGTATCCTGATTCTTAAACAGCTTCATTACTCATCCAAGTGTTGGATAGAAAAGAATAAGTCAACGCAAATGAGCATGCCATCCATTGTAGTTTCGTCGTCTGTAATTGGTGCCTGGCACTGATATCAAATCTTTCTCTTAATGGATACTATTTTAGCAATTAAGGCATTGGAATATAATAAGATGATTTTCTTTCCAGTGCTCCCGGTGCGAATGCTCTAAGTGCTTGCGAGTTGACATGCGGTCTTACACTGGCACTGTCGAGGCACATAGTACCAGCGGCTGCAGCATTGAGGGCTGGTCGATGGGACCGCGCGCTCTACACCGGCTCGGAACTCAATGGAAAGACTTTGGCTATTCTTGGTCTCGGAAGAGTCGGTCGGGAAGTCGCCGTTAGGATGCACGCTTTTGGTATGAAGGTAGGCACTGATGTGAAAACTCACTATGACACCTTTTTACTCAAACTTCATTTGATAGGGCTTCTGATATCTACATTTTACTGGACTACAGACTGATTTACTCTTCGGTAACTACAGTAGCAAGTTTAGTTAGAAATCGGACAGCTAAGCAGTATGTACTTAATTGTCAAATCCCTATAAAAACGATGAAAATAACTTAACTCGCTACTGTACTTACTGAAGTGTAAAGAATCAAATGAATAGAAACTGTCCGATCCTCTTCTAGTAATCTATTGCGTGGAAACATTGCAATTTATCTGGGGACATCGTCTACAGATGTGGTTGTAAACTATAAGGGAACAAACTAACACTTTCAAAATATGTAACTACTTCCGATAAACCTAATTTTCGGTCATGGCTTCTGAGCTGGAATATTGCTGTGGAAATTCCATTTAATGTAGATAAAGTTTTTTTTTGTTTATTTTAGATTGTCGGATTCGATCCTTTTGTGAGCGCGGAGCATTGCAAGGAATTCCACGCAACCAAGATGGAGCTGAATGAGATCTGGCCCATCGCAGACTACATTACGCTACACACACCACTCATTGACTCCACAAGGAGTAAGTTACTTTTTATATTAATAAAAAAAAATATCGGTAAAATCTATTACAATATTACTACTATCACTTCCCACAAAGATAAAACTTTCAGGAAAGTTACAAGTATTGGTAGGTATGGCTTTTCTTATCACTGGCAAAAATACACTAAACTTCCTTATTGGTTACTAGGTCTTCCCTTATTTTCTTTTATTCTGCTGAATTGAAGATGGTAACCTTATAACTTAAACAGGGTTACGCTTTACTTAACTACATAGGTAGGTACATACCATACTTTTTTGTACCGCAATTAGGTGCCTACAATAGTTGTTTTTTTATAACAAATTCAATCCTCTTCATATATTTTTATCACGTACGTTTATTGAAGCAATGTAATCAATATTTTTCTTGCAGATTTTATTAACGCGGGCGTGTTGAAGCAATGCAAGAAGGGTATTAAAATCGTAAACGTTGGCCGAGGGGGACTCATCAACGAAAGAGACTTACTAGATGCACTTAACGCTGGCCAGGTGAGAAGGATTTAGTCTATACTTTTTTTATAAATGTCTAAAATAGATATCTTGATTTGTTGATGATTGATAAATAGAAAACATTATTTCACTGACGAGCCTGCGAGCGAGCTAACGCGACTAGGCTCGTTCACTGAGTCCATATTTGAAAAAAATATCAACTTAGTGGCTGATAAGCATAAGGACTTTATCCAGAATATTTTCATAAATTTAATCTTAAATCACAAACCAGACTGTGTTTTGGTGTTTTTTTGCTACCATATTTTATTTAAAAAATCTTGCAAATGACGCGCATTCTGTTAGATTTTTTTTGTATTGAAATGCCTTGTCATTTTCAAATTACGCAAGCAAATCGCTCTAGCTCTAGTAGTAAAAAAAATCTTATGACCCGACTGCAGTGCCGCTATTTTGATGAATAATTTTCCACTTTCTCAATTTTTTCCCTGTAAGAACCATTTGACCAAAGAGTAAAGTAAGTATAACGACCTCCGTGGCCGAGTGGTTTGTACGCCGGGTTTCATCTTGTCGCCGACTGGAGAGGTCCCGGGTTCAAATCCCGTTGGGGGCAGATGTTTATGTGATGAATACGAGCATTTGTACTCCAGTCATGGATGTTTAATATTTATTTCTATAAAAAATATACTTATATATTACCCTTGTATCCCATAACACAAGCCTTATAGTGCTTACTTTGGTCACCAAAGTAAGCACCAAAGTTTGGTGCTAGTGGTATTGGAAATATTTATTTATTTACAGAGCATTAGAAATTTTCAATAAAAGATGGATGAAATTCATTCTCAATTTATGGCGTGACCATGACCAGGGGAAATTCATAATTTGCTATAAATTACATACCTATTACAGGTTGGCGGAGCTGCGCTCGACGTTTTCGAACAAGAACCCCCTACGGACCCCCTCACCCTTGAGGTCATCCAGCATCCCGCAGTCATCGCCACGCCTCATCTTGGTAAATATCACATTTTTTACCGTTAAGGTAAATCTTATATACCTATATAAAAATCAATTGCTGTTCGTTAGTCTCGCTAAAACTCGAGGACGGCTGAACAGATTTATTTTATTCTTGAATTGTTCGTGGAGGTCTAGGGAAGGTTTAAAAGGAATATGGAAAAATTGCGAGGAATAAATAGGATAGTAAAAATACAATTTCATTTGTCTATATAAATCAAATTATTGTAAGCAGTACGAAGTACGCTGGGTCAGTTAGTTGATTAATAAAACTCACACTTCTTTGTTTTAATTCAACTTGATACCGGAAACTGATTTTGTCAATACCTACGTGAGGAGTGAAAATAAATATTTTAAAGTTTTGTGAACAAATTTAGAAAAAATAGTTAGGTTAATGATAATATTTACATTCTCTTCTTACAAAATTGGAATGAAATAGGAATTCGATTACTTGTTGGCTGCGACTTTTTGGTGATAATTTTAGAATATGACCGTAGTTTATTACGTATGTGCTGCCATCTTTCGGCTATGATTGACAACTGTACAGATATTCTTTTCTATTTTACTATTTTTTTTTCTTTGGAACAGGTGCATCAACCAAAGAAGCTCAGGTGCGAGTAGGATCAGAAATAGCTGAGCAGCTAGTCAATCTGGTTAAACCCGGTACCTACCCTACACCCCTCGCAGAAGTCACCAGGGTTCTGAGCAAGTGAAACACTGATTCGCATCGTTTTCATGAATCTGCTTTATAAGATAGAAATTTATTGATTGGTCCACTATATTAAATAAATTGAATGCTTCTCATAAAACTTTTCAAAGGAAAAATAAATTATGGGAGGGTTTTTGTGATTTCTTTGTGATCCAAAGTAGTATAATTTAAATTAAAAATTACCTTCCTATTTTGTAAAGAGATCTTCAGTATCTTGCTCAGTGATCTGAAAGAGCCTAACATATTGTATGCAACTTCAATTACCCAATGACTGAATGTGCGAATTAGCCAAATGATCAATAAATATCTACGTATTTTTTTTCCATGCTGAGTTCCTTTATATTATTATATTACATTACGTTTTTTTTAAATATAATTAAGCACCGATATTTATGTTCTTTTTTTTAAATGACTCCAATAAATGATAAGGTCCTATCTTTTTTTAGTCAATCTTTTTCTAATCTTATTTGTGACGACTAAACAAGTGTAAAATAAATTAGATATAACTTAAAAAAATATATTGCAAATAGATGGTATTAATACAATTAAAAATCTTTTTCATTATGCAGTATTTTATTTATTTTTTATTTTTATTCTGGCGTGATTCTCTAAACTTATAAAAGTAAATTAAACATCAGTCTCTCTTTTTCATTCTGTATAGCGAATGACATGGATGCACCTGTTGTCAAATTTAAGTTTAGGTTTAGAGAATCATGCCAGAATCGACACCAATACTGACCTTACAAATACTGAACGTCTAGCATTGACAAAAAATTTCGTCGATGGAATGTTTCAGAGATCATCAGTATTTATCACACTGATGAACCACATTACAAACTGTACGTCTAGCTGCCGCCTCTCTATAACCCATAATAAACTTAGCTTAGTTTCGCTTAAGCCAGAAACATATTAACATGTCGAAAACTGATTTGCTTCTGGCACGCCAAGACACGACACGACACGTTTATATGATTTATACACAAACTATGTAGTGATGCTAGCGCATGATTTATATTTATCTGTCGTATGGGAAATATATTTGTCTGTCGTGTTGACCGACAACTATCTATAATGCGAAGAGATGGCACTGCCTTGCAGCTTAAGAATAGCTAGAGGAATTTCGACTCGGTTCGTGAGGGCCGCGGTAGTATAATAGGCTAATTGACTCATGTCGAATTGTATTAAATAAATGTTTATTTCTTAAAGTATTTGGTCTAAGGAACCTAAATATATCGATTTCACTTCATAAAAGCAGAAGATTGCTGTAGAAAATTAATTTTAAAAAATATTTTTTAGTCTATATTTTTTGACGTGACAACGTCTTAAATTAGGTTGCGGCTGGGAGTCACTTATGAAAAAGTGTAACGCTCGGTAACGTTACGATGAGTCTCTCGTGTTAAGTTTAAGTTTACATGTACAATGTTTTAGTAAACAAAATATATTTCTATAGTTAAAATTTGTGCAATTCTTATTTTCATTCAATTCCTTGTTCCTATTGTGCAATTTAATTATATTCATATCAATAAATATTCTACCGAGAAAAAGACGTTGTCACGTAAAATCTTCGCCCGTAAAACCGACTTTACAGGCAACCATTTTTTTTTTTGTGAAAAACTAATTATGGATGCCGGCTTTGTGAAAACAGAAAGCACAAATCTGCCAAGAATTGACGCATTGATGGTTGGTGAATTTATTGCACTAAACTCCGATTTCTGCTCTGAGGAGCAGAGAAACGACAAGGCATCTATGTAAGTACAGTGTATTTAGTATTACAGTAATAAACATATAACTGATGCAACATATGAATAAGTTTAATAAAGTTGCGTAGGTTAATTTCTTTCGGCACTTTAATCCACAACTTTCCTGGAGTCTTCAAGGATGTGTTTTTATATTCTCGTACAATACAATAATTACTTTATTTTTCGTGGTATTTATTAGAAATCATGTTTTTTTTAGTATAAAGTCAGTTAAGTTATTTTCTACGTGCATTAGCATAGATAATCTATAGACTAAAAAGACCGACAGCGTTTTTGTATGTCCATGAAAAATCTATTTTAAAATTAAAGATTTGTAGCTTTTTACGTCTCAAAAAAATACAATACATTTTTTTTCGGTCTAATAGAACATTTATTAACCATTTAAAACCTTTTTCCAAAAAGGGTCAACTAGCCTATTGGTTAGTGCATTTGCCCGGATTGCGAAGGGTGCGGGTTCGAGTCCCGTCTGCTGCCTGGTCCGAGTGGATTTTTTTCTAGTTATATTTTCTTTAGATTTAAACATCAAGCAGTTACATGCTTTAAAAAAATAAAAATTATAACAATAAAATCAATTCTGATTGAGCCAATAGGTCCTCTTCTTTTACATCTTCATTGCTAAAGTCTACGGATTTTTCTACAAATTTCCATAGCTTGTTTTTTTATGAGGATAGCTTTGGTCTGTATCGCCCAAGTACCGTAGTTATCTTTTGATAGTAAACTACTTCGATTTTAGAAGCCATTTTTATATGACCCACGGAGCGCTGCTAACATATAAAAATATATCATTGAAAGGATAACCAGACTTCAGTAAATATATATTCAGAGAACTAACAAATTGTTTGTTTTATATTTTACATTAAATAATACTGCACACTGACATCACTATATATCACCGATCTGATATTTGGACCAAAACTGAAAGAAATTTAGGCCAGCAAATGTCCCGCACGAAAAGCTAGTTTACTAAAACTATTAATTTTGACTAAGCAGTGTGGAGATGTACGAGAGCATTTAAATATATATATGGATACAATCGAAAAATTTATATGGATATTTTAATAAATGATGATTTACTATCTTTTATTATGCTATACAGTTTATCCGCTGATTTTGAAAACTTTAGAGTTGCCATAGAGTCGAGAGATACTTTACCAAACCTGAAATCCTAAAAATAAAAATCATAGAAGAATATGATTTTCGTAAACAAGTAGAGGCAAATGTTTCCGAATCCGAGACAGTATCCTTTTACGCATTTTGCAAATTTTGTAAAAAGAAAGGGAGTTTTTTGGCGGGATTTCATCGAGTGCGGTTGGCGTCTTAATTTAATTATTCTTAAATTCGTTCATAGTGGATATTGTGAAATAAAATTGGTGTGGTTTTGTGTAACAACTGTCTGCGTAACTGAAAAATTAGTGGAATCGTTAAAATATACGCTATTCCGGTCAAGTGGACGTGAGAATTTTATTGTAGTGTTGACTACCTCACAGAAGCTTATCGAAAAGGCCAACTCGATACATTTCGTGCCAAACACTCCAAAAAACATAAGAATGCGTCACACCGACATTCTAATGTAAAAACAAAAAGATTAATTTAATAATTAAAGACTAGGCTGTATAGGCATTGTTCCCTTTGCCTTCCCTAAAACGGGAGAACTTCAAGAAAAAAAAGGATACCTTACTAAAAACTACTGGAAAAGAAACAAAATAAATAAAGGCAAAGATTACATTAAAGAGAGGCAGATATCCAGTACCAATAATAAATATAATTTCGTCACATGTCTGTTGATGAATAGAAATAAAAATGCACAGGATATGGAGTGGATATTAGATTCTGGATGCACAGCGCATATGTCGAATAATAGAGAAATGTTCACAGAAATGTCGAATGGATGACGTCGCAAACTCTCCGCCTTGCCTCCAAAGACGCAACAGCAGAAATAAAAGGAAAAGGATCAATAATTTTAATCGTGATCAATCCTAACGGTGAAATCACTTTGAAAGATACACTCTTCATACCAAACCTGAATGTAAATCTCCTATCAATTGGAAAAATGACGGAAGCTAGATGTGCAGTAAATTTCACGAACAAAAAAGCTACAGTTCTACAGAAAGGTTGAACAAGTCTTTACAAGGCCTAAATTTTGACGATGCAGATCAACTTGGAGATTGTGATCTCACAATAATATATCATATAAATACATGTCTATGTATTCAAACAAAAATTTGCAGAACTTCTTGTAATCAAAATGACTCCACTATACCACTTACGACTCAAAGACTTGAGATCGTAAAGCGATTTTTGTGGTCCGATACAAACACCTTCAGTTAACGGGAATAACCTTCATAGACGATTTTAGTCGTTAATGGTGTCGATTCTGACAGGATTCTCTAAACTTAAAACTAAATTTAACATTAGCCTGTCCTTCTCATTCTGTATAGAGAATGACAGGGATACACTATTGTTAAATTTAAGAAGATCTTGAGAAGAAAATTGGGATACTAGTAGTCGTATCAAAGGTAAACACTGGTGTCAATTCTGACACGATTCTCTAAACCTTAACTTAAATTTGACAACAGTGCATCCCTGTCATTCTCTATACATAATGAAAAGGAGAGACTGATATTAAATTTAGTTTTAAGTTTAGAGAATCACGCCAGAATCGACACCAATGGTGTCGATTCTAGCATGATTCTCTAAACCTAAACTTAAATTTGACAGCAGTACATCCTTGTCATTCTCTACACAGTATGAAAAGGAGAGACTGATGTTAAATTTAGTTTTAAGTTTAGAGAATCACGCCAGAATTGGGCTCATTATAAATTAATTCAACAATATATTCCCAATAAACCATGGTTTTCTAAAATTCATTTAAGTAAGTGTGCCACATCAAGTCTCATAAGAATGCGCCTAGGTCATAACTGTTCTTCTTCCCACTTGGCTAAACTGGACATAGTAAATGATAATATTTTTGCTTGTGGTACTGGAGCAGAGGACTTAAATCACATTTTCTTCGAGTGTCCCCTCAATGATTCCTTCTCTTTTATGGATTCATTAATATAGTGGTGTCAATTCTGGCGTGATTCTCTAAACTTAAAACTAAATTTCACATCAGTCTCTCCTTTTCATTCTGTACATAGAATGACAAGGATATACTGCTGTCAAATTTAAATTTAGGTTTAGAGAATCATGCTGGAATCGACACCATTGTATCCTTGTCATTCTATAACCGGAATAAAAAGGAGAGATTGATGTTAAATTTAGTTTTAAGTTTAGAGAATCTCACCAGAATCTACACCAATACCTTTAAATAACAAGCTATCTGAATTCCTAACTAAACATAATATAAATATATAAAAAAATTATAATTTATAATTTTATCACAAATAATATAATATATTTTATATACTTATTTAATATAATAAAGACCTATTACTTGCGCTTCAAATTAATTTGACGTAGCTACCTGATCCTAATTCTTCCAAATTCCGTTTTACAACCTTTTTATTTCGCTTTTTTGGTTTTCTTACCTTTTACTCTGTCGTGGCCAATGCACAAACCGTGCGAGCCATTATAATAATAAAAAAAATGAAGAACATTAATTGCTTCTTTCAAATTATGAACTAATTTCGAATTTAGATTATGAAACTTTATGGACGCACAAATGTCAAAACGGCCATCATAGCGTGCCGCTACTATACAATGGTGTTGATCCTGGCATGATTCTCTACACCTAAACCGAAATTTGACAACAGGGTATTCTTATTATTCTTTATACAGATTGAAAAGAAGAGACATGTTAAATTTAGTTTTAAGTTTAGAGAATCATGTCAATAGGAAAAAGGTCTATAAAATTTGTCGTGTGTCGTGTTAGATGACCTTTATGTGGAATCAATGAACCATAGACGATAGACTGCACAGTCCAGTCAAAGGATATCGTTCGTTTCGTTCACATTAATTGCCTTTCCTTGGTCACCATTTCATTCATCATTCGCCTGAACGGAATATGGCGGTGCTAAGCAGGATGTGCATAAGTTTTTGATTTTGCATAAAACAACGAGTTGCAAATTGCACATTGATTTTACATTCATTTTTGTTTGATAACGTGCTTAGTTTAAGATTTTGTGAACGTTTTATCCCTCCTCAGGGGATCGTTATTTGGACTCTAAATTTGCGATGAAAATTATTACTTCATTGGTGGTGTAAAAATAATTGTGACAAATATAACTTATAACCCAGGTAACTGTTGTTTTCATAAATTAAATTAGTGAATTGTATCTTTATTTCTGCACAATAAATTCTCTGGAACGTCCGCTGTACGGTTGCTGTTTTAACTCGAGTGTGCCCCATTTCTTTTCAAGATCACTCGTTAATTTTAATGTCGACTTCTATTTTAGTTCATAAAGCTGATCTTTTAACTTAAATTTATGCTATAAAAAGAACTCGCACGAATATTGTGAATAGTTATCTGATATATGACAAAGGATAATTTTCTTTGTGCTCCCGATCACGTGTGATCCAGGTCGTTAAAGGGTCAATAACTGCTGAGCATGACATATTTCAGCTGTATTGTCTAGCTTGAGTATAAAATCACCTGAGTAATATGTAATGTTATGTTTACTAGATTACGATTCAGGGTATGAAAAATTCATACATCAGAGCACCCCTGAATTAGTGTTCACGGGTTTGATCTTTTTCGGGCATTCAATTAAGGTAGAAATTAGCTTGCAAGTTTAACGCGAGTGCACAAAAGTGCTGATCCTAGGCGCACGGTGTGGGGCGACGAGGATGCGGGTGGGGCGGGGCGCGGGGCAGGCCGCCGCTAGTCAGCTGTGCAGTGTCATGTCGCCGCACACTGTAGCGCCGTGGGAAGTGGCCCAAATTGTGTCAGTTTTTACTTATCTTCAACAAAATAAGAGGAATTTTTAATTTATCAAACCAAAAACTAGCTAAACCTATATTTCAATCCCTTAATCATAACTGTTGATTAAGTTCCAGTGATTGATAAAGTATCCTTGATCATTCTTGATTTTGACAGCATTTAAGACTATAGAACAGAATGATAATCTTATCATATAACACTAGATTTTAAAGATGTTTCTTTCGGATTGATGTATTGGATTTATAGAGTAGATGATAGATACAGGTGTGCTTTTCTTCTAATAAATAATAGGTAAATGTCGGTCTGAATTGAAATATAAAAGCTACAACTGAAAATAAGTTTTTATAACAAATTAACTAAGATTCATCTCAAAAATGTTAAAATACCATACAGGTTTATGTAATCGATAGAGAACATGGTGCTAGAGGCCATGCAGTGTGTAGATTTCATTGTTTTGTGTGTTTGCTATTGGCTATTGTTGCGCAATCAACAATTTTCAATAAACTCTTTATGACTTGCTGGTAGAGCTTACGATAACCAACTGTTTCTACTTGTAAACACAGAATGTAGTTAATTTAATCAAATACTTGATTAAAATTGTATGAATCATTTCCTGCTGTGCAGTGAAATGTTTTTAATTTATATTGTTGGTAAAACTGTCCCATACCATCGAGTTGAGTTAAAATTTGGCTACATTTGTGTCTCTTTTGTTTATAATATCAAATATGTATCAGATAAGCATTATGTTATGATGATACATATTTTTTTATTGCAAGGACAAAAATTATCTTATCATTTCAAACAAACTTTATTTACTATACATAATATCTATGATTAACTAATATATAAAAAAAAGGATATAAACAGGATAAAAACTACAAATTTTTCATAATTTATAATTTTTATTGTATTTTCAATTAGGTTAGAGGCACAATAGTAGTATTTTGCCTTACATTAACCAGACTAGGACATCAATGTGCATTAAAGTGCTAGACATAACTAAATATTGTTTACACAAACAATTATCCTATAATAATAAAATATACATAAGGAAAAGGCCATAAAATGTAAATAAATTAGTAAATTATATCCTGCTTATATCACATTGCTTTTCAAAACAACTTGCTTTTTTAACCTTTACTTTTTTTTTTAATCTGTTGCGGTGATCTTGAGAGGTGAACAACTTCCTAGAGAAACATAATTAAGTGAAGTACCTTAGAATATTTCAAGGCGAAGAGAAATCAGATCTTAACTACAGGAGTTAAAATTGGCTGATAGGGCGATATTCATCATGATTACTTACCAAGAAACTACTAGTCAACAAATGCATCATAAATGCATCATATGGGCATATGGATTCCAGCTATTGGGATCAGCCAGTAACTCAAATCTTGAAATCCTACAAAGGGTCCAGAACAATGTCGTAAGAGCAATATTTGGTGCACAATGGTATACAAGAAATATTGAGATTCATGAATATTTGAACTTGCTAACAATTAAAAGTAAACAGATATTTTGTAAAATTTAAAGAGAGGCTTCAAGGCCACACAGTCCACTCCCCAGAAACTTATTGAAAATGATGATGTAGCTAGACTGAAATGATGGCAAATATTACAACTGGATAAGAGACACAGAGTTGAAGGGGCTGTTTGGGTCAAGATGAGAGCATATTTTGTTGAAATACCCCTCAAAACACTAGAAGATTGCAGATAGGATTGAAAAAAAAAACATTTTTTTTAAAGTAAAGACAGGGCCCTGATTATGTAACATATTATTGTTTTGCTCTTTTAATCTTTGAGAAAGAAATTGGCTTTTATAACTTTGGCACTTGCTTAAGTTTTGAAGGGTACTGTGGAAAGTTGAAGTTGAAAAAAGAAACCCCCTAAGTGTAAATTCATGTAACTGTTGGCTCAACAAGTTGTTTATATTTGTAATTACTTACTTATTACCTTTTTTATATCAATATATATACAATAATATACACACGTGATGTTGAGTTTACCAATAGAGAACTTTACCATGCTGAAGCCAGGCATGTGCATATATCTATAGTAAGCAAAGATTGCAGTCTGTATGGTCATTATTATATGAACAAATATATATATATATATATATATATATATATATATATATATATATATATATATATAGCAAATATATAATATATATAAAAACAGAGCCTCATAAGCATATATAAATATATATATATATGCTTATGAGGCTCAGTTTTTGTTCAGTATTAGTTTGCTGGCGTGGCGGGTTCAGAAACAACACTCCGTGCCCCGCTTAACTGTGCGCACGCTCATAATAGCCGCCGCGCAGGATCATCAGATTTAATGACCATAAGACTGTCTAGAAAGTATGCAACAAAAATATATTTTTTCCAATCTTCAAGTAGTTAAGGAACATACACAAAAAGATTCCGAAGAATTGTGAACGTGTTCCTTTTTCGAAGTTTGTTAAAGAATTATTATTTGTAACTAGTAGTGTATGATCGAACCGGTTATATTCCAGCACGGCGTGGCGGCCATGGCTACGCTCATCCAAGAGAACGGCATCAAGGAGTTGAGCAATGGCATATCCACGCACAGCGTCGCCAGTCATATGGTGCCGGACCACGAGTACTGCGAGGCGGGCGCGGGCGGCGTGCCGCAGGCCTGCGCTGTCGCCGCGCCTGCCGCCCTAGCCCCGCCCGCGACTTCGCCCTCGCCCGCCGACGAGGAGGACACGCCCGAAATAGACATCATGATAAACAATGTTGTGTGCAGTTTTAGTGTTAAGTGCCACCTGAACTTGAGACAGATCGCTTTGAACGGTGTTAACGTGGAGTTCCGTCGCGAGAACGGCATGGTGACTATGAAGTTGCGGCGGCCTTACACCACCGCGTCGATATGGTCATCGGGGCGCGTGACGTGCACGGGCGCCACCAGCGAGGATCAGGCGAAGGTGGCGGCGCGCCGGTACGCGCGCGCGCTACAGAAGCTCGGCTTCCAGGTCCGCTTCCAGAACTTCCGAGTAGTCAACGTATTAGGAACCTGCCGCATGCCGTTCGGCATTCGAATTATAGCCTTCTCCAATAAATATAAAGAAGCAGAGTGAGTATTTTCGTTTTTTTTTTATTATTTGTTGTCAACCTTAAACTTTATTGATGTGAACTTTAACGTTCTGACCTTGATGGACATGCAAGTTCGTTCACCTTTGCTCAAATTTGTGGTGTGTCATGAATGATGAAGTTAAAAACTTAAAACGACATTAATTCAATGCATAGTGAAGACATTGTTTTAAAATAATATGAAAACTTTACCCCTGTTTCTTAAAATTAATTTTTCATGGAAACTCATGTGTATACTGAAATGACTGTGAATAAGTAGCAATTATATTGTTATATTTAAAGAGTATTTACAAAATGTTGAATAGTATAATATATAGTCCTTAATTTTTGACTGAATTTATTTCAATAGAATGCCATGCAAACTTGTTGGGAAGTTCAACCCACAGGAAGTGGTTTACACATCCTAAAGATTCATAAAACACCAGGGGGCCATTCGCCTAACGGAAATGCTTTGGAAAACTCTAACGCTTACGATTTCATTTTGTTATTTTTAGCCGCCTGAGGTTTTCAAATGCCTCGCCCGTTTTTTTTTTCTTTTGCTTTGGTAATTTTGTAATGTAAAATGTAAAGTATTTGAAAACTTTCGGCGGTCAGAAATAACAAAATAAAATCGAAAGCGTTAGCGTTTTCCTAAGCATTTCCGTTAGGCGAATGGCCCCCAGGAGTACCACTCGCACATTGCCTTTCCTGCAGCGGTGGCGTATTTACAAATCTGGCTCCCTTATTAATTTAGAGCCTTGCTTTAATAACATGAAATTATTATTTAGATATGAATAATTATGTAATAATAAACCAGTATTTAAGGCAAAAAGAAATAATTAATATTTGTTTAGTATTTAATCATTGAATGTGACATATTCTGTCTGCTTCTGTTTCAGTTATGAACCAGAACTGCATCCAGGTGTTACTTATAAACTATATAATCCTAAAGCTACTCTGAAAATATTCTCCACCGGTGGCGTAACTATTACAGGTATGCTTCTGATAACTTGGCTTTTCCTTAGACTAATCTAAGACTAATTATAAATCTTTTAAAAATCAAAATCAATGTAATAGAAAACAATAAATATTTATCAGCTTTGCCAGCAACATGATCTTTTTAACCTTAGCAGGGAGTGTAATTAGACTATAATTTATCAATTTTATTTATATTAAGTATATTATATTATATTAGTATTCAAAACTCATTTCATGATTAGTACCTTAACTGTCTACTGCTAATATAAATTTGCATATTTTAGATATATTAGGTTGGGGAAAAAGTTTCTTCGCATTTTTTATGAAAATTCAAAACATTTTTTAATAAACTTTATTTATATTTAACTAAAGTATGTAGGTGCCATTTTGTTCGATAACTTTTTTGCCATCTTGTAGGTAGGGACATGATTCCATTGCTATAGAAATTTTAGGGTTTCTGATCAAAAACCCGCGACAAGTGGTTTTGGCAGTCATCTCGTAATGTTAACCTGACACTGCCTAAAGAATTCTGAAGATACCGAAACAGGTGGCAATCTGAAGGTGGAAGGTCAAGACTATACGGCGGATGGATTAACACCTCCCAGTTTTGCTGAGTGGCTAAAGATGTGTGAGGTCTAGCGTTATCATGATGAAAAACCATACCCCTTCTGTGGTTTAATTCCGGCCGATTTCTCTGAACTTCTTGCTTTAATCTCATCAGTTGTTCGCAGTTAGGGTTACTATTTAGAAATTTGAAAAGTCCTGACATAAAGCATTTCGATAAAAGTCCGGGCATTTTAGTCACAAAATGCAAACCTACTTAATTACAGTGATATTATACGCGTGGTAGCAGACGCTCACATCGCGAGCGGAGTCTCGTTGTTGATTTTTAAAAGATGATATATATTTTGTTTTAAATTAATGAGAACTTAATAAAGATTATTTGTCTTATTTGATATAACTTAATAAGTAGTTTTAATCATATTCCATCTAATTATAAAAATCCGGACATAAAAGCCCTACTAAGTCCGGACAAATGGCAAAAGGTCTGGATATGTCCGTCCCAGTTCTTCAGCTACGTCGTAAGTAATGATTTGCCGATCTTGATTCACTTTTTCAAAAATGGCATCTATTTTATCCGTAACAGGGCGAACAGAGCGACGTGCATCTTTGACATCAAAATTTCCGGATTGAAAACGCTTAAACCCAAATCTCTCACAGACACTGCACTTGGTCCTTAAATATCACAAATTTTTTTTCGTGGATTTGCGTTGCATTTTTACCTTTTTTTGTAGTAATATTAAAAATTGTATTGAATTTCTTCATTATATACACTCATCTTGACAGTAAGTGAACCAATGAAAATCAGTCATTTTTATAATTTGAATTTTGAATTATCTTCTTTCACAATTTTTTCGTGGCTTGCGTTGCATTTATATCTTTTTTGTATTTAAATTATAAAATGTATCGAATATCGTCTTTAGATTCACTAATCTTGACAGTAAAAAAAACCAGTGAAAATCACACATTTTTCTAATTACAATTTGGAATTTATATACTTTAAAATTTAATGATATCCAAACCGGCTAGTTACAAAATGTATATATAGCCAAAGAGATTTTATCACAATTTCATACATACTAGGTATAATGCGAAAAGACTTTTTCCCCAACCTATTAAATGAAAAGATATATAAATTTCTTAGATTTTACAATTAAAAATAGTAAAATATTATAAATTTCAATAGGTATCATTAAGTTATTAACTTAAAATTATGTAAATGAAATAACTGCTTGGTTCTGACACTACACAAGAATATAATCAAATCGCAGAGGAGTAATTTGTATCTGTTTCGTGTCAAAGCATTTAAAAATACACAAAAAGAATTTATCTAATATTAGGCTAGCAACGTAGGTTACGCTATAACCATAGTTTATTTATAAATAAAACTGTGCTATCACGCCTTTCAAATCATAGAGGGAGAGATAATAAATGCAAGATCATTGAATTGATATGATCACCCTGTCGATGATGACGTACTATGAGAAAGTTGCTTAAATAAGGCCACCATTAATCTCCACAGCAAATGTGCATTATGTAAACTTTGGAATTTCGTCTTCGTGATTTATTATAGAAATTATCAACAACCAAACCATGTAGAACTCGTCAAAAGTGTATGTATATAAGAAAATTATAAAACTGCATGTGCGATTTCTGTAAATGTGTCTTATGTTGTACTTATTACATGCTTTTTAATAGGATGTGATGGAAATTCAAAATATCGTGATGACTGAGCCAAAATTGAGAAGTCACAAGAAGGACTTGTTAAGCGGGATCTTTTAAAATTTGCTAAGCTCTTCTACAGAAAAAAAACCATAGATATCGACTTTAACGATGTATTCACCAAAATTGTGTGAGGTCACGCTTTACATAACTTTGTGCTGGCTAACAACAGGACTACTAATATTTGTTTATTTTTCGAATTTTTCATTTCATTACAATTATAAATAAATAAATATTTCTAACACTCACACCAATTAGCCTAGTCCCAAAATAAGCACTGTAAGGCTTGTGTTATGGAATACTAGGGAAACATATAGAATACATAGGGTAATGGCACCAGTGGTCAGCCTCATAACGACTTTTTGAAGTTTGGAAAGCTGGCATTTTTACAGGATTCGTCGGATAATAAAACGTAGTACATGATTGGATTAATTGTTTATTATAGCTTTTAAACAACATATTATGTCAAAAACAAATTTTCTCTTTATAAAATATATTTAAATTCAAACAAAAAATAGCACTTTTTGCCTGTTGTATGTAAGCCTCTAAAATCCAATAATCAGCCTCGATGAACCCAGTATTCAGCCCTTATAACTATGAATAAGCATGAGATCAAAATGAGCATTATTTATATCAAAATCAACGATGTTATTAAGTTCTCTCTTATTATTTATAGCTATATTATCAAAATAAAAAAAATCTTACCTGACCGAAATTTTGGGCTGAAAAATATACAGAATTATTTATCAAAAATTATTTACATAGGTACCTTCTCAATTACTGAAATACAAACTACCTAAATACATTTATAACTATTTCAGGTAAAACTAAAATGTAGTCTAACCGACGTCCTTAAAAATACTATCTAAATGGGTACAATCGGAGACACATAACTGTACATTTACATAAACCTTGTCGCAACGTATTTAAGAGTATGGGTGGTTAACAGTATCTCCGTTTGCTAGATCGGGGCTGAATACTGGATTTTAAAAATAATTCAAGAACCCAGTGATCAGCCCGGGGGGCCGACCATTAGATCTTTTATAAAAAAGTAGTTCCCAATGGTCAGCCCCCACAATATTTACGTAAATCAGCGATATTTTTATTTAAATTTAATATACTTCAATACATGAAGTATTCACTAAAGTCATATTGCACAAAAGACTAACACATTTAATAATAAAACATGTTTTTTTTTTTACCTTTTAAGAGAACACCACGCGACATAATAAATATGGCGGACATGACAATACTACGCTTTTCAACCGCCGTCACCTGTATGAACGAGTTTATTTCTCCCCCCTGATTCCTTGCCGCACCTATCGTGTGACATATTAACCAATGAGGAATCAAAGTTTCAATTAAAGTACACTTGCTTCGTTTAATCGAATTGTAGCGATATTTATGACCAATAAACGACGCAAACGGCTGACCACTGGTTCTTGGCTGGTCACTGGTGCCGTTACCCTATACTGATACATATATAAGTATATTTATATAGAAATACATATCAAACATCCATGACTGGCGTACAAATACTCGTATTCATCACACAAACATCTGCCCCCACCGGGATTCAAACACTGTCTCATTTTGTATAAATAAAATTAATAGTGGTTGACTGTTATTGGCCTTACATGTAACTGTAAACCAAAAATTTTAAACTTAATTGATGGCTGTTGTTATCCCAATTAAATAAATGAAATAAAAATTATAAAGATATTATAATTTTAAGTTTAAAAATAATTGCAAAATGGTTTAATTTTAATGATTATTTAAATTGTATTAATTTTGAGAACAAAACTAAAACAGTTTTCAGTCTTGTTCAATATCGGTATAAGCACGTGCCATTCTGGCTCCGCCCAATTTTCATAAATGTCTTGTTGATATGAATCTGCATCAGCTCTGTATTAATTGATGCAAATGCGGATAAAGATATCTGAATTAATGCGAATATTCCGAATTTGCGGATGCGAATATTCGCAACATCCCTGCTACTAACAGCGGCGCAAGTTACTTGAATTGTGCTGCTGGACTAATGCAAAAATGCATTCTAACATGGCAAAGAAATAAGCACCAGCTACAGTTTCCATGTCATCCCGTACCGCAATTTTTACAGTGCTTACTTTGGGGCTAGGCTAATTGGTGTGTGTGTGTTAGAAATATAAGTGTAAATCTGGCATAATTTAAAGCAATACGAAATACACACTTCATTAATGTTAGAAGTAATGAAATAAACAAACCTTGCTTCTGAAGAACAAAGTCGTTCCCTACTTTAGGTATTTAAATTCTCGGTCACACGCAGGCTAAGGCACAGGCGGCACAGTTTCTCAACTTAATTGGCGTAGCAACCTAGATTCAATGAAGTTTGAGCGTGCTTTATTACTTATTTTATTCACGAATTTCTTTTATTTCAATTGTATTTTTTAAATGGGTCCGCTTAATGGTAAGCGACAATCCAATAGCCATTTAACACCAGAGATGTACAAAATGGTTTTAAAAAAGCATTTAAATACAAAATGCAAAATACTTTTCAGATTTACTATTTCAAATGCAAAATACTAAATAGTTTTGCGTTTTGTATTTCAAATGCTAAATGCAAAATAGGTATTTTCAAAATACTTTTTCAAAATAAAATACCCCCTGACTAAATCACAGATATTTTTATTTATTATAGGTACATATTTACTTATCATACATGAGCAATAGAGACACACAATGCCGAGCCGAAAAACAAACGTCTAATAACATATTACATATGATTACACTTTTCTTATTAAAACTAATAACAACTGGAACTGGACTGGTATTGTTAAAAAGTGATAAAAATAAATATCATTGTTTATTTATTACGCTTTTTAACAATCCCAGTTGTTCGAATACATCATCACTCATTTTTCTTCTGTGAGGTCTCATTATCATCCCACCATACGAAAAAAGTCTTTCTACTGGTGCTGAACTTGGTAAGGATGTGTTGTATTTAAAAAATACTTTTTTACTGTAGGATAAGCATTTAGCATCTCCAGACTTGTGCTCTCATCCTTTAAATATTGCAGGGTTTCCAGATCTATTGTAGTATTATTAGCACTACCACCCTCACTGGTTGCCGAGGAATCTGAATCCTGGAACATGTAATAAGACTCGCTTTTTTCTCTTTTTCTTTCCGATGTCTGTGATAGGAGGCAGCTTTTTAAATTTTCATTTTTAAATTTCCTGACTTCTTGGATAAACAGCTCCCTAAGATGCTCCTTCTTATTTTTAGGCACCCACTTTAATTTGAAAAATGGATACGATATTGCTGCCAGAATGCTGTCCTTGGATCTTGGGTTATCTAAATCAATCATATCATAACCGTTTCAGTATTATAGAAATAATAACAACACTTCAATATCAGAAAAGTAGGTAATCAAAACAGTAACTACTTCACTAGCACCAGAAAATAATAAACTCGTCGTGAAATCAAATCGTCGGTGTCAACGGCTATGCGTTTCATATCCATAAATTCAAAGCCATAGATAATGTTCGCCGTTTTCGTTGGAAATTGACACTTGTCAGACATTACTTGACATAAGGCGCGCACTTTGACCAAAGAAGAAAAAAATGTCGCGCATGGTTAGCAGGCGCCTCTATCGGTCGAATTCGGCAATACAAGCGTTTTGTTTTGTTTGACTGGTATGTTGGCTAAACTTAATCACAAAGTATTTTGCATTTTGAAATTAATATTAAAAATACAAAATGCATCTCGAAAGGCATTTCAAATAAAATACAAAATACTTTTCACTGAAAGGTATTTAAATACAAAATATAAAATAGGTATTTTGCATTTTCTATTTGCATTTAAAATAGAAGTATTTCAAATAAATCACATCTCTGTTTAACACTTATGACAACGTAAGTTCATTCCTCTCGCACATTTACATTACGAAATTAGTGTCATGAAAACAGTTCCGTCACATCAATTTCATCAACAAATTCACGTGTAAACGTCAAGTTTTACAATACATGCATCGATTTCATAAAATCACATACACGAGAAACTGAAATAGTTTCATATCGCGCGCGATTTTTGAATAAAATTATAGTATCATGCAACTAATGCGACGCTGAATTAGTGTCGCAAAGGCGCCTCCGCTGATAGGACGTGTTTTTAGTCATGGTTTGGGGGTTTAAATAAAAAAAAATACATTGAAAATCCTTCTTCTTAACTTGAGACAACCTTTTCTTAATTTTATATAATACCATATGTATGACATCATTTTCCAATGCAAAATAAAGCTTCGATGCTGTCTGAGCCACAATTCCATATCCATTCCATTGTTCTATTAATTCCAGGACACTATTGTTTTAACGAAACTAGGTACACAAGTACTACAAGTTTCATGAATTTAGTTTCATTGTGGTTGACACTTATAATTTAAAAAATCGAAAAACCCGACTGCTTCAATATATCTAAAATATAAAACTGAAAAGAAAAAAACAGAATTTTTCTTTTTTTTTATTAGCAGTGTAAAAAACGGTCTTCGACAAACGGCAATGCATGCAGCATTGCTTTATGTCAACGTGCGAGACCGATGATCATGCATACGAGTCATTCATAGCTTGCACGCTGAAAAATATAAGGGACTCCTCATTCAACTGCCTGTACCTAGCTTGCACGCTGTTTAGATTGATATCAATAGAATAAACGATTTTTTGCTTTACTAAGCATGTCATGCTGTAATACCTCCCACAGATTTAACACACATATTGTCAGATATTGCACATTTATGCTTCTACTATGATCATCATAGACATAGTATCATAATAGATCTATGACAGTGCAATTAATCATCAATCTATATTAAACTATTGTGCGAGTATTGATAAATGGGAAAAGATGAATATCGATTCATTATTATTATTACAATTTAGAAAACTGGCAATATCACTTTTCTGGGGGGACGGTCTGCCAAATTGATTTTTTTTCACTGACGTACCTAATATTAACTTTAAAATTTAGATTTAAACTTAAGCAGTTAAAAAGTAAATCTTGTACTAGCGCGTTTCCATGAATTCAGTTTTAAATATAAGCATTTCCAGGATTTATGGTACTTATAAAATAAGAGAAACTAGGACAATAAAAATGAAATATACATTTATTGTTATAAGAAGAAATACAATTTTAGGTTGATATTAATATATTGCAGCCTCCTAAGTTATTAAACCTATTATGACGAAAACTTTCGAGAGGACTGTAAATGAGAGCAATCTGATTAATGATTACTGCCTACTCCATTCTTTCATTGAAGGTTACACTAAAGTTCGGATCAAACTAAATGGCGGCTGTCAAGTTAGGTTAAGTAAACGTAATACAGGTGTGTGAGGGGTCTCACTAAACTGGAATCTGTGCAAATTTGCGCTTGCTGCTAACTTCACAACCGCCATAAATTTTTAATCGCACTATACGCCTCAACTAACTGTATCTGACGAAAGCTTTAGTTTTGCTGTAGTTAGTCGGATTTTATTGTTGTTGTTAAGGAGTTACCAGTCGATCTAACTTGAGGCGAAGCACATATCATCTGCAACACCTGTGCGGTGCGCTTTGTTGGCTTCCACACACTCAATTATGGTCTGGAGTGCACCAAGGTCGAGGTGTGCTTCGTATCAAGATCGATCGTCTATTACAGCTTTTAATACGGTTAATGAAATCCCTACTTACCCATGCTTGTCCCTTTACAAGTTTGCGCGGGGTCTGACACCGGAGGCAAATGGGAGGAAATGGGAAAGCAGAGTATAAAAGTATTATATGACAATAATTGATTGTGTGATAAAGAAAGCAAAAGAAAGAATCAAAATAGTGAAGCGATGATTTTATGTTTAATTGCAGCCCGGAGCGTGAACGACGTGCAATCGGCGGTGGAGCGCATCTTCCCGCTGGTGTATGAGTTCCGCAAGCCGCGCACCGCCGCCGACGAGGAGCTGCTGCGGCAGAAGCGGGCCGCGCGCGCCGGACACGGCCCCACCCACGGGCCCGCGCACCCGTACCCGCACCCCGCCCCCGCGCCCGCGCCGCACCCGCACCCGGCCGCGCCCGCGCCCGACCCCCTGCACCTCGTCACGCTCTCCGACGACGACGCCGACCACGACGCCGACGCCTGGGAGTGACCCGAGCGCGGCCCGACTACCGCCGCCATCGCATACGACCGCATCTAAACCGACCACCGAGCGCCGCGCCGGTCAGCGTCGCGAACGCCCGTTGGACAACGAATTACGACCGACTTGAAACACCGGGACGGACTCCGCCTCCGGCACGTTCACAGACGAAGACCCTCGAGCGCGTCTCGCCGCGATATCCTCCCGCGAATGAAGAAGTAAACGCTCGCGCCCGTCGCGGATATATCACGCCCCAGCTTACACTTTCATTCTTCGCGGTCCACGAAGATCGTCCGAATATATAAACCTAAGAAAGGACGACATCGTTCCACCGGATGCGAACGTTCGAACGAAAATCGAAAGAAGCGTGGAGTTAACGCCGCGGTTGCGTTGGCGGTTTTCACGGACGATTACGAGCGAATCTAATAACCGCGAAGAGCGGCTTTTACGTTGTGCCGGTAGCGGCGAACGTTTGGTCGGGAGAAAGTATTAGGCGACGCGGCAGTGCTGTGCTGGTGGCTTACACGGACAATTTGCGCGTCATCCGGCGCCGTGCTAATCTACATCTCTGCGGTTTTGTGTCGGAGCAGTTCTCGTTGACCCGTGCGGTTTTGTAGTGCGACCGCGTGTGACTGTCGGCGGCCCGTTCGGTTCATGCCAAAGATATTTATTAGGCAGACCCTTGTCTGCGAACTACCGTTCTTGCGCGCCCTGTGACCTCTGTATTCGTAGGTCTCCGGTTTGCGCTTAACCAAATTTGTCATGAATTAATAACTATGTTCAGAGAATTAATCTCGATGACGATACTCAGTCTCGTTTTTTTTTCATTTGCTGTTATGATCGAAGAAGTTGTAGTGATAATAGTGTTCAATAAGTTTGTTCTAAGGAAGATGACTGAATGATTAGTTAGATGATAGTGATTGTAAATATGAAAAAGCTTGGACATTATATGTTTAAATAAAAATCTGTTTGTTTTATTACTTACATTAATTTGGCTGTCTGAAATCCTTATTATCCCTTGAGGTTATCTTAAGCCGGGTCACCAGTAAAAGATTTTTGAAAAAAATTCAAAAAAACATACACAAAACTTTGTTTCTGAAACATGTTCCTCTACACGCCGTCTACTGCTCACGTGGCTGTCGTTTTGTGTTTTGTACACAAAATACACGGGGCTGCGTTCAAAAACTACGATCCAGGTGTAACAAATTTTTAAATTTGACAAAAGTTTCGTACATTTAGGTCAAAATTGAAACGTCATGTGAAAAGTTGTACTCGGAACGTAGATTTGGGACGGAGTCCCCTCAAGCGATGTGTCAAAAAAATGGCCGATTAAATAATATCCTGCCCCTCGACCCGCGCAGGGGGGATTTGTGTACGTATTTTCTTTACTGAAGCAAACAAATATGTGTAGTGAAACAAAGTTTTGTGTAGACGATTTTGTTGATTGTACAGGGAAAAACGCGCGCTGGAGATCCGCCTTTAGTCATCCTTTGTGGATGTTGTTTAATCTCCAATGATTCAATTCTACAGTATCTCATGTTCTCTTTGAATTGCTGCTGGTTGCCTCTACATTTCTTAAGTCTGCAGAGCATTCTAAGTCACTGAAACCTTACTACCATAGCCATGTTTTAACAAATGACACCACATTGCATAAGATGTTCCCCAGAAAAATTGTTGGCACAGCAATCAGCTTAATAGCCCTCTCTCGCACAATGCAGATTATTGTTACGTATTTGCATAGAAAAGTGAGGTGACATAATTTTGAGGCATTGTCTGGCTGAAGTCGAATCGTATGCGCATGCACATCCCTAAGAAAGAGCCTTTAGGGTGGCACTAAGAGAAGTCAATTAATTTAAGTTCTATTAATAAAATTTATGCTGTCACTGTCTTAACGATACTATAAATTTTAATAACGGTAGAATAAGATTGTACGTGATTTAATAAAGTGTTAAATTTAATTGACGTCTCCGAGTACAGGCGTAAATAATCGGCCGACTTCTGTCCACGTCACGTAGCACGTAGGGTTGCCAACCCTACTATATAATATAGTATCCAACTATATTAGGGCATAACATACTATGTTTCTAAAAAAAATTAGGCGAAACTAAGTAGGTACTATATTTTGCTTAAAGCAGATTTTTGCCAGTAAAAGCGTTCTAAGAAAAAATAAATTAAGGCATGGAAGAGCAAAAATATATTCATTTTAAAAATAATGTACATATTTTAACCAAATACTATATTTTTTCCATCTTTTTGCCATCTACTATATTTTTTTTAGAGGTAACAGCTTCGAAAATAATTTATTTTATAGAAAAAAAGTTGGTAACCCTAGCGTCACGCAACGTGGGCACTTAAAAAGCTTTCTTTTAAACGCATATAATTATTGCTTGTATTTTGCTTATTCCTTGTACAACGCATGCGTGGTATCACAGAACACATGTTCTGTACGTAGTCTTTACGACAGATATAGTCGATTTGAATTTATATAAAAAAAATCCACATGTTTCTAGTATTTTTTATTGATTATAGACAACAAATCATTACATATTCTTTTTTGCTGGAAACATAACAGGCGATGCTTCGATCTCTGGGCTCTGTTATTCAGCACCGCCAGGCGAAGACACGACACCTCTGTCTCCCAGCTGATGGTGGTGTGTGCGCTTCATGAATTTGATTCGTGCATGTCATATTTATCGCTGTTATAGGGCGGGTGAGAGGGGTGGGTGAAGGCGCTGCTTCGATCTCTGGGCTTTGATATTCACCACCGCCAGGCGAGGACTCCACACTACTGTCCCTTTGATGATGATGGTGCATGCGCTTCATGAATCTGATTCGTGCATGTCATATTCATGACTGGTATGGCGCGGGTGTCGTACGAGGCGGTGCTGCGATCTCTGGGCTCTGAGATCCACCATCGCCAGGCGAGGACTCCACACTCCTGTCCCTTTGATGATGATGGTGCATGCGCTTCATGAGTCTGATTCGTGCGTGTCATATTTATCACTGGTATAGCGCGGGTGAGAGGGGCGCCGGTGGCGTGCGAGGCGGTGCTGCGTTCTCTGGGCTATGATATCCACCACAGCCAGGCGAGGACTCGACACCTCTGTCCCCCTGATGATAATGGTGCATGCGCTTCATGAGTCGGATTCGTGCGTGTCGTATTCATCACTGGTATAGCGCGGGTGAGAAGGACGCGGGGGACGTGCGAGGCGATGCTTCGATCTCTGCGCTCTGATGTCGTAGCCAGGCGGACTGCGGATGTATGCGCTCATGTCCACCACTGCTAGGCGAGGAGTGCGCACCGCTGTCCCTGAAGGCATTACAAACATTAATACATTGATAAGCTTGATTAGTCAGGTGGGAAGAACAGCCCATCATTGCATGATGACAGAATGAAAGGCGCTTGTGCTCTCTAAACGGCGGTGGCGACATTAAGAAGTCTAGTCTGATGATGATAGCGATAACAGAAGTACCCACACATTGAACATTTTTACTGTCTATCTAAACGGTTCATGTGATATTAGCCTGCAGAGCAGACAAACGACAATGACAGGTGACAGCCTACAACGTTATCATATAGGAAAAACCACATTTCGTGATGATGATGTTTTTAAAGCTAAAAATGCGAAATTACCGGTGATGATCGGAAGGAAGGTTTCGATATCGGGAACAGTATGCGGACGCGCGCGTAGTCCCGCGAGGCGAGACACACGCGGCGGCAGTGCGCGCAGCGGCGCCGGCCAAGACTCCGGCAGTGCCGGCGACAGCATGCGCGGCCGCACCGCGCGCCGCTCCGGCGACGAGCTGCATGACCTAAGAGAATAGTCAGCGATCATATAAGTTGTCTTACTTTAAGACTGATTTACGCTGGGACAACACTGCGACATTGCGGCATGCCACACCACATAGTTTAATATTTTAGGGCACAATGCTTTTTCAAAGCATCGTGCTTTCAATGATCTGGGCATGATGTTGCATCGGATACCTTCAACGATAGTCAGCCGTATTGGACGTGTTTAAGTTATAGTGACATAAATCGCAAAGATTGTTACACTGCTGTTATTGTAAAAAAGATATAGAAGAAAAAGTAGATTTTGGGTTCATCCATTTATTACGGTTATAAAAGTTGATGGGAGCTATTTTACTCGAAAATACTATGGTATGAGAAAAGAAGTTTTCTTTATCATTTTAGAAAGAGCACATCTTCATTTGAAGAAGTTTAGTTTAGTATCACCATGTCTGCAAAAATGATCGTACAAGCGAAGTCTCAGAGCGGACTAAAATTGTGTCACCAAGTGTGACGTAATATCTCAAAAATGTGTGACATGAATCAGATCTAAAGCATTTATGCGAGCTCGCAGATTTTTGCGATGCGATGCGAATTGGGAGTTATGTGTTGGAGCACTTAAATAAGCTGCTGAATGTTGTATCTCTGTTTGCAGCATACCACGACATGACTCACGCCAAAATATGCAGCAGTCTCGGGGTAAATCAGCCTTTTACCTTGATACTTTAAACCAAAATTAGATACCTACCTATGCAGGATACTTTTACAGATACCTACTTAAGTTATTGACAGTACCTTTACATGGAGACGGAGCAGTGCTGTAAAACGTCGACACTCTGACCCAAATTTTCGTCACATATCCATTGATATCGGTCCACAGAATTCGTGTCGGGTGACGGATGCATGCAGGAGTATTGCCTGTAGTTTTAGTGGGTATGGTAATTAGAGCTTCGTCCATTTTACCTACCGGGCCTTTGAACTGGACGAAATATAGTGGGGAGGATTCCTCACATATCCCGATGACGGGAAAGGCTTCATGCCATTCCCAGACATAAAAAAGACAGCGCTTGCTAATGTAACGCTTTTTTGTATGCTGTCTTCATACAAAGTGTCAATAAGTAGGGAAAGATAAATACCGTTCTCTCTCTATAACGGGGCGTCTCTTGCGACGGCGCCCGCGAGGTTCCTTCTTCTTGCTGGTGATGCCCACGCGCAGAGGGATCACTCCAATATGCCGGTAGTAGTCACACAAAGCTTTCACTACCGATCTACCAATTTTTGCATCTATGCGAAGAGATCAGGATTAATTATATATATAAAACATCAGATCCATAAAATGAAAGTACTTACATACCATTCAGATCCGACCAGCCAGCCACCTCGACCTACTTCAATTGCCAAAAATACCTAAATTCTGATCTTATGCTTTTTGTAACTTTTTTTAGTAACAAGTAAACGAAAACACACTATTCGGATCCGCTATTTTGCTTGGAATAGCACAAATAAAAAACTTATAATATAAATGACCATGGCATTTATATTATAAGTGTTTTATGTTAAAAGCGTGGCAAAGAGGCGTATGCCTGATGGTAAGCGACCACCATAGCCTATAGACGCTTACAATACCAAAATTAATAGTTTAAAAAATACTAGAAAAACACACTTTTATAAAATGCAAGTTTAAACCAAAAATAAATTATGGATTGTTCAAGTTGTCTCTATTTCTGGGCTGAAGTGTAAGCAATGTGCTTTTAATTATAATATTTTATTGTTAAAGCGTGGGGTGCTGGAACAGGGGAGCCCTGGAACCTTACTCACCGACAGAAACACAGAACCACAAAAAGGTAGTGTTATTTTACTATGGGCTTATAACAGAAGGAGGTTAGTTCCCCAGACGGGCGCTCCAATTCGACCGGAAAATCCTCTATGCCCTATCTCTCTTGATAAATATTTGAACTTCGTTGACTCAGAAAAATTAACTATCTCAAGTTAACGAAGAGAGTGTATTGAAAGGATACAAGCATCCTCGGTATAGTGTATATAGGGTCCTCTCGGCGTGAGCCGGCGGCCGCCGAGCGATGCCAGCAGCGAGTACCCGTCGACGCTGCCGGTGGGGAGCGCGCGGCGCGCCGAGCCCGCCGCCTGCGCGTCCGCGTTGTAGAAGCAGGCCTCCGGACGCCACGCCTCCACGCGGCTCGACAGGAACTTGGGCAGCACAGCGTGGCGCTCGAACCTTTTTAGGCGTGATAACGTCTTATAAATCGATGAACACAGGCAGCACGCACGATTCCACTTCACCTGTGAGTGAAGTCAAGTGACAGTGGAGTCCAGACGCGAAGATAGCTGGTACAGCAATTCCATCTACCACAGCCATCCTCACCTTACCGGCCTGCATAAAGGGTTTTTATGCCTCTTTTAACGGATCCCGCGTTAAAGCTTATTATTATTTCAGATTTTTGAGACTGTGAAGTCCTAATGGAACTATAGTCACTCCGAAAGAAGGTCATTGCTGCGATCTAAAAGACCTATTGTTACATGGCCACCAAATTAAAGTACATAAGAAGCTCAATCCGGCCCTCGACAATTGCAGAAAATACTTCACGGCTGTCATCTCTTATCCCGCGGTTTCACATTGACACCATTTTATTTTCATTGGACAGATTGTGAATGTAAAATATGTGACCTATTGTCAATCCGGACATGTAGGCTATTTTTACACGATCAAAAGGTTTACATTTGAATGAAAGGCTGGCGCGAAACTTAGTATTCACTTATATTGGAGATTACGGAGCTAAACTTCTACTCAAAGCATCGACCGATATAGAGCCTCGGTCTTCGTGCAATTTACTAATGGAGAAGAGTACTTACAAGTGTTGTAATTACTCAATACAAAAATTCCATCCAAAGTAGCTTAGGCGGTATATAGTTTCTAATATCGTAAAGGCTATAAAGGAACACATCGGCTCTGCAAACATTTGAGTAGAACTATTAAAAGGGTGACAACTCGGACTGAATGAAATAGAACATGAACATTACTAATATATTGACTAGCTTCTGCCAACACCTTAATTTTTTCCTGTAGCTACATAAGAACCTTCAAAAAAAAAGCACTACAAAAGTTTAAAAGTAGACGAATGAAATCGGCAAAATTGTTTCAAGCTATGGCGTGACCGACGGAAATTGGACTTCACCTTTTGTATTTAAAAGAACAAGGAACATGTGAATCAAGTGTGAACAAGGAATGTGTGAAAATTTCCCAATCCTAAATCTATACATATAATAAAATGGTAGGAAAGTCAAAACTGTACATTGAATATTTTTTTAAAAGAATACTTGGGGTGTGATCTACAATCGATACCGAAGCCAAAAATATAGTTTGTAGAATTTTTGTCTGTTTGTCTGTATGTATGTTCGGGATACACTCAAAAAGTACTGCATGGATTTACTTCAAATTTGGCACGAATATTATTAAGAAGTCAGGTCAACATATAGGCTACATATTATCACGTTACGGGGAACGAGCAGTGAACCTGTATTTCTAACTCCACGCGTACGAAGTCGCGGGCAGCCGCTAGTGTTGATTAAGTATGATTTTTTTTGGTACCTATAAACATCATCGTAAGAGTTGCCTCTTACAAAGACTCCTTCGTGGCTAATGTCTCCATGGATATCGATGATGAAATCCAGTTGAACCCGCTGTAACAATAAAAAAATATAATTTATAAAACCCAATTAAAATTGTTCAAGACTACTACAACTTATGCATGAAGCATGAGCCACGCCCTACTTACAAACATTTCAAAAGGAGGAGTTCTAAACTATAAGGAAATATATTTCACAAAAGTATAAATATTTTTAACGTGGATAGTATGTTGGTACACCAAGTATCCCACAGAAGTATAGCTCCTAGCCCATGGATGGGCAATGTTTTTCCTTATTGTGCCAATATTTACTGTCAGAATCTATGGCGGGGCACTTAGGTTTGCACTCCCACCCCCTTTCGAATTTCTTAGTTACGAATGCCCTTCACCAGCGCAGCTCTCCGTGTTTTCTGCGTAAATACGTAGGTACCAGGTTCGGCAGCGGGGTGGTCCTTGTAGGATCGTGAAAAATGGTACTTTTTGATGAGAACCTTTGATATTTGTTTGACCATTCGAGTGCTGGAGATGGCCAGCGGAATGTAGTTTGGCCTTTCTACCCTTACCTATACCTAATTATAAAGAGGCAAGATTTGTATTTTTGTATGTTTACATGTGACGAATAAACTGAAAAACTACTGGTACTCAAAAAATCTTTCACCATTAGAATGCTATATTATTTCTGTGTGACATATAATTATCACTATAATTCGCTTAAAAATAATCACTTTAACTCGTGCAGAGCCGGGGTGGATCGCTAGAAACGTTTGTAGGACAAAAACCTTCTCATTGCTACGTTTGTCGTGTTGCTCCTTGATGGCTACGAGCGCCGGGTGCGTGAAGGTGGTGGCGCGGCTCCAGCAGCGGCTGAGGTCTGAGCCCAGCAGGTCGGAGCACTGGTTGCAAAGAAACACGCGTGGGATTCAGTGCCGGTGCAGTAATGTATTTGATAAAGACCTTCTCGTTATTAAGTTTGTTAAGCTGTTCCTTGATGGCTATGAGCGCCGGGTGTGCGAAGGTGGTGGTGCGGTTCCAGCAGCGGTTGAGGTCGGATCCCAGCAGGTCAGAGCGCTGGTTGCCCAGGAACACACCATCGGGATTCAGCATGGGAATCACCTGCATCGAAAAAAACAATGCTATGTAACCACAACATAATAACAAAACTACCTAAGGGCCTGCGCTGCGTTAAGCGGGAGCACGGAGCGGATGTCCGTCGCGGCGATCTGGAGGCCTACTCTAATTCAACGAAAAACGAAATTTCGATAGAAACTTCGCACTTTTTCTACTATGTATCTAGTTCGTTTTTAATTATAATAATATTAGTCGTCGGAATATATATTGAGGTGTATATTTACTAATCCTACTCAAAGAAAGCTTCTATTTGATAGTTTTCGTTCAAATTAAGTGTAACCTCAAATTGACGAAATTTAAATTTCGTTTGAACTTCGTTATTGAAAATTCATTTCGGAGAAAGAGAGTAGACCTCCTGTTCCGTGCTTGGTCGCGGGACCTGTGATGGACACTCGTCTCTCGTAGCGCTACGGACGTACGCTCCGTGCTCCAGCTTGCCGTAGCGTAGGCATGTACTTACTGCCACTTCAGTTAACCATAAAGTTTATAAAGTACCATGGCATTTATTTAAGTTCCTAACTTATTATGCTAATGGTATCGATTCTGGCATGATTCTCTAAACTTAATTTTTTTAAGCTGTTTAGCTTGTGTCTGATCCGTCTCATGATGGATACATGACAACATGAGACAGATCAGACATATGATATTATTTAAGAGGCATACACTGTATAGTAATCGCAGTCTCTTTTGACGCGTGCAAAGAAAATATGTTGTTAATCCGGAGCTCACAAGCTGTATGCCCATAAACTTTTTTTTCTTCATGTAGGGGTACTCTAAGGAACTGTTTGACAGGCCACCTTTTACCATCGCGTTGTAAAAAGTTGTAAACAGGCGTTGTCGCGGCCTGATCATCATCGTTATAAACCTTAACCTCATACTTAGGAATCTAGATGATGACATACATCAGTGTGTGCTGTAAATAATAAAACAGGGAGAAAAAAACAACCCTTGGTGAGTTCCTTTCCGGTTCTTCTCAGAACAAGATCTCCCGCCGTAGATTTACGAACCAATGGCGTAGCTTCTAGACATTCATGAATGCTAGTAACAGCCTAAACCGAATAAATGATTTTGATTATGATTAGTGCTGACAGGGATGCACTCTTCCCCAGGGCATTCCCTAACTGAAAGGAGAAGGAGATCCTCTGCCGGAAAAACGTGGATAGTTCCTTACATTGAAAAAGGGCCGGTCGTTTTATTTTTTCTTTTAATAGCATCCCTCATAATATTTACCTGGATTACTATGCCGTTCCGTAATGCGACCGCTTTTTCAGATGTGCTCACTAAATAGTCCAATAACCCTAAAAGAAAAGTTAAAAAAAATGTTAGTTTTGACATAGTATTCGTTTTTTTTTATAAAGTTCCATCAATGTCTGTTAATGGTTCCATATCCAAGGGGTGAAAACGGATCCCTATTAATACGATTCCGTTGTCTGTCTGTCACAGGAATTTGTCCCTTGAAAGGAAATGACATCTTAAATATCAGAATGCGATCGTTATGACAGGAACAGAAAACAAAAAAAATATATGAATTCGTAAAGTCATTCTCAAATAATGGGTTGATCAAATGAAATAAAGGGATTATTTTTTATATCAACACACTAGTTATAAATTTCTGAAAACGTTTAGATTTTATAACCTTGACAAATGAACGAGGACGCAGGTTCGCCGCCATGTGCCCTTGCAATAATGAACACGACCCTCTTCTTAGGTTGGACTGCTTTGCCCTTCACCATATTGGGATGGTCTTCTTTCAATTCGCTGTCTTTTAAATCAAAGTTTCCTATTGTTACCAGATCTACTCGACGCTTTTGCTGGAAAAATAAGAAAACAAAACAATATAGTTCTAAGTAAAAAAAATCCTGGGATCTCCACTTGTGGGCTTGAGTATAAAGTTATCAAGTAATAGTAGTGCTACTGGTAGTGATACAGGAAATCACTCAACCAGACTCCTCCAACTCTTCAGATGAACATAATCTTTTATCTTTGTTGCGCTGCGCCTCGTATAAAAAGCCCTAATAAGCGAACCACCAAGCACTGTGGGAGCACCATAAGTTCGGTCTAAGAAATCAGAGATTTCTCACAGTTGATTGCGCGATCGACTCCCTGGCACCGAAGCCCAGCGCCTTCTTCTCCCATGCAGCCAGGTGCTTCTGGCAGCGCGAGTACGAGTAGGGCGTGGCTGCCGTGAAGTGGTACACGTCTTCTTCGCGGTCAAAGGCAAACGCGATGCTGAGGATCTTGCGGCCGCGGTGCGCCAGCGACTTGTGGTAGAAGATCAGACGCCGCGGTATCCTCTGCCTGCAAAGCGGAATAGTTTAGCAACCAACTATATATATATAATTCACACTTTGAACTTTTGTTATATACTTATTAGCGTAGTATATTACTAACTTGGCGACTGGACTACACTTAACATCAGGATTTTAAGTGTTGCCCTGTCGTGAAGGTATCTGATGCGATAGAGACATGTGCCGCACCAATCACTGACATCTAGTCAGTCTTATTCACCTACCACGCGGAGCCCTAGAATCTTACTCACCAATATAAACAGCCCCCAAGTGGGATAACATTACATTATTACATTATCATAACTTCCCCAGTGGGACGTTCCAATTCGAGCGGAAAATCCGCTGCCGAAGAAGTGTGAAATATATGCGGTAGTGACATGGTCTCGTTTCGCTGAGTGTGGTCTGCGCTTAACGACTTTAGGTTACTGTATGTATGTTGTCTGTCATAGTATTTCACCTGATTTTTATTTTCAGCAAACCTAAGTACAGACGAATATTCGTGAATACATTCTCATCATCTCATAAACCAAGCTCTGTTTTTTCCGTCTTTGCAAACTTGGACTCGAGTTTAAAGTATGTATATTAAATATTTTTCAGTGATACAAGCGTTGGATACAAGTTAAAATACCACAAATTAATCCCAGGATGGACATTAGACACATACATTATCGTAGGTATTCGACGTACATTTATGTTGCGGCGGTCGCACTAGTATCACGCTGCAGGTACCTAAGTAACCTAGTCAATCAGAGTTCGCGTGACACTTGAGGAGTGTGGCGGCCCCACGCAGGCCGCACCTCACATTATAAATTACTAGTGACTGGCACACTCGTTAAAATACTGTGCATGCATGCCTTAGCACGTTGTACTACTTCCTTTAATCTATTTGAGTCTAGATACAAAGGCAGTCCCTAAATATCTATAGGTAAGCAGTTTAAATACTGTGTTAGTTACCTATCGATATACCGATCGCTTCAACTTTATAGTGGTTTTTCATTTCTGTCGGTACAGGGCTCTACAGGGTTAGTGATGATTGGCACACTTCTCCTAATAAGCAAACTAAAAAAAATATTGACGTGGGAGTGGCCGTAGTCAAAGAGATTGTAGTAGAATAACATTGTTATCCTACATAACCTACCGCACTATCATACTTTTGTTTTGTATAGCTGTCATTTATTACTATAGTGTGCTTAGTCACATGTTTCAACCTCAAGCACTCCTACGCACTAGTGATGTAACGAATGTAATTTTTTGAACATTCGCGAATGCGAATGCGGATGCGAATATCTGGTAGCGCCAATTGTCTATGGCATGGTGGCAGTCTCGTTCGAATTGCCGACTTGATATGAACTCATCCGTCTGAAGTGTCATTCCGCTCGCGCCGGTCTATTCGTAAACAAAACAAGTGAATTTTGAGGTAAAGAGTTTGAATAGTGATTTATTAACATGAGTAAATCGAATTCTAGTGAAATAAGAACTTATTTCACACTGCGATGCTGCACGAGCTAAATGCAAGCTGTGTAACAATGAATATTCAAGGAAAGGAAGAACAACTTAAGCAAATTGTTTTTTGATGTATAACATGTTTCCGCTCGCTTTCCTGCAATTTGTGGGAGTGATTTCGTGAAATGGGACGGAAGTGTGTAACAGGAAGTCGCGAAAGCGCGCTATTTGATTTGATTTTAGAACATAATGTTCAAATGGCTTATTCCTTTTGTAGTAGGTTTAATTTTTTTTTTACTAATATAAGGTGAGGTTTCAAATGTCTACTGTAAGGCTCGCTCGTTTTTTTCTAATATTCATATTCGCAAAACATTCGCAAAGATTTTGCGAATGCGAATGTGAATGCGAATATTCGTAATGCGAATGCAGATGCGAATATTCGTTACTTCACTACTACGCACTAGCGGTTAACCGCAGGAGCAGCAAACCGGCTAAACCGCCGCGGTTTTTTACTACATATTATTGTGAGTCAAGGGTATTAATGTAAAATTTTAAAACCGTGATTTGTTACAGAACGGCTCTCGGGTAAAAACCGCCCCAAAATTTGTAGTCCATAGAACATATGTGTATATTGGCATACATTGACGCGGAAACCGCGTGCAGTTTCTATCATTATTTGTTGAACCGCGGCCGCCGTGAAGAGCCGTTATGTTGTATATAGCTATCACTTCGTAACTATGGTGACGACTGAGTCGGAGTTGCTTTCAAACGAGATTAGATTATGAAAATTTGTCCTCAAGTCTACACCGAAGTACAGAAAAGACCGTTGAGCGTTATACGACACTACTATGCGAGAGTATGGTGACAAAATTGCGAAAAGCAAACTTTGGATACTGTCGGAGGCTGAGATTATAAAAGAAACCTTTCTTAGATCTTCTACTAGTACCTAAGTGGATGGACCCAATATTTGCAAAATTTGTGGAGATGTTTTCTTTTTGTTTCGTAGTATTAAAGCAACAATACATACAGCTCCTTTGAAATCCATCCCCAAACTATGATAATCGTGTCTAGTTTCGCGGTTTTTAATCGTAGTGTGTGCGCTACGGGCGGTTTCCAACTTGCGAGAAAAAACCGAAGTGCGGTCTAGGCCAAAATTTCAACCGCGGCGGTTGAATGGAGAGCTGCGGCCCGCTTCGCGGCTGACCGCAGTCTTATACGCACTTGCGATTCATGGGCAGTTTAGTTGTGCGCCGCGCCGATGTGTTAATGCGCTATAATGTTATTACTAATTTGTCTTCGGGTTGGATACAATAACGAAATTTAGAATCTTGTCCTTTGATGATGTCATATAAAACTGTTAGTTATTCTTCAAATGACGAAACACTCATTCTAACAGACAAAAAATGTAGGTATATTGGTGATTCTTCAGTCAGTCTAAAAAATCTTTGAAGGATGAAAGGATGAATCCAGTATCTTTTTTTTTATTTCTTTGTTTCCGGGAGTAAAAAATAAATAACACAGGCTATCTCGACGGCGTCCATTTTGTTTATGGGAAACGCGACTTCAAGCAGTACAAACGTTTAACGCGGTTTCATCGCGGCTAACCGCTATGGCGGTCAATCTCAAAAAACCGAGACGAAACTGCGTTAAGCGGTTGGACCGCGCCAACGTACCGCCTAAGCGGCAAATCGCTAGTGCGTAACGCGCCTAAGTGTCCAGAACTCTACCACATAATGAGGAATTGAGGTCAGACTGGTAGCAAGGTTGTGGCTGATTTTTCCTCTGCTACATCAGTTACTTCTTCACAGTTAGCACCTATCAATCGTGTGGAATGATGATTTGCATATGTAGTATGAAAAAAAACATAGTTCTTTTCTTGAGTTAGCCAACTAATTTATATCCCTTTTTATTATATTACCTTGACCAGAGCTTTCTGCTTTGAATATTTAATGAAGTGAATTACAAATCCATTAAAGGGACCGCAGCATGTTCGGAATCAGCTGGAGGCGATAGGTACTTTTGCTTCCGAACAACATCATAGAAATACAGATGTTTTAAACGATAATATAAAAAACTTACCATTTTTGACGTGATGTAGAACGAACTAGAGGCGTCATGTCGCTGTTGTATAGCGTTATTTCTTTTCCTAAATTGACTATATTGAAAATAACTCTCTGAAAACAAAGATATACTTTAAATTTAAAAATCTGTTATAAAAAAAATATTCAAAGCATTTTCGTAAGAACAATTTTGTGGTTATCTAGTATTGATATAATTGAGGACTTCATTAAAAAATCATCGGTAATATTTAGTTTTTCTAAAATAACAGACAGATGGACACTTCTTTACGTACTTTACTTATGAGTATTTAAAGAACTCAAGGTAACAATCTTCTGATAGGCAAGTGTAAATAAAAACAATTGAAAAGCATTCAATTCTCCGCTCCGCGGAGAAATGGAGAAATAGGTATTAACCAACAGGATTGCACTCCTCTTCAGCGGACAGATTTTATGCAATCCTATTGGTTAATATTTCTCAATTTCTCCGCTTTGCAGCCTCGCTCCGATCCAGTAGACAAGCAGCCTAAACGGCAACTACGAAAGCCCCTATGTGAAAACTAGCTATGTGAAGTCTAGCGCCGCACCACTCGCCACACCACATTCGTATGCTGCGTTGTAACGTAACAACTGGCCCTTTTGGCCCGAATTTTGAGCTTTGTCTTTCTTTCTAAGAGAAAAAGGACAGAACTCACCTGGTTCTGCTTCACGTTCTCCACGATGAAGTTGTACCAGAACCTAGTTCTGGGACGGCGGGTTTCCGACCGCACATACAGGTCGTACTCCAGGTGGACATGTGTATTTGGCGCTTCAAAGATTAACGTATTCGTAGGTGACGTCGAAGCAAAACTGCCTCTTTTGACCCGAAGTTCAGATGATCAGCCTTCTAAGATTGAATACCTATGCATCTTTTGTTTTTCTTTGTTAATAGACAAAGAACACAACTCACCTGATCCTGTTCCACGTTTTCCACGGTGAAAAGTTGTACCAGAACCTGGCCCTGGGGCGGCAGGTATCCGGCCTCACATACACGTCGTAGGCCTCAGGACATATGTATTTGGCGCGGCATAGATTACCGCGTTCGTGGAGAACGTCTTTGCACAACTGGCCCTTTTGGCTCTAAGGTCAAATGATCAGCCTACCAAGATTTAATGTAGGCATCTTTCTTTTTTTCACGTGTATTTGGCGCGTCAAATATTAACACATTCGTAGGTCACGTCGAAGCAAAACTGCTCCTTTCGACCCGAAGTTCAGATGATCAGCCTACTAAGATTGAAGTACCTATGCATCTTGGTTTTTCTTTGTCAATAGAAAAAGAATAATATTCACCTGATCCGGTTTCACGTTCTCCACGGTGAAGTTGTACCAGAACCTGGCAATGAGGTGGCAACATGTTCAGCAGTCACATACAGGCCGTACCTCAGGTCAGACACGTGTATTTGGCACGGTATAGATTACCACCTATGTAGGTCACGTCGCAGCACAACTGGCCCTTGTAGCCCGAAGCTTGAGTGATCGAATGAGCGAACGAGAGTTAGTACCCTTAATTTAGACTTCTCTGTCTTTCTTTCTGAACAGAAAAAGGAAAGGACTCACCTGATCCTGCTTCACGTTCTCCACAGTGAAGTTGTACCAGAACCTGGCCCTGGGGCGGCAGGTGTCCGGCCGCACATACAGGTCGTACTCCAGGTCGGTCACGTGGTCCGCGCGGCCCAGGTTGCCGCACTCATAAGCCGCATCGAAGCACAATTGGCCCCTCTTGGCTTTGCCGCTTTGCCCCGGAGGCCGGACGATCAGTCTGCTCAGATTACCGAGACCTCCTTCGCCGTCACTCTCTTCGCTGTCTATTTGATTAGATAAACTATGACTTAGATTCCAAATACTTTAATATTTTTTGATGTCAACAATACTTATATTTTTCATAACACTGTGGCCGTGATAAATAAAAAACTGGACAGGTGCGAGTCGTCAACGAGGGTTCCGTAAAAATTTTAAGGTAGGCAACATAAACGACCGTATCTTTTTTCATGTCAACAAAGTTAGATTCTTTCACAGCTTCAAAGGACCGTAGGCCTGAGTATAAGAATAATTGTTACATTTTAACTCGATACCTCCACGCGTTCCCGAGATAAAAGGTCTTGACAGACAGACAGACGGACAACAAAGTGATTCGAAAAGGGTTCTGTTTCTTTTTCTTTTGGGGCACGGAACCCTAAAAAAGATAAAATATCACAGGCCCAATGTGGTAAAAGTAATTTAAGATACCATCAGGGCCGCGGTTATAAATGGAGGCGTGCTCGAGCTGATCTGTATACGCTGCCATGTCAGCATCCAAGAAGAATATTGATGCAAAACAACTTCACATAAAACATTCATATATTACAGCAAAAAGAGCTTATTGCACTTTCAACAGGTATCAAATTTTAATAAAATTCGAAATATTCCTCAAACTAATCAAAGGATCTTCGAAAAACAAACTGCAATTTGCAAAATATTACAAAAAGTTTGATTTTATTAGTTGCTACTTAAATTTTAGGCGAATTCATATAAACAATTATATGTTCAGGATCGGAAAAAAGTTTTTAAAACGCGGCAGAGCAGAAATCCGGCACTGCCCCTACGGTCGTAGATAAGCACTGGCTGTGTGTAACTGATGATTGCCGGCAATTCCTTACGATAAGCAAGCCTGTAAGGAAAACCGTTTAAGGTGAACACGCCAACTACCTATCGTCTTATTTGGCATCCAATTGAAATGTTAACAACTTCTCAGAGCTATTGGTGTTCATCATGCTAGGTTTAGAGCCCGATTTCTGAAAATAGGTACCTACCTAGATTGAAAAACAAATACTGGTAACGGATGTTTCGTACCTAGTTGTTATTCTAGCGTTTATTTTGAATTCTCTTTAAAACTGTAATTTAAAATATAAGATTAGACATGTGCTTAGTAAATTGAATAGGCTTAAAAACTATCATGAAGTCATTCTGATTTATTCTGTGGAAATACATTAATTAAAGTAATGTGATCAATGAAATAAATTAAAGGATATTCGTTGCTTTAAATATTAGTTACTTAACAATCAAAGCTTCACGGAGAAAAGTGCATAAACATATTAAGTGCTTATGTTGACACATAACACGTTTACTCCAATAAATAGGTACCATATTAGAGAAAACAAAAGCCCTTTTCAATGCAGAAGAAAATACTGACATTTTTTATAACCTACTAACTCCCGCCCGCGACTTTGTCCCTACTCCCCGTCAAATTTATTATCGCTCAACTTCGGTTTCCTTATTAGTACAGTCAATCTGTAGGTTGAGTGGTGAAAAAAAAACCTAAAGGGTAAGTCTTGTTTTTTCTGTTGCCAAATGACGTCTGTAAGCCACCTTGGCGATGGGCATGTTCAACTCGTAGGCGTTTTTTGAAAAACTCAAAAAAACCTTCAAATTTTTTTTGAAACGCATTTTTCTTGTTTTGTATGCATTTTAGAAACTTTTTTTTTGACCATAATTGTAGAGGGCGTTGAGTACTACAATTTATGTCATTGTTGCAATCTCGTACAACAAAAAATGCGCATTGTAGGTGGCGCTTAAGTCCCAAAAAAGGGGTTTTTTCACTTTTTCACCCTGAAAATATCATTTTAATGGAAAACTTTAAATGGCAAAGTTGTTTCGTACATAATTACCAACAGCTTGTGTATAAACAATTTTTTTGTATTACTTACCGTTTTCAAGTTATAAATTGCGCAGGTATGAAAAATCCAATAGAGCGGTTTTGGGAAGTTCAAGTACACGTTTGCAGTGCACATTTCAATGTACATTTTTACTATTTTTTTTTCAATCATGAAAAAAAATAAAAATAAAACTATTTTTTTTTTTAATTTTTTTTGTTTTTCAATCATGAAAAAAAATAAAAAATAGTAAAACGTACATTGAAATGTGCACTGCAAATGTGTAAGTGAACTGCCCAAAACCGCTCAATTGGATTTTTCATAATAAATACAAAAAAATTGTTTATACAAAAGTTGTTGGTAATTATTTACGAAACAACTTTGCTATTTAAAGTTTTCCATTAAAATGATATTTTCAGGGTGAAAAAGTGAAAAAACACTTTTTTGAGACTTTAGCGCCACCTACATTGCGCATTTTTTGTTGTACGAGATTGCAACAATGACATAAATTGTAGCACTCAACGCCCTCTACAATTATGGTCGAAAAAAAAGTTTCTAAAATGCATACAAAACAAGAAAAATGCGTTTCAAAAAATTTTTGGCGGTTTTTTTGAGTTTTTCAAAAAACGCCTACGAGTTGAACATGCCCATCGCCAAGGTGGCTTACTGACGTCATTTGGCAACAGAAAAAGCAAGACTTACTCTTTAGGTTTTTTTTTCACTGAAACGATATTTTTTTCGACAGATTGACTGTACTATATCCGTTATTTAGAACCTGGCTTAAAATCTGGCCAAGCGCGAGTCTGCACTCGCTCTTTTGAGGTTCCGTATAGTAAACTAAGCCTGTTATTGAAGGTACCTAATAGCACGGACTTATAAAATAGTTCGTTTCCGAGCTAGATATCGCAACAAAACGCTCATTTGTTACTTTTCGTCACAACTTACAAAGTAGATTATGAATCGGGGTTTTCAGTATTTGTTGTTTAAATACAGCATAATTATGAGACCTGAATCACCAAAATTTTACATTTGTTAACTAGTTTCGAATTAAAGTTAAGTTAAAGTTATAGACCCCATAATAAAGATGGTCTAAAAATGACAACTTTGAAGGCCCCCTCTGTTTCTTTGTTATTGAAAATAAAAGATAACAAAAACTGCATGTAAAATAAAAAAAATCTTAATTTTACTAATTAATGTATTTTCAATACTTTAAAGTATACAACGACAAATTTAAGCTGACATAAATTTCGATTGTATCAAGTCCACAAAGTCGGCAAACACTGAAAAAGAAGGTTCTTTCAATGTCATCAAAATTTTTGTTGTAAAGTAATGTTCTTTCAGAGTAAAAAACGTAATATAAAAAGTGGAGATAAAAAGAACTCACGAACATGAGTCATTCCATTCGGAATGACTCATGTTTAACGAAAATAGTTTGTGATTTCGAACTTTATGTGCGTGTTCCAAAATGAAATAGAGAAGAGTCACTGGATAAATTCGTTCGTTACCGAAATTTCGTTTTCTTTATTTTTTTTTATGATACATCATACAAAAATACATACAACCCTAAATTTTCACTCTTCTACCACCAACCCCTATTTTTTATGGCGGTACGAAGTTCGCTGGGTCAGCTAGTTTATTTATATATTTATTAGGACCACCAGAGAACATTATCTTATTTTTTAACATTACAGTGATACATATACATACAAAATGCAAAATTCTATTGAAGGTAACCATATCATGCTTTAGAGACAGAACAGATAATACAAACATATAAACACACAAACTTTCACATTTTATATTAATAGTGGAATTATAGTAGGATGAAGAAAGAACAACTTGACTCGCGCGATATTAGTGCGATATTCCTAATGGAAAAGTACGATTAAATTGAGAGAATTACGAGTTGAATTGATTTATTTATTTGTTGAATCAATTAGAATTCAGTGTTACCTAAATTCAAATTACGAATATGAAACTTTGGAGCATTAGCCAATAAAAAATAAAATAACCACGAATAGGTACATGTGAATTTACAATTATTTGGTGGAAATGTGATGAGAACTGCATTGTTATTTAGGTTCTACATTCTAGATGGAATGGTTTTTATGGATAGTAAGTTTAATTAACTTTTAATGGCAATCTAGTTACTCACCAGACATTTCCGGCTATCGTCTCCTAATCACCCACACACTCAATTTTGATTAAATATCAATAATAACATATTTTAGGCATTAATTTCGATATTCTTTGTCCGCGCTGCAGTGGTGGTTGCCACGATACGCTGTGGTGCGGCATTTCTTTGATATTAAACTTGCAATAAAAATAAAATACAAACATTATGATTATTGTAGAGCGCGTGGCCGGGTGGTAACGGTAGCTAAGCAACCAGATAATACGGTACTGGCTGTATTCACATTACTCTACATAATTATACCTATAATGCGATTCAATTAAGAATAGGACCGACTGGGCGCCATATTGTGATGTCATAGTTGTCAATTCAAACCAAATAGGTAGAGTGAGCAATAAAAGTTTTTATTTAATAAAACTTATTTAAGTACTAAGATATAGTGAGAAAAAGCATCAGATTTTTTAATAACATTTATTTACAAAGATTAAGAAAAAAAAACCCACCGATTTTTAATAATATTTATTTATTAAGACTGTGAGAAAAAACATTAATCAGAATCTAGCTCTTCTACTCCGCTCATCTCTGCATTACCGCCGGAGTAGTTATGAATAATCATGCACTATTACTAGGTAACATACGAACATGCATCCTTTATGTAACCGAAAGTTTGAAATCGAGTTTCTGAACGCAACTTAAAGTGACATTTGGTTGATGATTTAGGTTATCAACCATTCATGCCTTTGGGCTGCCTTGAGCTTTGGCTCAAGCTCAAAAAAAGGGTTCCATGATTTTATTTGCAAACCTTACTTTTCAAGCGACATTTGACAAATAGAGGTTATTGGCTTTCCTATTCTTATTTGAATCGCATTAAATACACCCTTGTTAATAAACAAGGGATAAGCTTAGACTAGTTACGCCGTGTTTTGTTCATGTCACTCAAATGCTATTTGTTATTCAATTGAAAGAGACAAAACATGGAGTAACTAATCCAGGCGTAGTCTTCGTTTATTAATAAGGGGGTATATGTATATATGTTTAAAAACAACCAAGTTATTACGGTAACAATACATAGTAGATATTGACTGGCAAAACGACACTTTAGAGATGGAAGTCGTAAATTTTAAGAAAAGTTAGGTATCAGGGTATCCTCGACATAATTTCTTATTTCATTTACCTTATTTCATCTTAATTAGTCTTTCGAAAAAGTTAAAACCATGAAAGAAGTCTTTTTTTGGATCATTCGTGATTTACTAATAAAAAATGTCAAGTTACAAATGCTACGGCGTAACGTTACGACGCTGTGACGTAGCATCTACGTGTAGCTTCGTTACAAAACCTGTAAAATAAACCATTGGATGTTAAATTTTATTGGCTTTTGTTTATTTCTAACATTTCATGAATTTGTATGAAATCAAATCGATTTCTCCGAGCTACGGAAGGCACATTAATCCATTGTCTCGGCTGCATCTGAATTTGTGAGCATTAAAACAGTTCGTGCATTGGGAGATCGATGTGATGCGGTTCATGAAGTTATTAAGGGTGGGCCCCTTAATAACTCAACGGGAAGCTCAAGCGGGGATTTTGGGATTATAATAATAATAATAATTAATTTATTTTAACCACAAGGATTATAAGCACGGCAATGACAAAATAATAATAAATAGTAAAAATTATGATACATATATGATATTATACTCGAGCGCGGCAGAATAACATAAGTGGGGCAACCTTGTAAATTGTGAAGTACTCCTACCATACCCCTCCCACTCCCACCGAAGTCCTTTATGTATGGTCAAACGTATGTTTTCCCCTTCGTACGGCGACACCCGTATTACGCAAACCGTTTTTGGATGCGACCATGTCATGGCCGTTTGTTGAAAAAAAAAGGGTATCGTGGGAGTACTTCATAAGGTGCAAGTTCCCCCTCCCCCCTCCCCTTGTGTTAATTATTCTGAGCGGTCGGGTAAATTCCAAAATTCCCGCTTGGCCTCCCCTACTATAATATTATACGTATGAGTTCAGCAAGTTTTCTGGCCCCCACATGTCCGCAGACTACTAATCCATTGGCGCTAATCCCAGAAATCTTAGATTTAGACTTTTTTACAGGCCCGTACCAATAAAGTGAGTGAGTGTACTAGGCTGTAGCACATATTAAGCTTCGTCCACATTTGTAGCATCTGGGTGTATCGTATCTGCATCGCGTGGCATCGTTGTGTATCACGATGCTAGCTAGTATGGACACAAAATGTTACCCGGTAAAGATACAGTATCTTATCATGTTCGGTAGTAAAGACGTGTTTGATACTGTATCGCGATACGATACGACGACGTGATACACTGCGAACCATAACTGAACTGTACGAGAGGGAAAGGTGCACTGAAAAACAGACGAATCAAGACAAGATACGAGGATTGGAGGAAAAATTGTAGCAACCATATCATAATTAGTTAAAACCGTAACATTGACACAATACATCATTGGATATACATGTATGAACGCGTTTTTTACAAGATACGGCTAATTAACACGACATAGGTGTCGATTATGGTGTGATTCTCTAAACTTAAAAATAAATTTAACATCAATCTCTCCTTTTCATTCTGTAAAAAGAAGGACAAGGATACACTGTTGTCAAATTTAAGTTTAGATTTAGAGATTTGTGCCAGAATTGACACCATAGTCAAAATGGGCGTCCATATATATGATACAAATACTCGATACGATACGCCCGATCGTGATACGTCAAAATGCTACAAATGTGGTAGAAGCATTAGCCGTAATAGATAGGTCGGTAGTTTTATTTCCAAAGGTACAAAATTAAGTAAACATTTAACTTTTTTGTATTACCTCAAACTTAACCCCAGGATCCCTCCTAATGGATGGAATTTGTAAATGGATTAATGTGTAGGGACTTGTGTAAAAATACTTTGGCTTAAAGGAAAGACTAGGATTATGAACGTTATCATTTATTCAATAAATAATATTGTATTACAATTAATAATATTCATGGCATCACAATGCCGCACACGTCGCGAACATTGAATAAAGCTCAACTCCGAGGTGACAGTCGACTCGAACACTTTATTTAATAAAGAGAAACGAAGAAAAGTCGCATATTTTCTATGATACGGCTGGTGTTGCCACACCGACTAAAGGCCTGCGCTGCGTTAAGCGGCCCTTAGTCAACTTAGCCATGCTATAAGCACGAGCACTGAACGACACTGGTGTCGATTCTGGCGTGAGTCTCTAAACTTAAAACTAAATTTAACAATAGTCTCTCCTTTTCACTCTGTATAGAAAATGACAAGGATACATTGTTGTAGATTCTGACACGATTCTCTAAACTTAAACCTAAATTTAACATCAGTCTCACCTTTTCATTCTGTATAGAGAATGTCAAGGATACACTGTTGTCAAATTTAAGTTTAGCTTTAGAGAATCATGCTAGAATCGACACCACTGTTGTCAAGTTTAGATTTAGGGAATCATGCCGGAATCGACAGCATTGTTTCTCACACAGATCACAGATAGATTGAAGTAGAAGCCATATGTAGGTACTTCAAATTGTATGGAAACCAAACGTGTCAGATTTTGAGTACTCACAAGAACAATTATGTGAACCTATTTCAATTATATCGCACCTTTAGTCAAAAAAAGAAATAAGTCAAAATTTAAATTTTGTGGGAAATCGCAATCAAAGTTTGACTGCTTTGCATAAGCAACTTTAATCTGTCATAAAAAAAGAATGAAATTATTTAGGTGAATTCTAAAAGAAGATTCTATTAGTATAATTATTTAACTTTTATACCAACTATAAAAATTATCAAATTTTTAAAAAGAAAAACAATAAAATAAACATTTAAAAAAAAGTTCGAAGTTATTTCACTTTATGCCGAAAAATAAAATCGCGAAGTATGGACATACGCGAGGTTATATCAAAAGTTGCTATTTTTTATTTAATATACTTGAAAAATGTATGTTATATTTTGATTTTGTACAGTATTCTACTAATGAAATTAATAATAAATGACTATAAATTGTTTATTATTTCTATTTATTCATTGAAATTTGCAAAAAATATGGTTGATGGTATTAAAACTGATGTTGTAATTCTTTATTTTATCCGTAATTATCATGCAATAAAAATAATATAGAATCCTTATTAAGCACAATTGAAAAGGATCATGGTTTAATAAAAATAATTTGATTGTCAATTTAATAATAATAACCATAAACTAAACTTGTAGTCGTAAAACAAAACAAAATAACTCTCAACAAATAAACAACAACATTTAGCATAATGAAAATTATAAAACGTAAAGAATTTATATAAAACTATATTCTCATCATTATAATCAGTTTTCATTTATATAATTGAGGTCTTTTTATTGATAACAACTTAAAACACTTACAAAATATAATTTTAGAACGCTGCATGATAAAAAAGATGTAATATATTTATTTTTATTTTGGCCACAGCAATTGTCCGAGAAAAATATCACTTTCTTCTCTTCGTCGTCTTCATCACTTAAGCTTTTAATATATACCCACACACAAGAGCATCATACTTGCACTTATATGTGCTCTTTGCTTAGCCAAGACACAAAAATCCCAAAATTTTCGGAAAAATTGTGCATTCTACCGCCACGGTCTTTCAGATAACGGGATGGCACATTCTTCTGACTTTTTGCTAGATATACATACAGGTGTCAATACTGGCATAATTCTCTAAACTTAAAACTAAATTTAACATCAGTCTCTTCTTTTCATTCTGTGTAGAGAATGACAAGGATAAACTGTTGTCAAATTTAAGTTAAGGTTTACAAAATCACACCATTATCTGTCTTGTATGCGTTTACGTTTTATCTTATTCTGCTTCCATTGGCAGGGTTTTTAGGATACCCACGCTCTTTTTTTTTGAATTTGCTCTGTTAGAATTTGATGAACTGGTCGACGAAGATAATGACTGATTAATAAGGTAGTTCCTATTTTTGCTTGATTCACTACTTATAAATGTAGGATCTGAGTCGCTAAGATCAATATCACTTACACCATCAATATTTACAGGAGATGTATAATAATTAAGATTGTCCCTGATACAACGACTAAATACCTAAAAAATATATAAATGTAAGAATTACAATTGAAAGTTCTTGGAAGTTTTATAGTGCATAACATTTTTAATTACGATCCTCCTATTTTCAAGATTAAAATGGCGAACGCATCTCTCACTTGCGATTTGCTGACGACATCGTCATCATCATGGCAGAAACCCTGCAGGACCTTCAACAAATGCTGGATGACCTGGCTGACTCTTCTATACGCATCGGCCTACGGATGAACTTGGATAAAACCAAGGTCATGTTCAATGAACATGTTCTACCGTAACCGATTGCAATACCAGGGCCGCTCTCGAAGTTAAAAATATGTATACCTCGGCAGACATTGCAGTTAGGTAGAAACAACTTTGAGGATAAGGTGAATAGAAGAATTCAGCTAGGTTGGGCAGCATTTGGGAAGCTACGTCAAGTCCTGACATCGTCGATCCCACAGTGCCTAAAGACGAAAGTCTTTAATCAGTGCGTCCTACCTGTGATGACATAAGGAGCCGAGACGTGGACACTGACGGTACGGCTGGTCCACAAATTCAAAGTCGCTAAACGTAGTGTAGGACGTCCTCAGGCACGATGGAGTGACGATTTGCGCAAGGTGGCTGGCAGGAGCTGGATGCGAGTAGCCCAAGATCGATCTGAGTGGCGTGCAATTGGAGAGGCCTATGTCCAGCAGTGGACTAGGATAGGCTGTTGATGATGATAATGCTGCGGGGGAGTGTTTTCAATTGCAGGTGAACACGCTTCTTCGGTTTCATTTATAGTCATGACTGTCATTGTGTCCAGGGTTATTGTATTGTAAATAGTTTGCTTTATTTAAAGTATTCACTTCAAAACTTGCCAAAGTATCGGGAGAAGATGTGTTTGAACATGAAGAGAGTGGCCTCGAATATGTAGATGACGAGCTACTTGAAGACGACAGATGACGTACACGAAATTCTTTATTATAACTTTCTGCTTCTGTAGTGAAGCATTGTGTCTGATCTTTATTATCTTATATGGTAATATCACTGTCATAGTAAGATACTAGACTTATGTTGGGTTGTTTTATTTCTCAATACTAGAATCAATTTGCTGTTTTGTTCTTATTACTTACTTTGATATTTACGTACTGTATTTGACGACACGAGTTTAAAGATACATTAAGTCGCATTGTACTTACTGTTAAAACCAATTATGCTTTATTAAAGTTAAACTTGATCAGGGATAAGTGGAAATTAATAATTTTAAAATTAAATATACCCACTTAATTAATAGGTAGATACGTAAGAGTATTAAAGAAAGTCACCTCGAGATTAGAATCTTAATTGTTATTTTTATTCGAATTATAACTGAAAGAACTATCTTTTAACAAATAAAACCAATATTCTTCGTCCATTCGAAGCCATCTTAAAAGCTGAAACAGAATAATGTATAGTAGCTACTTAAAATTCTTAATAGGGTATGACAATTTTTATTTTATTCTCGTTTAATAATTACGCATATTTTTTTAACTTGTTTCATTTAAAAGGAAAATAACTCTCAAAGACACTTGCATTGTATTTAAGTAATAAATAATAAACTGAAAAAAAACTAAACGTACTAAGTTTCTAAAAATTCAATACTGTAATACTGAAACATTACTTATTTGTCTAAAGCTTTTTTAAATAATTTAATAAAAAAGTGCATTAACTCGAAGTGCTACACAAATCGCACCTGAATATTTTATAGAGAACTGTAATAAATCCCAATGAACCTCTAAAAATATGAGTGTTTTTTCAATTAAGCAGATTTAAGTCTCAAGATATACACTTTTTTTTAAATAATTAACCAGAAGAAATACTTACCTGATAGTATAACACCGCTATATTTAGAGTTATTACGTTTTTCCAAAAATCTTTAGAGACCTTACTGTCAACGAAGCCGGCGTAACACTGAATTCGATCACTTATTTAGTATCGACTTGTGCTAACCCGTTTGTAGAAAAGAGAACGATGGTCTTCTATCTCTTTCATTTTCATCGTATCGAAACGGCTGTTGAACTGAGCGCATTGACTCTAATTAGTTAGTTCACTTTATGCCGAAAACCCAAAAAATAGAAATTTTGAGTTATTTCTTTTTTTGAATAAAAGTGCGATATTGTTTTTACAACTTAATATGACAAAGATATTTTTTAAACATTAAGTTTGACGTTCGGTATCGAGAACGGTGACGCGATGAAATAAATTAGCGAGCCACTGGTCTCCCTTATATTATACGTTATCTATTTCGATCTATCTCTGTAGTAATATCTATGTCACCATAAAATTGTAAATAGGTACCGTTAGATTATAATCTATGTCGCTAGATTATAAACTGTCGATAGATTATGAAATGTAACATACTGTTTACAATTTCACGTATTGTTCTCGTAATGTCTTATAGTATAAAACAACAGTGCTGTAATCATTATTTTTTGTATGCTCAATTTCCACAAACAGGAAGTGACTATCCTATTTTTTCTCGCTCTCTCTTTTGAAGCATCACATTTATTATACCTAATGGAAATTAATTCCATTTGGTGACAAACTGTTAATTACGAAATAAGAGTTTTTAATGTGATTACGTGCAAGTGAAATAGGCGCTGAATTTTATAATTGCAAATAGATATTGTTGGTACATACACTTCAGCTTAGAATATTGTATTGTATAAAAACCAATAGCTTGAATAGGAAACATAAAAATTCACTCAACCCCTGAAATTTTATCATACAAAGTTAGAAATCAAATCATCAAAACAGGACTATTACAAAGAATTGTTAAATCACAACATTTGATAACTTTTTTATTGTCCCACTTACACTAACAACATCTTATTATATATTTTTTCGCTTGAACACTTACCTTTTTAACTAGCATAATATTTTTTCAATGCGATAAAAATTAGAAAAAATATTATTATACCAAGTCGAGAGTCACCTCACCCGTAGTAACAAAAACGAACCATGGGCTGCCCAAAAATAAATACAAAACGTTAATGCCTACTATGTACACACCTTATATACGTAACTTCTAACACCCTTTATTAATTAGGGTGCCAAAAATATAACAATTCCACTATATTAATATCTAGGACTAGAGTGAGAGGACACGACATTTTCTACATAAATAACAATCAATTACTGCGTATGAGAAAGAAAAGAACTCAAAAAATATCTTTGTAAGTTTCCATGTCCCAAAGATCAATAGGCAATAGGTGTTGCTCTGTCACACAATAATTATTTTACATATTTAATTGTCCACTATAAGTTGAATTATGTCTTTTAGTTGCAGCCATTTTCGTAAATGGAATGTGTAGCGACATGTCTACTACAAATACTACATTACTTAACGAAACCATTTTAATTTAAAAGTTAAAATTCGTTAAAATTGCATACAGTTCGGTCAAAAAATAAATACATTCTAGTAACCGCATCAATAAAGAGCTTTATGCAGCGCAGCTAAAATAAAAACAAAAGCCGAAACAGAAACAGTTTTATGTATATTTTTATATTTAACATTATTTTTTAACTGCTTGATTTATATATCAAATGAAATATTACTGCAAAAAACCTAGCCCTATACATATGCGGAGTGAAAATTTTGTAGTGAATATTTATTTAATTTCCTTTTATGGATACAAATAATAATCAATAATAATATTAAAATAAATTACATTAAAATACTTATCGAAATATAATTAAAACAATAATCAATTCTTGAATTGTATTCACTCGATTGATGACAAATTTATACAATACAAATAACTCGACACTTTTTTTAACGATAAATCATATCGTTATTTTTAATACAATACAAATAATTTTGTACATTTCCTCACTAAACTTATTTGAAGATAAAACTAATTCAGTAATTAAAAAAAAAAGCTGAATACAGACAGACATTACTGAATACATTTATTTAACAAACAAAGTTTTGGAAATAATAACATTTTTTTGTAAACAAGTAGATATGCTCATGTAATTACCTTTTCAATTATAAAGATAAAATTATCTTATAAATTGTAAATTAAATAATTTGGTATCTCCTTAACTGCAAACGATACGTTATTATTAAGAAGTTGAAAACTCTATCGGCCGCACTCAGAGACAAAAGAATATTTTTAATATGAATGAAGTTAATTAATGCAGACGTGTATATTTCTTTGCGATAGCATAAGGTAAACTAAAAACATAGTGAACGAGTACTTATCTACTGAATACGGCCGTAAGTCTTACATAGTTATCTAAACAGCAGATTTTATTAATGGATTGACTAACATGCATTGAGTGGATACAAAAATCTCCTTTACATAATCAGAAGCATCAATATGGAACAGCGACAACATCTTTCGGGATACATTCACAGTTAGTTAAGAATTTATCATTAAGGTTACGACCTAGGTAAAGGTAGGTATAAAATGAGCCTAATCTAAAATATATATAAAAATTAAATTATTGTACTATATTTTTAGTGACTTGGTGAAAGTGTCAATAATATTTAACGAATTTAAAATTATGCTTCTACATAGCACTTCAATAAAAGATTAATAAGGTACACTAAAGGTCACGGCATACGAAAGCGGCCTTCCAATGGTGCACTTCCAGTTAGATACCATTGTTTTAAAAAGGATGCTTTTGCTGACAAACTGCTGGATGCAGCGCGTTTGAACGCATGCCGCTTCTCATATAAGTGCAGGCCACAGGAATGAAACGAGGTTAGCATTTCGATTGGCTATAGGTTTATGCATGTGTGTTGCAAAAAGATTTTCATTATAAGGTTTCACATTGCGAACGACGCGGCGGGCTTTTGTAGGAGGCGTGATTATTATAATGTGGCTTTAACTGCATCTTTCTCGACACTCGTTTCGCTACCGATATGGTCCACGTAGTGGGCTGATCAGAGAGCTGCTTTAAGTGTGCAATGACCTTTTCTCTATCTAAGTATGATTTCGATTTCGACTTTATGGTACCTACATCATAAAATTAAGACATTCCAGGGCCGGTTTGCGGGTATTATTAAGTGCAGATATATTAGTGTGCAATGTTCATACAATTCCTATGAAATTCTTTCTACAAACGATGCCTTTAATAGTTTAATTAGTAAGATAAATGTTTCGCAAAAAACGTAAAAATATGTTGTAAGTATATTAAACTCGAGCAGTGATACCCATACGCTTCAAGTTATTTATCAGTTAACATATTATTAAAAAAAATCAAATTCCTTTTCAGCCGATCACTTTTTGCTTTCCGTGAAAAGCGCTTATTTTTATATTTATTTTTAAATTATTATAAGAAATCAGTACATTTCGACCCTACGTACCTGCTTCCGCCAACGGTATCGTTGTTAAAACGTCCAAAAATAATTGTAGAATCTGTGGATTCGTAAAATTTCCGTAGCGGCAATACTTTCAGGAGTTTGATCGCTTTGCTAGCGTTGGGGTGTGTGCGCTAATTTGCCATTACCGATGCCGCATCAGGCCTGCGTGTCCCCATCGGTGTAGTGCGAGGGGCCCTCAGCCGAGCAGACAGAGTCCTCTGGAGTGCGGGACACATCGCCCGCTTCGCTCGCTTCCACTACGCTCGCGCCTTTACCCTTGCCTCCACGCCGAGCCTGCAACGCCTGCGCATCGAAAACACCAATAAAACCACTAAGATACATAGCCCTAGTAGGTATATTTCACAACTCCAATAGCAACTAACACTGGTTGCTCCTCTATTATTTTAGCTCATGTTATGTATGCCATGGAAGCTGTGTTATATTGTGTTTTTATAAAAATCAGTTGATCTTACTTTATCTACAAATAGTGTACTTTTATAAAAATAAACATGTAATTTGTTCGTGATTTTGTAAAATCAACATATTTTTTTTTTGTTTATAAATACAACTACTATAAATGCGAGGACTCAAGCCAAGTGGTGTCGATTGTTAGACCGATTTTCGACAGAAATAATCAGCACAAGAAGAAGCCAAGAGGGCAACATGATCAGCGAAAGAAGTAACAGTCACCTGTGTGTGTATGTGTTCTTTAATTTTTTGAATATAACTGAGAAATTGTATTGGTAAAATTGGTAAATAACAGTATAAAGTTGCTGTGATTGGATTGTGTTTACGTTGGGTGGGGACAGAGAAAGCGAGCATCCGTTAATTGCAAAGGTCATTGCGAGAGTGGCCGGGGGCGGTGCGCGGGCGCTGCTGATGTGCGGCACACAGCCAGAAAACTACGACGTGTTGTGTTGCTTTATGACTTTCTATAAACATCGTCTCTTATCCCTTTCTTTACAGCTGTTCACAAAAACATATCCCCAATAAAAGATGAACCTAACGTAGAAGTGAGTAATTAAGCGAGCATTCCGATTCCATAATCAACAAAAGCATCCAGGTCGTCGTATTTCCGATAACTTTATAAGTTTACCGGGGATTATTTATTTGAGAACGACTGTAGTCGTCTCGAGTTGATTTCATAAATTAAATGATGTTTTTCACCAATACAAGTACAGACAATACCATGCCAGCAGTTATCTTTAGTGCTACGTCGTAAAAGCGTTTTCAATGGCTCTCAGACGTTGATACCAACATTGGACTTCATGCTATTCGTATGGGTGGATCGAGAAATTAGCATTTAGTCGGCAAAACATTGGAGTAAGCGTTGCGTTAGGGATTAACCGTCGTTTATCTGTTAAAGTTAAGGAATTCTGCTCTAACTCTCCCGATCTGTTCACACGTGGGCCTACGTTGGTGTCACCGTATGGAGCCTGACTGTTCTGGTACAATGTCAAACCAACACGTAGTTTCCTCGCTGCGAACACATCATCAAGTGCCGATATCAGGGTCGGACATCCACAGGGGTCATGCGAGTGCTCCACTTGTGACATGCGATATAATTCACACCTTTCCTTACCTTTTCGCGACTGCCCTTTTTCTAATGTCGGAGTAGGATGGAAGATGAAACATTCAATTAATGAGAATGAAGATAGTACACCAATACAGAAGGATTGAAGTCTTACCTAATAGATACACATGACTAATTCGGTAATTCAAATCTCAGTATAACTAGGTACTACATTGGAATACATTAAAACACATTCGGAATAAGGTCTTAATGATGACACAACTCCTTCACCAATATAGAGGATTTAAAGGAATATTAACTAAAAGGCTGAAATTAAGGTTTTTGGATGTTAACATTACTACTCAAACGCATCTTAATGTGAGGGAAGGTAGATAAAGGTCACACACGAACTCATAAAAAGTTATTTTGGAATTGTGTTGCAACGATTCCGCATGTAATAGAACAAAATTAGCTTTGTCACTAGTCTCAGTAGTAATTAGTCTCTCCTCACCTACTTATTCAAATTATTAATTTGTATAGTCTACTCACTACTTGCCTACTCAGATTAAGTAATGATACATGATGACTTTCAATCAATGGTTAATAAAATGACATAGATGTTTAATTTAATGTATATGGTCACAAACTTCATGAATATACTTAAAAATGAATGAATTAATTACCTAAGTTTTTTAATAAAGTTAGTTGCATATTTAATTCACGTCCAATTGTAGGTACGGCCGACGTATCTTGGCAGGTCTGACTAAAGATCGCCGTTTGATTCCTGAAAATCTGATGTACAGCTTGCTAACTTCACTAACTTCAGACCAGCAAAGATTCGTAAGTCACGTACTGTAAGTATTTTGGTAGGATTCTGACTCGATTCTGTTGTGATGATATGACTTGGCCGTCGAAACGAATGGGCATTAGGCTGAAAATTCTCTCGTCTGCGAGTCAGGTGAACCAATATTTCCTATCTGATGTGATGGGTGAATTCAGTCACCTCACAGACAAGGAATTTTGAATGCACCTGTAGTGAGAAGCGCCTGTGTGGCGGTTTGCGTCCTCCCCGCCGCTTGCTGATGTGTGGGTTGTCCCTGCGCAGCGTCTTGTTGCGTAGAATCTCCAACTGAACGTATAGCCGTTTCAGTTCCGCTCGCACCTCTTCGGAGGTCGGTTCCTCCTCACCCTCCACCCCGAACCCCTCCGCGGGTCCGCGCCTAGATACCTTCGCAATGGGAAAGTGTAAACAAGGACGATTAATTTTGATCCTTATCTAATCATGCTATCGTGCAATCAGAAGATGTTAGGTATCTGACATGAGTCGTCAATCTTTAACTTATGGGATCAATCTTTAACTGAGTGTGATCGTTAAATTATACTAAATTAGTAAACACAATAGGTATTCAATGTCAGCAACAAAACAATCATACACGCAGCGGCTTTGCAGAGCACACCAGGGTGCAGCACAATCAAAAACTAGAAAGAAGCCAGAAGGAAAGCTCTCGCAATCCTCAAAAATAATCACATTGTAAACCTACTGCTTCTCATTTTGACAACACGTGTCGCTAGTCGCGAATAAATTTCACTTGAAACTGAGAATGCTGCGCTGACGGAGAGGTGTGGGCCTTCCAGCACACCTTAATGTTGATTGGTACTGCGCGCCCGGTACCCGCGCATATGAGCGCGGCGCCTGTTGAAAGGTTGATGGGTGATAGGTTGTTACCTCCTGTGCCAGTGAGCGCGCCAGGTACCCGTGTCCCAGGCGCGACGCAAGGACGCGCGCGGCGGCGGCGACTAGGAAATCCTCGGGCGCGGTAGCCCACGCGGCGGCCTCAATGTTGATTAGTGATAGTTACCTCCTGTGCCAGTGAGCGCGCACGGTATCCGTGCCACAGACGCGGCGCGAGCACGCACGCGAGCGCAGCGCCGGCAGAGAGGTGCGCGCGCGCGGCAGCGGCAAGCGGGGACACCTCGGGCGCGGCGCCCCACGTGGCGGCCGCGCGCCACGCCGCCCCGCATGCGCCCTCCACGCACAGCGCCGCCGCTAGCCAGCCGCGCTCCTGCGGCACACTCACACACTTCAATCCTAAATACGTACATATATGTATATATATATATTACAGATAGGTCCCATAAATGACTTCTCCCTACCTGATGTTAAGTGACGGTGGAGTCCAGACACGAAGATAGCTAATATAGCAGTTTTTCTACCTGCCACATCAGCCATCCTCACCCTGCCAGCCTGCATGTTGCTTCTTCATACCTCTTTTAAAGGATCTCGAGTTGTAGGAAGGTTTGATCCGTAAATGGCATGCTTAGCCCGTTCACATGTACCCTACACGTGAACGGGCTGAGCATGCCATTTACGGATAGTGCGATAAAGTAATGAGTCACCAAATCTTGATCGCGTAGTCCTTTGAAGGAAAGGGGACCCGCCTCCCCTAAGGGAGAATAACTCCTCAATACGTTGTCGTCAATAAAACGTGTTCAATGACGCTACGTTACAGCGTAATTGAAGATTCTTGAGATCTATAGGTCTGTAGAGAGAAGCAAAAGCGTCGCTAGCCCATGTAACGCGATCTAGTACCTAAGCGCGCGGTCATAAAGGAATTGTGGTGAATGGCTCTCGGCATTCGCGAAAGCGCTGGACCGAAAAGACGTAAGACGCAGACGGGGCGCCGTCATGTCAGTTACATCAATAATAATAGGTTGATGATGGCAGCTTATTAACGTCTCGTAAATTTAGGGGCACAGGTCTTCTCTATGGACGGAGTAGGGAAACGCGGTCGTGACTCGCATTCTGTCTTTGTCTTTTTTTCTAATGCATTCTATTCTAATGCAAATAAATAAATTCTAAATTTTCGCGTAAGAGACATGTCCGCGCGGCGTCTGCGTCTTACGTGTTTTCTGTGTTTCCCGCGCCTAAGACCGCTGCATCCGTGTTCAACGAACACCCTGACCATTGATAAAGTCGGAAAAAGCAGCCGACTACTCTTAAGTATAATAGAAACGTAGTCGTCAAAAGAAATGTGTGATGTATATTAAAACAGAGTTTAAATCAAATAAATGGATAGCTATTGTTTGAAATAGCCTTTGTAGCTCATTATATAAAATTAATTAGTTAAAATTTTCATTCTACTCGAAGGACCAACAATACTGGACATATTAGTATTTTGCTTTTAATTAGTTACTGTTATAATCATGAAATTTGTATACTGCAATTGCAATAAAATTTATGCAAAAATGAAATCAAACTATTGTTGATTTCATTTTTGTATAAATTTTATTGCTTTCCTGTCGAAATATTTCCACAATCACAAAATAGGTTAGTAAGCCAGGCGGCGCGCACCAGCCCTCGCCGCACGCTGCCGTCGCCGTCAACTCGGCCAGCATCAGCACAGCGGCAGCGGTGACGTGGTGCCAGATAACATTCAAAAAATACAAGTGGTGCCAGGTAACATTGAACAAATACAAGACGCCTGTAATATAACCTGGAAGGGCACGTTGGCGTTCCGGGCAGCGTAGGCGATGCGCGCGCCGGCGGCCAGCAGCAGCAGCTCGGCGGCGGCGGTGACGTGGTGCCAGGCGGCGCGCGCACAGTCCTCGCCGCACGCCGCAGTCGCCGTGAACGCAGCCAAGTAGCACGCGGCGCCACACACCATCGCGCCCACCACGCGGAGCACCTATCGATATAGCCATGTAATTTAAGAAAAGAGGGGACAACAGATGTAAGTCAAAGGCCTAAGCACGAACTTTGCAGCTCTGTAATCGTATTGCATTGTTAAAATTTCTATGCAAACTAAGCAGCGCCCATTATCATCGGACTAGTGTTGCCCAAATGCAAGAACAAGACGAGACTTAGCCTTGGTCTTGCGCCAATACACCTGGTCTTGGTCTTGGTCTTGCAGCAAGAGTCTTGCAATTACCTATTAGACTATTGCTATTTATTAAAGTTTATTTTAGATCTTAGAAAAACGTATTAGAATTGGAACATTGTGAGCTTGAATTAACATAGCCATAGTAAAGACCAATCAGATTAATAAATGTCTGAAGATTAGATAAGAAATTCGAAAAATCTACTGCTACATGGTTATCAACTGAGCTATATGCCGTTTTCCATGGGAGTAACTGTTTCTTAATAAATATTTACGCTTTATAAGCTTACATATGCTAAAACATGTAAAAAACAAATTAATTACAATAACTTTACTGTATTTTAAAGAACAATATCTTTACTCTTATTAGATTGAGTGGGACGGCACGACACGAAATTAGAATTTTGCATGAGTATACCTAGGCCCTGTGGCGGCAATCAAATAATGTCAAATGTTCTGATTTCGGCGCAGCGGCAGCGATTGTTGTATGTGATTTCCATAGAAGCCGCTGTGCGTGTATCATCACCATGTACTTCCGAAAGCGGCAAAATTCTTTGAGAAGTCAGTACAAAACCTTTGACGCCGCATTATCAAAGTGCCGATGGTTAAAACAAAACTATGCATGCACTTTGTTTGATATTAATGGATATTTTCTTATTCGCTATGTATGTTTATGGTATTGGTCGTAATGCGCATAGGTCCAGTTTTTCATATTCTTTGATGCAGTTTTTTGAGTCTCATAGAATTCCTAAGCGTACCTATACATCGAACTATTATACCTAACTACTCCGTGAAATAGCGCTAATTCCTAGCTGCAAGACGCAAGAGTCTTGCCGGATTAGTCTTGTTCTTGCTCAAGTCTTGCACGGTCAGTCTTGGTTTTGGTCTTGCTAAACATACGCGGTCGCGTTCTTGGTCTTGGTCTTGCAAAAATGCAAGAACAAGACCAAGACTAAATTTGGGCAACACTACATCGGACGTAAGAACAAACTGGCTCCTTCCATACAAAATTTTGCGATGGCGTTTCGATTACGGATCTGTCAAAATTCGTGCTTGCATGCGCCTCTGAAGACCGCTATATATCGCGCCCACCACGCTGAGCATTAAACCCCATATTACAATGGATTTCTTACTTGAATCGAATGCGAAGGAAGTTAAAAGATAGACCTATCAAACAACACCTAACTACCTGCCGCCATAGGTATGTTATTAAAGAAATAATGAGACAAATGCTTTTGTATTCGAAGTGAATTGAAAGTCAAAAAAAGACCACTATCAAATTTCAATGTTCTGCACCATATTTTTGAAGTTACGTATGTTCGCATTTTACATTTTGTATTTAATGTGGATAAAAGTCAGAAGACCGATTAATCCATAAAAACATTAAACCAGAATAAATGCATTACGCATACCCCGCCCAGCGGCGTGGTGGCGTGACGAGGTTATGTGGAACTTCTACCCCCACATCCCGTTCACCCACTCAGCCAACCCATAAGGATATAGGTATGTACATGGGTTCCCTATCAATTTAATTTTTAAATTAACACATAGGTAAGACGTGAACTGAGGCCGAAACATGAATTTGACAGCTCCGTAATCGTATTGCCAAATTTTGTATGGAAAAGCTAGTTTGTTTTTAGGAGTGCTTAGTTTTCATAGCAATTTTGAAATAAACATAGGTATACAGATTATTGATACTGAAGCACGGATATACAGAAACACCTCTCAAGTTATTTCCTGTATCTCACGATTATTCGGTCCGCTGGGGTGGGTTACGTGTTCCATAATTCAAACAAAAATTTCAAAATTATGGATGAATGGTTTAGAATGGTTTCAAGACAAGCTTAATCATTTGTTGCAGAATTGGATTAAATACAGGGACAAAACAAGGCTCAGTAGTTATCTTAGTAAATGCAAGGTTTTCATTGCCAGTAGGGTAAAAAAAAAAGAAAAGTCAATTGTTTACCACAGCCAGTTTAAAGTTGGTCCTTCTTGGTTTATATGTAAATATTAAATACAGTCCACTTAGTTACAAGCTTGTTATAACTTAAGGAGGCCAAAAGGAACTTTCCCAGGACAAAAATGGAAGTCCTCAGGGTGGGCGGTACTATATTATTTTACTTAGCTTAAGAATTCTCCAATTGACTAACACAAATTAGTGACATTGGTATGTTATGGTATATGATGTTTTTTTTTTGGTTTCGATTGCTATTTAGCAAGTTTATGGCATTATTACATATTTCGTTACAGTGATCACATTACCCGTGTCGTTGGCTTTCTATGCAAATGTTCTCTATAAAGATTTGTTTGACTTAAATATTTGCGTTAATTGTTTATTTATATACAATTTTAGTAATGTTTTCTCAGTTATAGTTATTTAAATATTGCTTACGACTATAATAGATTTATTATTCAGTATGTTTATATTGTTGTTCACTTATAAAGTTATTTTTTGTAAATATTTTCAATCTGTGTTAAAGTATGAAGAATTTTATTTTGTTGATAGACTAAGATGTTCATTATCTAATAGTGCGACTGTCACCTAGGTATTTTTCAAGAATTTGTGTTGTTATATGTATAATCTACTATATAAAAATAAGTCGGGTTTTCCTTCCTGACGCTATAACTCCAGAACGCACGAACCGATTTCCACGGTTTTGCATTCGTTGGAAAGATCTCGGGCTCCGTGAGGTTTATAGCAAAGAAAATTCAGGAAAAATTAAAAAAAAAACTTCTTTTAATCACCAAACGAAATGTTACATAAAACGAAGCCATCTATCTGGTGGCGAAACGGAGTTCGCCTGGTTTGCTAGTCTACTATGAAGATGACTTTTGATTTATAATTCAAATTGCAATCTCATTTGTTATGGCTATGCTGTCCATGGTGGGCGGTATGTTAAGAATCAGATTAACGTTTTGTATACTAGATGGCAGGAATAGTCTATTGAATCGCGCTATCGTTTTGTTTTTATGGAAACATAAGTATTTTATGTAGAAGCAATAAATGCTCTCTCGCTATTTAAAATTGGAACAGGTGTTTAATTCTTTAGTTAGTTCCACCTCCTTCCAAAATTACGGAGCTGTCAAAAGTCGTGCTTGGGCCTCTGGTTCCAAACAAGAGCAAGACAAGATCGTGAAAAGTTACCTCAGAGTCCCTCGGCGTCCATCGATGCGCTTTCCTCGTCCGAAACTCAGCAAGCAGCACCCACAGCCTCAGCACGACTGACCCGTAGCAGGCCACGAAGCCGAGCTCTCGGAGCCACGCGCCTGCTATGCAGCGCAAACGAGCCTCGCTCATATACTGAGACGCCGCCTTTAATATAAAGAAAATGAAACTTATATCTCTCACATACCGCCATCTCCAAACACAATTGAAAATTCTGTGACATGCAAAGTTCTCAGTACTTTAAAAAACTATAAATTTGATGTACAGTAAAACGCCGATTATCCGAACGCCGATTAAGCTAATCGCCAATAATCCGAATCTGTCCTAAGCGTAATTTAAAACCTTAAATCCAAGTTATTTTTGTTTTGTTTTGTTGTAACAAGTCGGAACTCGCTGGAGTTATATATTTCACGTTTTATGGTTGAAAGCTAAAGGCAAGATACTACAAGTTTTGCGTAGCGCGGTTTTTTTTCTACTATGTACCTCTATTATTGTATTTAGTATTGTAAAACTGTTTTTGTTTAACTTATAAGGTTTATTCTATGTGTGACAGTTCGTTTTTCTTTATTACCAGTCTATGTCCGATTATCCGAATCGACCCCGGTCCCAATTAATTCGGATAATTAGTTCTATTGTACATATTAAACCGCCCACTAGGTTGAACGAGTGTATTGACCTTATTACCAGCAATCGACAGAATGTTAGATCAGAGCTGCATTCTCTTGCTCTTTTCGACCATGATAAAGCTCAAACGCTAACCCGAAGCATAAAGAAACTTATAGCTTTCTCAACTTGGTTTGAACTTCAGACAGATTTTGTAAAAGTAATATATAAATCAATTCAAAGTTTGCATGGCCTCATTATCGTTCACGAATGTAATCCAACTGTAGTATTAGCTTTTGATTTTTTTATGATGACCTTCAGTTGTATTTTAGTTCATGTTTTCCGTTAATTAAAATAAAAAGGAAAAGTCGGCCATTAAAATTAAAATGGCTTACCAATTGTCTTAAAAAAGCATGTTCTGGTAAACGTAGATTGATTGATATGCACTTGAAAAATATGTATTCAAAAACAAAAAAAGAAGCTATTAAAAATAAATTTAAAACCTATAATTTAACTTTCCTTTATAATGTATCTTTCCAGATAAATTAAAGGTTGCAGTAATTAAGTCGGTTTTTAAAAAAGTTGATATGATTAGGCTGATGACACAACCATATTAATAAAGTGCAAAAATAAAGATTTCTTCCAAATTGACATAAATAGAGCCTTGTTAGAAGTAATCGAATATCCAATAAAAAATGACCTGAAAATAAACTTAGTTGAGATTAATTCGTGACATTAAATTTATATAATACTAATCCTATTAATTTAAATGTGAATTTTAATAATATGAAATTGCAAGAAATTAAGGATATTCTTAGACGTTACAATATATACATTTGTTAACTGGAACACTCATATAAATGAAATCTGTATGAAATTAGATCGGTTTGTGCATGCACTGAGACGCTTACAGCAAACGGTTTCCCTAGAGGCGGCTCTTGCAGCGTATCATGGATACGTGTCTTCTGTGCTTGTTTACGGTTTGATCATATGGGAAGATCTCCAGAGTTTAAAAGACTATTTAGACTACAAAAAAAAAATGCGTAAGAGCGGTTTGTAATGCCGGATATCTGGAAAGCTGCAAACCATTATTTAATAAATTAAAGGTTCTCCCATTACCTTATATGTACATCCATACAGATAACATTAAGTCTTTAAATAGTATAACGGGTTTTAAAAATAAGTTGACCAAGTGATTGATAAGTGTTTTTACAGCGTCAAAGAATGCACGGAATTCGAACGTCAGCAGCAAAGAAGCTAAAAAGACTAAATATTATATTTCGAATATTAACTATGTATGACATACACAGTTAATATTTGAAATATATATTTATTTATTGTGTGTGTTTTACAATATTTATTTATTTTGATATCGTCTATTATAACTGCGGTTGTTATTAGTATATTTCTTGGTCATAATAGTTACATATCTTCTATCTAATCTTCATAAATTAAGTAAATATTTAGTTTTTTTTTGTGTTCGCCATCTATCTCGAATATAAAACATTTTTCTATACGATTACGGTTATCTTTCGCTAAAGCAAGGCAGTTTTTTTGTAATCAATCAAGCCCGCTATCTCGCGGGGTACCGGATTCGATCCCCGGTCGGGTCAACTTATAAAAGTAACTTTTTTTTATTTTCTCGGGTCTAGCTGATTATTTCATCGTAGTTTTTTCTAATTCCATTAATACAAAAGCTACAAATAAGTAATTTTGAATAGTAATATTGTATATGACTAGCTGTTCCAGCGAACTTCGTACCGCCATAACAAAATAGGGGTTGGTGGTAGAAGGGTAAAAATTTGGAGTTATTTGTTTCTTAGGTTTTCATGCACATCACTCATTAAATTAACAGTTAATGCATTAACCCGATAAAACTAGTTTTATTTAATTTGGAGTTGTATATATTTTTGTATGATGTATCATAAAAAAATAAAAACATTTTTTTTGCCGAAAAGAAATATTTTTAAGTATGGGCCACCCTTAACATTTAGGGGGATGAAAAATAGATGATGTACGATTCTCAGACCTATTGAATATGCATATAAAATTGCACGAAAATTGCTCGAGCCGTTTCGGAAAAGTTCAATTACGCACACCGTGAGACGAGAATTTTATATACTAGATGTTGTACAATATTTATTTAATGGATATCGTCTGATATATTTATTACAATTTATTTCTTGCTCGTTAATCGCTACATAGCTTGTATCTGATCTTTGTAATATATCTATGGAATACTTAATAATAGATTTGGAAGTACTTACGGAAGCATACATCAACATTGCACCAAGAAGAACTACTTCTAATACTGTCCACATGCCCATCGCTACTGCCTGAAATGAATAAATAGAATAAATTTAATTTTACAGAATCTACAGAATTTTATATGATAGAATAGAATTCGCAATATATTAAGCTTCCTAGAAAAATTAATTATAAAAGTAAAGTGCTTATCTCAGATTACGTTTTTGTTTCAGGCAAATAATATTTTAACTCATTGGCAACATCTACACTGTTGGAAACCCAGGCTCCTTTGATGTCGATAAAAGACTATCTTATCATGTTCCGAAGGTCATGCGACTGGGGCAGGAAAATAAGCGGCTACTCGCCCAGTATTCTTATGTTTTTCAGTCGCTCCTCCAGCACAGCATGCAGGAGATCTTATCGGAAAATATTATATCATAAACTAATTTGAATGAGTGTGCTCATTTTCTAAAGAATATGGAGAAGAACATCAAGAAACTATAGGCCAATTAGCTTTCTTTCCCACGTCTATAAACTTTTTACAAGAGTAATTGTTAACAGGCTCCAAAATAAACTCGATTCATACCAAACTCGAGAACAGTCTGGATTTAGAAGAGGTATTATACGTGCGATTATCTCCAATCCATTATCCATTCAAACGGTCTTTGAAAAGTACTATGAATACAATAAGCCTGTAATAATAACACAGGTTGATTAAGAGATGGCATTTGACTCAATAGAATAGTGGGCAGTGCCTCCGGGACTGCTGACTGCCAGATTGATGAACATAAATTAAGCATGCTAAGACAACTCCACAGTGAGAGTAAGACACCTCTACAGCTTGTGTTAACTTACATAAGAAGACAAAGTTCCGACTTTCTAGAAGAGTTTGACTGGGCGACACTATCAAATTATTTACCATTAACTTGAATTGGGATGAGAAATCTTTCTCCATCCGTTCCCGTTCACCATCTACTAATATATCTATATTAGTAGATGGTGAACGGCCCAAAAACCTGAGATTTGCAGACGATTTAGCATTTTGTTCGGAAAGCTTAGAAGAGGTGTTGCTAATGATTAACGAACTATGAACGGAATCTATTTAAGTAGGCCTAAAGATGAATATTTCAAAGACCTAAATAATGACGAATATCCCGGAAGCAGCAGAATACACCTTGCCCGTGGAGATTGTCGACACATACATTTATTTGGGCCACTCGATCACTTAAGGTAGGCAAAACCAAACTACAGAGATGGACCGTGGCTTATAACTCAAGCCTGGACAGCCCTTGGTGCGAAAAGCCGAATACTCTGTGGAAGGCTGTCTATTAAAGTTAAGGCAAAAATGTTCGAGCAATGCGTCCTGTCCGTGTTCACGTATGGGAATGTGACTATGTCCTTTACTAAAAAGTTCAGTGAAAAATTCAGAGTTGCACAGAGAGCCATGGAAAGAGCCATGATAGGAATCTCTCTGCGTGACCACAAAACTATTGAATGGATCAGAAACAAAACGGGGCTAAAAGGCGTGATCTCCGGAATTGGCGAGCGTAGGTGGAGATGAGCGTAGTGGAGATGGTGGGACACATAGCTCGGATGGACACACAAAGGTGGACCAGGCGTTTGTTGGAGAGAAGGCCCCGTAATAACAGCAGATCTCGTGGACGCCCACCTCGGAAATGGGTAGATGATATGTGGGTCAGAACTGGATGCTTAAGGCGCAAAACCGAAGAACATGGAGGGAACTGGAGAAGGCATAAGTCCAGAACTAGACAACAAATGGCTCAAGATGATGATGACGATGGAGAAGCAATTTATCTCTTTTTTTCATTTAAACGAGTGGCAAACTACCTGATAATAAGCGGCCGACATAGACCTATACTTAGGTCTATGTCGGCCTAATCTTACTCAAATCCAAAACAAAATAATAATCTAATTTTACTCAAAGTCAGAAACAAAATATCACCAAAAGACAGTGTTAATTCACTGTGGTGTTCTGTAAGGTGGAGGAAACTTCCCAAGACTGGTGTTCAAATTCGTACGAGAAATCCACTACGCTCTACCTCTCTCGATTGATTAATTAATAAACTTGACGTACTTTGCATTTTCTTTTCTTAAATATGATAAAACCGATGATGAGGCATATGAGTATGCCGGTGAGGTTTGCGGCGAGCAGCGCGGCGCGGTATTCATCGGCGAGGCAGGCCACCGCGTCTGCGCCTTCGCCCGTGCCACACGATGTGCACGAGAGCACGCCGCCGCCGCCGCTGCCGCCGCTCAATGCCGCGCCGCTCACCCAGCCCGTGCCCGCCGGGTGCCAGTAGCTGGCGCGACACTTGCACCGGTACTGTGTATCAAAGTATTCATTTAAGCATGAAATACTGGTTAATGTAGAGTTACCTGATTACTTAATTAAGTACGTAAGTTGCTTTTGCAAATAAGTTTGCTAAGACTTTTATAATATTGTATAAGAAGTAAATTCTGAATAATTTCATATGTTATTACAATTTAAAGTTACTAAGTTCACTTCTTGCATGTTGTACAAAAATATCCTGACATAATGTTCAGCATCATTAGACCATGGCTTTAGAATCTAAAGATAAAAATCTAAACTTTAGATCAATCACTGAAGACAAACATAGTTAATCTCAATTAAGCACAATCTCACCTCCAATTTTCGACTGGTTGTCCCGAATGCAGGCAACGCCTCACAATCCGTTGAGTCTGGGTCACAAAGTGGTGGCCCTTCCATCCAGTCGTACATGGCTTCCTCGCAGGGAACCGCGGGCCAGCGGCGAAAAATGGCTGCAGCAGCGCGCGATGGTCCAGCACCCCGGGCCGCCGCCACTCCGCCCCACCAGCCCCAATCATCGCTGTCGCAAGAGAACCACGCATTCGCCCACACCGCTGAAGTTGCGTTCCACGCTGACGCTAGAGTCCTCCAGAACTGGCGTAGTACCACTGTGTTGTTTTGCTGGAAGACTATAAGGCGGGGTGGTTCGGCGACATAGAGTACGCCAAGGTGTAGTTGCGGTACGCCGAGTGCGACGGCGGCAGGCGGCGGGGAAAGCGGGGCGCGAGCTGCTGCCCGAGCTAGTGCCGCCGCTCGTACTTCATCCGCCGCACTTTGTTCTACTAACTCGGCCAAAGCGCGTGCCGTGTGCACCACTGCTGCTTCATGTTCCCTCATATTCTGCAGTCAAAAAGTTGGTGGGTTTATCTATACGACCCACTAAAAAAATCGAGCTCAACCGAAAGAGTAGCAAACTGTCAACATCTAGAATTGAATACCTACCTCTTCTATTGTGTAACCGTATGCTTAATTTAATAGGTTTATACTCTTGCGACATTTGCAAAGTATCAACGGAGCTCTAATTAATCAAAGCAAAGGAGATAGAAAAAAATATACACCCGCATAATATAATACTCTAACAACGTTGCGTCAATAAGCCAACAGTCCTGCAATAATTTCCAAAAGTACCGATCTCTATTGAAAGTATTTGACTAGCTACTTCGGAAATCATTCAATTCTTTTTCTATCACTTCCAGTAAAGCTCGAGAGCAGAGGTTCAAGCCGTCCAACATTTGTGTTTGGGTCCCAGATTTATAGAAAAGTTTATTGTCGAGTCTGGTTTCTCTCACCGATGGCATCGGCGGTACATTCCACAGCAGCAGCGGCTCGCAGTGCGTGTGCGCAGAGGGCGCGGGCGCGGCGACGGGGGCGGCGGGCGGCGCGACGGACTCAGGCGATGGCGGCGCGAAGGGCAGCGATGCGCGCGGCTCGGCGGGCGTGGCCGCGGCGCACGCGCACCACGCGAGCGCCAGCGCCGCCCACCGCGCCACCATCGCTCACCTACCCAGCCACTCGCTCTGGCAAACGAACAATACTTAATCAATACGACAGTAACAGTCACAAGTGGTATTATACATCGGTTTTCAAGGTGTCGCCTACTAGAAGATCCTGATTTCTAATCCCGGTGGGATAACTGTTTGTATGATGACTACCGTAGTCATCATATTCGTAACAAGCATTTGTATTTAATTTATAGCTGTTTAGATATATTTAAAAAAAAACTAATACAAAATTCTCGTGTCGCGGTGTTTGTGATTAAACTCCTCCGAAACGGCTTTACCGATTCTCATGAAATTTTGTGTGCATATTGGGTAGGTCTGAGAATCGGACATCTATTTTTCATCCCCCTAAATGTTAAGGGTAATCCACCCCTAAATTTTTTTTTTCAATTTTAGATAAATTTTTATTTTTAATTTCTTTATGATACATCATTCAAAAATACATACAACCCAAAATTTTTACCCTTCTACCACCAACCCCTATTTTTTATGGCGGTACGAAGTTCGCTGGGACAGCTAGTATACTTATATAATTAATGTACTTCTATGCTTTAGTCTAGTATCCCATAACGCAATCCTTAAGCCGCATGCGGACAGCGCGTTCACTTTTTGGGAACGCGTGCCGCGTGAGTCGATTCGTTGACCACTGTCAATGGATTTTTGTTCACGCGTCAAAGGAAACGCGCACACCCGCTGTATTTGCAAGGCATAATAGACTAATCGAGTTTCGTGAAAAAGAACTAACCGGCCGAATATAATTCATCAGAGCAGATCTTTTTTGAAGTTGGTTAATAATAATGACTGGCAGGGCTTGCGTAGCACTGTGGATCGCTCAGCCCCGCGTTCAGGACGGCGGCGGTCTGTACAGACTGTTTTAAAAAGCTGAAGCAAAGCATAGGAAGGGGCATTCCGTGTGCAGCTTTGCAGTGCTTACTTTGGAGCTAGATTAAGTGATGTGTGTTGGAAATATTTAGCAAACCATGGATTCTCCACGCGGGAGCTGTATTGATCGCGTAGTAGAGAGAGGAATGTTTAAAGGGTTCCTCTAAATACACATTAACGCTAACCTGGACTGCACGGGTTCCCCTCTACTTAGTCATTGATATGAACAATAAGGTAGACTTATTTAAAATCCAAAGAAAATTTTACTAGAAAAAAAACCGCGCGGTGACTTATTTTATGTAATACGCGCGGAAATATACTTAAGGGTTTTCACAGAAGACTGCAGTCAGAAACAATATTATGTATTACCTATTGTGTGTTGGTCAGTGTTTAGACAACGTAATTTGATGTAGGTAATTCAAGGCCGCTTGTATCAGTGATCAGGCGGATCATGCAGTTATTTTCTCAAGAGTTGCGCTTTAATTCAATAATTAACAAAACAGCGAAATAAGCTTATCTTTTATAAGTAAAACTAATTTATGAAAATTTGTAATTTTGTAGTAGTCAGTAGTAGTTCAACCTTGGCTAAAAATGTAAGCATAAGTACTACGGACACGTATAGATTATGAAGTATTACCTATGTAATGGGTAATATATTTTCTACTATTTGACTATGGGACCGTAAAATATTAAATACATATGCTTTGATGGTTAGGTACTTTAATTTGGAAATGGAAACGGCTTGCGACTCTCTTTGTGCAGAGCTACGTTTTATCTTGCATGCCTTTATGTACCTTCTTTTTGTTTAAATCTATAACAAAGTATTCGGTATCTAACCATCATCATCTACAATAAATATCATGAATAATGAAATTGTCCTTTTTATGTAAAATTTCCTTTTGTCTACTTATTGCTACAGCAATTGCTACGGCTACGAATGCTACGACGTAGCTTCAACATACTTCAAGGAACAATATTATTAAAAGGTTTGAAGACTTCTCTTCATAATCACAAACAATAGTTTTATTGGGTTGAATCAATTTTCAACCCAAGGTTATCAATTCGATTCGTACATATTTTTGAAGACTTTTTTTAGCACCGTTGTGATTTGAGATTCGATTAAACGGAAGTAGAGTATTTGACACAGGTTAGTTATCCGTAATTTTCTCATTTACCATATGGACGGATAGTGAAACAGTAACGGTCTTGGCGTCGACACCAAATGACACTGGAATTTTTGAAGACCGTTGATCTAATGGAGAATTTTAAAAATATTTTAGCCGTTTCCAAAACGGAAGAAATTAAATCTTCAGTGAAAAAAGACATACTACTACTTACTAGACTTCTTGAAGTACTAAACAAAAAACAAAATATCCACTCGTTCCGAGCGTTCAACGCAAACAGCCTTCAATAAGGAAAGCAAACGATCCTGGCCATAAAGATGTTTTAAAATTCGAGTGTATTACTGCTCCTCTTAAGGACTAGGTGCTATGTTTTTCAGTGCTGTATTGAGCTCAGTTTGTTTATTTAAATTTGTAATTGGTTTTAAATTCTTCCAACGGAATTTATTATTATTTTTAGATTTATCTAGTAAGTGTTTTTCATATTACGTTTTAATTTTATAAATACCAATAAAATTTTCAATAGATTAGTGCCATGATTTCTATATCTACAGAGGCAAAAGTGATTTGTAAAATCTCATTATTTGGATCAGGACGAATTTTTTTTTTTGATGATTATTCTATGTTTATAGAATGTACATTTCTTAACACCAGATCTAAACCATAGTTTTATAATCCTTTTGCTGTTTGGTATAGCTAATGTTTTTGTATTTTTTTTTCAGTGACTCGGTAATAAATGCGATAAATTTTTGTAATAATGTTTCTGGATCATTTATAAGGAGTAATTTACTTATTTATTTTGATTTTAAAGGTAAGAAGAGCCACTGTGTAATAATATCTCATTCCAATAGGGCACTCGTATCTAATGTATTTCAGAATGCCATTTTTTTTTCGCAAACCACTGCCGTTTGTAGCTGTACAAACGACTGACTAGCGATTCCGTCCTTGCGCTCTGTAGTGACATTCTGTATTTATTTTTTACGCGCGAATTCGATGTTAATCCGCGCTAATGTATGTGGGAAACTCGCGGAACCGCATCGGATCCGCGCGTGAAAATTTTACAGAATAGCACTGCTGCATCCAAAACAAAAGTAGCGTTCCGTTGCGTATTACGCACTGCCCACCGAAAATGCAGCCTTTGACGGACACACTAAAAAGGTAAAATTTTGATCAGTAATACACTTGGACACTGGAAATATTATACACCGACAGTAACACAATACCAAGTAAAGAGAGTATTAATTTCACGGACGAATCAAACAAAAAAAAACGACGGGTTGCACTCCGGGAGTGCCGGCAGAAGTGAAAACTTGAATATTAACGTTGTGCATTTTTGATATTTTGGTTTGGTTAGGGAATAATTTTGAATAGAATAGAATAATAATAATAATAATAATCTTTATTTGTTCTTCCACAATCTAAAAAATAACATGACAACTTATTATACTATAATTTTATTACAGAACAATAAAATAGATTGTGAGAGACTGGTGCCTGAACTAGGCAGAAAGCCTGTATCTCAGAGCACCAGGACTCTCCCTCCCCTGGAGAATGCACATTTAGCAAATTATAGGGTCATCTTACATTTATATTTTAGGTATAGCATAAGAAGAACACATTTTATTACAATTGTGACACGACTACCTTAAAATAAAAATAAATCACCAACAAAGCTTTGACCAAACAAAGCCTACAAGCAACAATTTGTAAAATGTTATGTATATTATGTATATAGAATAAACATCTATTGTAAAAAAATGCATTTTCTTCGCAATAAAGCTACCATCTGGACGTCCTAGATAGATAAAATAAAATATTACTATATTGAAAGTCAACAATCTTTCCAATTTTATTGTTTTCGTCTTACGAATTTTCGATAAGGTCACGCGACCTGAAGCGATCAGGCCACGCGTCCTGACGCGAGTTTAACAATTTTTACTCATTACAAAAAAAGTGTACAACGCCGCTAAAGAAGTTTTCACTTAAAAAACCCGCTCCACATCGTAAAACCAGTTAAATAACATCAACATAATAAACCAGACACTTAAATACAGTATTCAACGTATATTGATGTTATACCACTGGGACATGCCCCAGAAGCTTTGAAGATAGGAGCTAAACTAACCCTTATATACGTTATTGATTGCCATACAAATGGATGAGTTTCTAAGAGATGTGGAACATAGCAGAATTTTCCTCTTGAATTGAAATGCCTGCCTGGAAAAGTTACCTCTTCCTAACAGAAAGCCACACTGTGAAATGGAACTAACTTTTGGCAGTTTTGTATTTCTGTTAATGAGTAAAGTTTACACGGGTTAGGCGTTGTCTACTATCGGCCTTTTTCTCGCTCAAAAAACCTACAATAGATACCTAACCTAACCTATATACCGTGTAAACAAAACAGATGCATATATTAATAGTTGATCGTCGATAGTTCAAACTGCCGACGATAACTCGCTCCCTAATTTGTCGCTGAGCGACAAGAGCTATTAAAGATACTCAATACGCAATGTGGAGACGATATGCTTACTTTCATGGAGCACTTATCGCAAGAACTTAACGACAACTTACAGGTGAGTGTCGTTGTGTTTGGAGAAGTCGGTGTTTAACCGACTTCTGCAAAGCTTTCGATAAGATAAATCACGATTTGCTAATCAGTAAGTTGGCAGGGGTCGGTGTGCATGGCAACTTGCTAAAATTGATAATATCTTACATCACAAACAGAAGCTAAGCAGTATATATTAAAGGGTTATCGGTCCAGTCTGTGCCCCCCAGGGGTCACATATCTTCCCATTGCTATTTTCCTCTTATATTAATGACATCGGACAGTGTTTTAAATATAGTATATCTTCTCCTTTATGCTAATGATTGTAAGTTTTATCAGGTTATTAAGACAAGTGTTGACTGTGCTAAATTATAGGAAGATATAATCTATGATATATCCTTCCAAAACTATCTCTCGGGAACTCTCGAGTAGACGACACCTTGAAACCCGGCGTAAAAAACCACTCGTCCAC